GGCCTGCACCAATCTTGAACCAATCGAAGATTATATTCACAAGTTTCAGCGACAATCACCCAAACAAAGTCCAGAAAACAGTATACAATTGAGAGCTTGAAGGAAAGCCAAATAAATAGACCGGAACCTGCAAGACTAAACCCATAATAAATCATGAACTATAGCATGAGTTATCAAAGATAAAGCAGGCATCATTGCATCTCAAATTTATTTGCCTCTGCTCATGCTTGTTCTTCAACCGATTTTAAGTCCATCGCAGGAACAACAAATTGCTGTAGAGTATTGAACAAACACCTTTATTTCACCTACCCAAGGGGGCCACTATGATGTTCAAAAGATGGAACAACACAGCATACAGTGGAACACACACAGACACACTCACACATGCACAACAAAAAACAACAGGATGTAATTACCGTCATACTGGGTCAGGGAGGGATGTTTACAGTAAGATAGATAAGAACACACATGTTTTCGCAGATGCATTTTTTTGCTGGCTCTAGATTCTGACCTCCAACCCAAACAAATAGGACACTGCTGGAACAACATACAACCAAACAGGATAAACATGACAAATATGCAACATGTGCATGTGCGCGTCAGCTTTTGGTGGCAACGTGTCACTGATGGCCCAACATAACATTCCATAACAAGCTTACAGAAATTTAACATGCTAATCTGTTGTCCAGATGCTTGCATTTTTGTTTCACAAATCTGTGTCAAACATTCTGGAGTTTGTTTGGACAGTTGTTTTTTTTGGGGGGGGGTGCATCGTTTGGCTAAATAATTAAATATAAAAAAGCAAAGCCAAACAATTGAACATGATAAATTGTGTGGGAGCAAAAAGCAAGAAGGCAAGCGCCAAGACAAAATATGATCGGCACTCAAGACGAAAATTCATACGGCAACAAAATCAGTTCCAGTCACGAAATGCAACTCCGCGCTGAAAACTAAAAAGTACTCCTGCACTCTTGCAGTACTGGAACTTTTTGCACTCCCGCAAGCGCTTAGGTGCTTAGCCGCCGACTTTCTGCAATTCAATTTTGACGTTCCTACATAGTCTGATGTATGGTGGAAAGAGAAATTAGTTAATGCAAATGCATGCTTCTGCCCTTGCTGGATCCTTCAAACTTTTTTTGAATGGTCAACCCACGGGGCAAGAACACTGAAAGTGTGCTCTTTTCGGTGACAGTGAAAAAATACAAACATGTTGAACATTGTGTCTCTTTAGTGTGGCATTGGTCAATGTGTTCGGGAAAATTTGGGCAGCCCGCTGCCCCAAGTGAGCGTGACGAGACCGTGACGGGAGCGTGACGGACCATGCCGAATGTATGCAAAATTAGTAGGAAAATACCCAATTTTTGTCGGACCAGCGTGACGAGAGCGTGACGGGAGCGTGACGGGAGTGTGACTGGAACACTGGTGGCAAATCTACAGTTTTATTTCCATATCTTCAGGCCCAAACCTTTTCACATGTTGACTGGAATATCCCCTTCCAGCCCCTTTTTCTGATATTTTCGGCCAAAAGTGGCATAACATAAACCTGACACTTCCTGAAAAAGAAAAATATCAGCATAAAATTGGGAGGGGATGAGATGAGGCCCGGTCAGTATTGTAGTCCGGGGATGCCTCGGCACTATCAAAATTAATTGCTGCAGTGTTTTTCTTCCTGAGACCCGCTCCGAAATGAAGAGTGTCTTCAACTGGCGCTTATTTGTGGTTACTTTCCTGCATATTGAATGTTTTATCTAATGTACAGCATCTCTAGTTGAGGAGTTACAGTTACAGGTATTGAATTCGCAAAAATTAGAACAGGTTTGCTTTCGGTCAGAACTGACCACTAAAGCACTTTGACCTTTCCTGACAGAAGACATTTGTAAGACTATGACTATTATGTTGTTTGCAATCGCCGTGTCCATAGGTCAGGGAGGTTGGCAGCGATGTTTTTGTGAGCCGATCAAGGATACCGTGTCGTTTTGGTGGCATCGAGTCGGCACATACCACATCCCTTTGATCAACCAGCAAAAAAAAGTTGCAAGGACAAATTTATGAAATCATTAGGTTAAATTAGTTGTTTTTTGAATTTTGATGAATTTTTCCTGCATAAGTCCATATTCGGGTGTGAACAAATTTAAGAACATCACTCCATGATGAACTTCATGGTCTTGGGGCGGGCATTGAGAATCTGATCTTCGGAAGCTGTATCAGGGTAACGCTTCCAGGTTAATAAATTGTACTAACTTTTTTGCTAGGTAGATTCTGAGTTCGGAGGATACTGCAACCTCCGCAAATAATTTCAAAGTTTCAAAGCTATAGCTGTAACAATCTGGCCTCCTCACAACCATACATAAACATGTTCCAAGGAAAACTTGCAAACGGTTGGTAGCAAACCGAGGGAAAAAACCATGCATCTATTGAATAGCAAAATGGATCGCCCAACAATTTACCCAATTCATTGCATTTGCGCTTGAACTTGCAACAGGTCCCACATTTAGATCCAACAACTCGCACACATGATAAAGTACAATGATCAATCTATATCAACATATTATTGTTGGAGACTGTGTTCCAACCCATACATTCGTATCATGAATGAATTGCAATGAAATATTGCAAATATTGGCAAATCATATTCTTAGTTCATCCCTTTGTTATTTTTGCTGTTGTGTAGCTTGGAACACCTATCAAAATGAGGGAAATTGTGGGTCAGCAAAACAATGCTGCCACTGTCACTTAATTTTTTTTGCCCTAGACTGCCGCTTGCCTTGTTGGTATGAAGTATGGAATAGCATGTTTGCTGTTGGTTGGGTCTACTTTGGTGCCACATTGGCACCTAACCTTCCTACATGGCGATTTTTGTTTTGCTTTGACTTGGGCCGTTATACGTTGTCGGAAACAACGGAAACTGTCGGAAAACCAATTTGCCGAATGTAAGGAATACAAGCCTACATTGGCCTATAAATGCGAATGTAGGCAAAAATCGCTGACATTGCCGAATGTTGGTAATATTTGCATACATTGGATCCTTTGGGATTATTATAATACCCAACTTTCGCGAAACTTTCGCGAAATAAAACTTTACTTTCGCGAACTCGAAAAAAAACTTTCGCGAGGGTTTCCAACATAACACGCACGGCTTTCGCAATTAAAACTCCTTACAAGGACCTTTAGATCGATCACCATACCTAGAGACTCATGTATCCAAAATTTCGGGCGTATTCCCAACCTACAAAAAAATCAGGCGCAAGTCCACAAGAATGGCGCAATGTAGAAAACACGGCGCAATTCCACAAAAACGGCGCAATGGAAATTCTGCACGGGCAAGGACGGCGCAATCACGGGCAAAAATGGTGCAATCATTGGCAAAAACGGCGCATTCCAACACCAAAATCTAAAACCATATTTGTTTCCCAAAGAACGGCGCATGCCAGAAATTTCAGCGGCAATCAGATGAAACACTGTTTTGCTAGACCAGCATCAAAATTTTGATGCCGCTCGAGTCTCTAGGTATATTTATAAACAAAAAAGGTAGTTCTCTTACTGGCGCTAAACGTAGGAAGTGGGAGAATAGGATGATTTTCAATACGAATATATATATATATATGATGGATCATGGCCCCATTCCCCCTTTCCCTACTTAGATCCAGTAAGTTCTATGTAAATCGTAGTAATGGGAGTTCCGTATCCCCCCATCAGTTTACAAACCAACCTATAACTAATAAGTACCATAGACAAGGGGTTAATTATAATTTAATGGTGAATAATATGGAATAATAGTATGGTATAGTATGGTACTGTATGGTACTATGGTTTGTAATTGTGGTCATGGTTTACGATTATGGTACTATGGTTTATAAGTTATAATATGGTAACATAGTTCATACTATCAGTAATAATATATAACCACTTATATGGTACTATGGCTCTTATACAGTAATCAATTAAACGGTGTACGGATGTATATGGTATCATGCTTAATGATTATCACTTACCCCATGAATTGTCTATTCCCTACGTTTGATTATTATAAACATGTAAAAACCATCAAAGATTGGGTGGCTGATTGTGTTTAAACATGTTTTAACCACATGATTCCCCACGTGACGGCGCAGCGCTCCAAGTTCTTGCCTAAGCTCCGCCTTTGGAAGCTCGCTCCACCAGCAGAGACAAACACGCCTCCAGGTTGGTCAAATCAGTTGGTCATCCAAAATTCACTGGATAAATTTGGGTATGGGTCAATACCTATTAATACCATTTTTAGGGGGATGAACATCCATAAATCCCAGCTATTTTGATGTTCACCAGGGGTACAAGGATGGGAGATGTTTTTATTTTTTTTAAGCAAATCAATGGTTGTGGGATAGTTTTAATGGACTTTCCCAGCAAATTTGCTGCTGAGTTGATGGAATTGATCCAGCGAAAAACTCTGATTCCATGGTGGTTTCATGGGATCCGGGGTTTATTGCCAGGTGGAGATCTCCCATGGAGCCCGAAATGGGTAGATCTAATAAGCAGAGGGGGGAAAGAATTAGTAAATGACCCTTCCAGTTGCCTCCACCTCAGGGTTGCATTGGTTCCATGATTTTTGTTGAGCTCCCATACCTGAATTATGTATGACAAAGCCCTGAATTGCGGGGACTTTTGTCATGGAAAATAAGCAACACTACTCACTTTTTCACCAGAATCACCCGGACAGGACATGTTTTGTATTGTTCCCCTGAAAGCTGCATTTGCATTGACCAAGATGGCAGCATTCACCAAAGCTGTGGGCTAGAAAGGGATGGAATCAGCCACAACATCTTCACTTTCCATGGCTTTCCACCGATCAAATGCGAAGTTTTTCACATTGAATTTCAGGGGGGAAGCCAGGCAATCATCCTTTTTGAACATATCAGTATATAAACGAAAAAAAACAACAAACGACAGAACTATTCGACCTTTCCTATGACAACTTCTGACCTTCTGACTTCTGCTAAGGTTGGCCAGTGACGTTGCTTTAGATGGTCTCAGCTCCAAATGATTGAATCTTCAAACTGGATACTTTAATATACTGGTTGGCGGTTTTAACAGTCTTGAAAAAATAATTAGTCAATGGGAAGGATTATCCCATATATTATGGAAAACTACAAATGTTTCAAACCACAAACCAGAATATAGAAATATCAATGTACCATTTATGCACGGTTTTGTTCGTACAACATGTGCCAAATCAACCAATTCACCCCTAAATCGTATATAATTCCTCTATATATTATTTAGCACTAAAAAGTCAAAAACAACTTTGTTGATCGAAATAAAGCTGACCAAACTTGCGGGTTGACAACGAACACAGAGTCCAAGATTCAGGTTGCTTGAAACACAACAAACTGGAATTAATTCATAAAGAATTTCATGGAGAGTTCCAGAAACGGGTGACTAAGGATGGTCCTTGGGTTTCAGAAGTTCCCTCGTTCCCTCCTCTGTCTGGTAGGTGACTTCGTCGCTAATGGTACTGGCGATCACAAGAAATGTCAAGGCAATCACATTTCCGACACCATTTCTTTGCTCTTTGCCAGCTGAACTCTCCGCCATCACCGTAACAAAGCCAGTGTTGGTTGGACCTGGTCGTACCACTTCACCATGATACAACGCACAATTGCTGGTGGGTCCAGTCTCTTCATGGTTTAATGGTTGACAACGGCTGGACAATTCCGATTTATAGATTCCTTGATACGAACCACCCAACCATTGTTGGGTAGCACAGGTTAAAAACATGTTTCTTGGTTTACTACAATACCCATTGGTGATTCCCAATGCTCACGATGTAATAATGTAATACGCACTTATATATGGGCTTATCTGGAAATAGGGCACTGCAAACTTTGATGCTTCATGATGATGTTCCCCTCAGAAAATGGCAAGAATTGGGAGGGTAAGGAGCCCCAATTTTCAGACAAACCTAGTTGGCCCCCGTTGAATCATCAAGTTTGCCTTCAGAATCTTCAGATGCACTATAAACATGGTTGGCCGTTTTGGTGGTAAACTCAGTCTATGCGAATGTTATCTCTGATCAGTGAATCCCCGTGTTGATTATACATTAATGTATTCATCTTCTATCCCCATTGACTGCGTAAATCACCATTAAATCACCATGTTTTTGTTGGTTAAATCCCGTTAAATCACCATGTTTGTTAGTTTGTTGATGACATCCCATTAAATCATCATTTGTTCACAGCTAAATCCCAAGAAGTCACAACTCACAGTTGAATCACATTTTTTCATATTTAAATTAAAACCCAATGTTTCTATTTTTCTATGTTAATCATTTAACTAATCCATAACATATTTGTGTGTTGTCTTGCTTGAAATGGGATGGCATAGTCAAGCAAGTGTTGACTGATTTTTTTCTGATTTCACACTTGCCCGCTGGTAATTTAACATAGCTTTTATAGATGGCTTACTTCTCAAAGATGGTGATTTTCTATAAGCTATGTTAAATTACCAGAGGGTAAATCACATTGGTGAAATCCCCCTGTTTCTGTTGCGAACAAACTCCATTCCCGCACCTCGGCAGCAGCTGGCGCCCCGCCAGCCTGCCGTAAGGCCTGTCGAAGGGATTTTTCATGGTGATTTAACCAACAAACATGGGGATTAATAATGGGATTTAATGGAGATTCAACTAGCTATTGGATATTTAACTCATGGATCTAATGGGGATTCAATGCTTATTTATTGGGAACCGGAAAAAACATGGGAGATGATATTGAACCAAGAAACCATGGTGATTTCATGTGGTTTTTGAATGGACAAAATCCCATGGGAATTCCCATGGGGATTTCAAACATGGCTTCGATCGAGTCCTCGATCGAGGCCTCTGGCTGAGGAAAATGATTCCATGGGATTTCTTTGACATTACATATCACTTAGATTGAATGTTCTTAATGGAAATTAATTTCCCCATAATTAAGTGCTATGATTCATGGATTTCGGGATCTAATGTTCTTTTTCAAAAATCATTGATTGATTTGTGCGAGAATGGTACATGTTTCTTTTTTACATGTTTTTTTGGGTTGATCACTTTCCCCTTAAAGGGCTTCTTCTTTGGCTTTAAATCCAAAATAGGAAACAATGGGGAAAATATATATATAATATGTATAATAGCTACCTTGAAGGCCCGAAATTGCAATAGATTCCATTTTTCCATCCCCAGTATCTGCCCAATACATCCCGCTAGATTAGTTTCTCCTGTTCCCAATCTGTTGGTTAAATCCAATACAGTACCCTATGAACTATAGTAAATTGCGTATCATAAACATCCCGCCGGGTGCGGAATCGCGCGTGTAGGCGCATCAACATGCTGAAAAAAATGACAACCCTTTCAGTGTTTCGTGGCCTTCTGATCAGGAAAAAAATGTTCCCAAAAAAGGTCCTTTTTCTTGGATTTTGCAACCCTTACAGCACAAATTTCGGACCTTTTTTGCCTTGCCACTTTCATTGATCATTGTGCATGTAGACCTCACTGACTAGTGATTTGATGAGTTATTATCCTCACGATATGAAAGATCGCTATCATACCAAGCATATCCAATAATGACCAACATATGAAATTAGAGGGTGATTTTTATCACCATTGGGATGAACTTTATCGTTACCGTGGTGAAAGACACTATCAACAGAAGTATGACAACCATTAAAAATTATTATGATGCACTCCTCAAAACAGGTAACGAGAACACACGATATACGTTGACATCCCCACCCCACCCCACCCCACCCCATCCCCACCCCATGATCAGCGTAGCAGCAGTGGCGTGTTCAACTTCAACCGAACGTTCACATCTCCACCCCACCACATGCTCAGCGTAGCATGCGTGGCGTGTTCAAATGCTAACGAACGTGAACATCCCCACCCCCCCCCACCCCATCCCCACCCCATGATCAGCGTAGCAGCAGTGGCGTGTTCAACTTCAACCGAACGTTCACATCTCCACCCCACCACATGCTCAGCGTAGCATGCGTGGCGTGTTCAAAGGCTAACGAACGTTAACATCCCCACCCCACCCCACCCCATCCCCACCCCATGATCAGCGTAGCAGCAGTGGCGTGTTCAACTTCAACCGAACGTTCACATCTCCACCCCACCACATGCTCAGCGTAGCATGCGTGGCGTGTTCAAATGCTAACGAACGTGAACATCCCCACCCCACCCCACCCCATCCCCACCCCATGATCAGCGTAGCAGCAGTGGCGTGTTCAACTTCAACCGAACGTTCACATCTCCACCCCACCACATGCTCAGCGTAGCATGCGTGGCGTGTTCAAAGGCTAACGAACGTTAACATCCCCACCCCACCCCACCCCATCCCCACCCCATGATCAGCGTAGCAGCAGTGGCGTGTTCAACTTCAACCGAACGTTCACATCTCCACCCCACCACATGCTCAGCGTAGCATGCGTGGCGTTTTCAAATGCTAACGAACGTGAACACCCCCACCCCACCCCACCCCATCCCATGATCAGCGTAGCAGCAGTGGCGTGTTCAACTTCAACCGAACGTTCACATCTCCACCCCACCACATGCTCAGCGTAGCATGCGTGGCGTGTTCAAATGCTAACGAACGTTAACATCCCCACCCCACCCCACCCCACCCCATGATCAGCGTAGCAGCAGTGGCGTGTTCAACTTCAACCGAACGTACACATCTCCACCTCACCACATGCTCAGCGTCGCATGCGTGGCGTGTTCAACTGCTAACGAACGTTAACATCCCCACCCCACCCCACCCCACCCCATGTCGAAAATGTGTGTAACTACACGTACGGTTTGGCACCCGTTAGCATAAACTTGAAGTAGTAGTGGCAATCAAATTGGTGAAAACCAAGACCCAGGTAGAAACTCTCCGCAGTAAATGGAGGATTAACTTGGTTAAACCAGAATCATGTGATTTTACCCACATTCAATGGACATCAATCGATGAATCAAGATGTATTCAACGATTCGATTTGGGCTAACACCAGAAATAAAGTGCGCAAAAAACAATTTGAGGATTCCAGCAGCAGGAATTTACCAAGAATCAATGGGGAATTCCACTGTCATCACCGCGAGGTTCCACTTCCAAAGCGCTGCAAATACCACAGAAATGTGCGGTTTCGTTTCCAAACTGTTGCAAGGGCCATAGAAAACCAGGGGTTCCAGTTTTTTTTTGTGGCTTGAATATCTATTTTTTGATCCCCTGTCGAATATGTTTTTTTTGATGCCTTATTTTTGTTGATCCTTCACCCCATAATCTTTGGAGGGTCCGTGTTCCCTCTATTGGAAATCCCAAGTATTGATCGCTAGGTTCTTATGGTTAAAGCACCGTTTTTGGTTCAACCATATTAAACCCCCATTCGTCGCCATTTTTGGAACCTGATTGCCTCAGTTTTGGTGTCGATCCCCGAGAAAGGCCTGGCGCCCTCCTTGAAAGAATGGTCCAAATGTCGACATCACGTGAATCTCATCTATGCCTCCGCTGACGCTTGGCCCAACGGCAGGACATAAACCAGCCTAATCAGCGTCCACCCTGATGGCGTCAGGTTGTTTATTGATGTAGTGTTAGTTCAAAAGAGTAGAAAAGCACAGAAAGTCTTCCGCCAGACTGGCAAGAGAAGGGTACATCCTTTCCCAGATGGCCATCAATGAATTGGTGGGATTTTTAATGATTTATTTGTAGAGAACCATCTTTAAAAATATTGTAAGTATGTGAATTTCCATTCATGAGGATGGGATGACCATACCCGATATACCACGTATCTTGACCGTGGCACAGATGGGACCGGTGATCGCCGAGTGAGGTGCCTGTCAATGCCTACAGCAACACGACCGAGTCGCTGGAGAATGTGTAGCTTCGTCTATTATTAGAGGTGGGTTTGCTATTACAAAGCATGCTGTTTTTGCTGACTCTTACAGCACAAAAGTTATCTTGTGAGATGTCCATGAGTCCAGGGTGTGGCGGAGACCTCTCTTCCGAAGATCTCGTTTTACTAGCGCGCCATGCTCGTTTTTTGAGCTGTGTCCATTTTTCGTGGCAGGCGTGACACTTTCGGGACATGTTGAAGTCTAAGACGTCGTTTTCCGTGACAGGTGCAGGACATCGGACACTTGTTCATCCGCGTAACAGGTGTGGCACTTTCTGCACGCTCCTAAAACGTTGCCAGTGGTGGGCCATCGTTTTGGAGGTATAATTTTTCGTGGCAGGGGCAGTACTTTGTGTAGACCCCGACAAAAAGTGACTGAGACCTGAGTAAGACATCGCTTTTGACATTTTCAATGTTCATGTTTCGTGGTGGCCGCAATGTTTTGTGAGAATCTAACATGTGCCCAGTACCCGCGCAACCCTCTCGCCATTTTGGGCCTGTCGGATCGCTCTTGTTGTGGCGCGGTGCGACGGTGCGAATTTTGAGATCGCTCGCGCAATCCTGTCTCGGCACTTTGGGCCTTTTAGATCGCTCTTGCTGTAACGCGGCGCGAATTTTGAGATCCCTCGCGCAACCATCTCGGGACTTTGGGCCTCGCTCTGGTTGTGGCGCGGCGCTCATTTTGATAGCCAAGGAGATCTTGTGCAGAGATCTTGACAAGGAGGTCTTTACTAGAGTAGTTACTAGAGAGCTTGCGCAGGGATCTTGCCACGGAGACCTCTTATAGAGATCTTATACGGAGAGCTCTTATAGAGATCTTCTACAGAGATCTTGCCAAAAGAGGTCTCTTACAGAAATCTTGCCAAGAGAGCTCTTATAGAGAGCTCGTAGAAATTTCCTCAAGCGATCTTGCCAAGAGACCTCCTATAGGGAGCTCATACAGAGATCTTGCCAAGAGACATCTTGTAAAGATCTTGTGCAGAGACATTGCATCGGGATCTGCTGAGATCTTGCCAAGAAAGTTCTTGTAGACTTATAGAGAGATTGTGCAGAGATCTCTGAAACAGATCTTGCCAAAGACCTCTTATAGGGAGATTGTACAGAGAGCTTGCCAAGCGACCTCTCATAGAGATCTTGTACAGAGGCATTGCATAGAGATCTGTTGAGATCTTGCCAAGAGGTCCCTTACAGAGATCTTGCCAGGAGAGCTCTTATGGACAGCTCCTACAGAGATCTCATAAAGAGATCTTGCCAAGAGACCTTTTACAGAGATCTTGTACAGAGATCTTGCCAGGACACCTCTTATGGAGATCTTGCTCTGGGACATTGCATAGAGATCTGTTGCAAAGATCTTGCCAAGGGGTCTCTTACAGAGATCTTGCCCAGAGACCTCTTATAGGGAGCTTGTACAGAGATCTCGCCAAGAGACCTCTTATAGGGAGCTTGTACAGAGATCTTGCCAGGAGACCTCTTTTAGAGACTTTGCCAGATGACCTGGTGGACGGGAATAGAGATCTTGCTCAGCGATCTTTTATTTATAGAGAGCTTGAACAGAGATCTTACTTCGAGATCTCTTAAAAGAGATCTTCTTTGGAGATCTCTTAGAGACCTAGTACAGATAGCCTTGCAAAGGGATCTTGCGCAGCAGCTTCTACAGAGAACCTGTCAAGAAGATCTTGCGCACAATATTCTACAGAGATCTTCGCAAAGGGAACTTGCAGAATCTAAGCTGGTATCTCTTCTTCCAGGGACCACTTTTGATGAACACCATACTTTCACTTCTAGGTCACTCTTGTCCTGCTAGCTTGGAACAACTGATGATGTTGGGTCCTTTCACCTGCCCCTTTAAAGAATCCGAACTGTGCTGGGACAATACAAAGCATGCCAAAAAGGGACTATCCGTTGTGACCATCCATGAATCACTTCCTTTACTGTTTTTAATATTGTAACATCATCGTTTATGCAGATTTTCTCAGATTTGGGGCCCCGACAGTCTGAAATTTGACTATATATAGATTTCAGCGTAGTTTTGAGGTGTTCTGCTTCATTGTGATTCGTAGTGATGGCCATGACAAATCATGATCTTGGTTAAAAAGGACCAAAATCCCCCATTAAGGCGGGCGCCATAGTGTTCCCCCAGGCGCCTGCAACGTGCCGTGGCCTCGTTGCTGCTGCGCGGGGCCTACTTCGGAGCCCTGAAACTGGCCCTGGAGACGGCCAAAAGCAGGTGCTTGGATGTTGGGCCAAAGGCGGCGGTGTTTTTAATGTTTTATAAAAGTTATAATTTTAATTTAATGTAAAAAAATATTAGATGATATATAAATGATCTTAGTTATATTAATTATGATAATATATATACTTATATATACATTATACATAGTATGTATGATATGTATTTTAGGTACATATATATATACACCATAATGACTGACATATATATATATATATAATGTCGTATTGAATTCAGACTCGAAATCGAACAAAAAATTAAGTGTAAAGAAATGGTGAGACATCCCCATGTCTCCAGATGCAAGGCGTTAGCTGCCCTTGTGGATCTTGGTGTTCCCGAAACGCGTTTGATGGGACAAATTTGAGTCATTCAAGAAGTAACTTGTGCGAGGAGATCGTCCCACTGACTAGCCAGTTCACTTTTTGCGATGTTGAAAACGATAGCAATCATAGGAGTTTCACCCATAAAGCCAGTTTGGAACCACATGGTTCGGAAACGCAGGTCCAAGCGCAAGAAGATCTTTTTGCTGCCCCTGGGAGGCGGTGTTTTCAACAACCCATTCAAGGAGAAATGGCATTGGAGGAAAAAACTGAGTGATTTCATGGTAGTTTTGATTGGGTTTATGCTGATGAAAATTGAGACTGCAATTGAATGGGAACAATCAGATGTTGGGAGAAACTCATGATCTCTGCGTACAAGAACAGAAGGTTGCGGTATTTCGAAAGACAAAAACGGTTTGCCTAGAAAGAGGCTGGCCCAATCGTTGGTGGGAAATTGTATTGTGGATCCTTCTCTGGGGTATAGCTCCAAAGCCACCGTCCCCAACATGAGCATTCCCAACCAGTTGTGGCGTAAATCGTTGCACAACACTGAAAGGACATCGCCAAAGCCATGGTGGAAGCTTTGCATATGGCCAGTGGCTTGTGTCCTGAGGGGGTAAAGCTGGAAGAAGTGTTTCTTGGATCAATGTGGAGATGAATTCCGCTCACTATCTCAAGGCTTACACCATGGTATAATTCAAGCCAAAAAATAAGAATAGAGACCGCTAGAGGAACCTTGCTGTGAAGAGTTTTTTGCTGGTTCTACCTTGCGCTGGTTTAAGGAATAATACTCTCGCTCTTAAGTTGTGCAACGCAGTATCTACATGATAGATCATAATAGCACCATGTTGTACCAAAAAAGTACTATGTTGTACCAGAATAGTTGCTTCTTGCAGACAGACAATCGACCTTTTCGACGGGCAAACCAGATATTGAAACTGCGGGAGTCCTCGTAGGTCATGCTTCCTCGCATCTCAACGGGTTTGACAGAAGCGATTCAAACAGAAATTTCCTGAAGTCATCATAGCTGCTGTCATAGCTGTCAGGGAAAGGGATTCCATGAGGCAGGTGAATTGGATGACGTTTTTTAATGCCACAGCTGCAGGCTTGATATTCGCGTCCTGACTTGGAAGGGCAAAGCGGAGGAAGCTGAACGTTTTAAGCATTTGCTCAAAGAGCTGGGGCAGGATGTGAGTTGACGCCCAGTGAAGAACTGTACCACTGCAGCGTCAGAGATTCAGTTGATGTGTCTCTGGCTGTGCTGGCCATTGCTTTAGCTCATCATTGCTTGACGAAAAAGTCTTTGTTTCATGGGACTTGTTGGGTTTCGGCTTTTGGGGTCGATCCCATGTTGAAGGACGAAAAACTGCATCAACTGATTCTAGGACCTCCAGGCCCAAAATCCGATGAATTCTCATCATGTTCGCCATTACAATGTTCGAAAATGACAATCAAAAGGGATGAATGCAGCGCTGCATAGTTCCAATTGAAACTGCCACATCATCATGGCCATTCAATGGATATTAAAGTTATAATTTCCATAGAATTCCCCATAGAATTCCGGACAGTCATCCACGGTACCAGCTGCATTTTCGGAGCACGTCACATCACGTCACCACGCCAGGCAGGACGTCAAACGCATGGATGAAATCCTCGAGGAGGTGCCTATGGTTTCCCTTTGAAAATCATCGTGTTTTTCCCCACCTGCCAGGTGAGGGTTGTTAGATTTTATCAAAGCTGTTCTCCTCCTCCTCCTCCTCCTCGGCTAGCTGTCCTCCTCCTCCTCCTCGTCCTCCTCCTCCTCCCCCTCTAGTTTCTCCTCGACCATGTCTGCATCAACTTCCACCTCCACTTCCGCCTTGCCAACTCTTCGCCAAGCTCTTTGCCAACTCTCTTCGCCAAGCTCTTTGCCAACTTCCCAGCTCAGTGTGCACTGTGGGACATCAACCTGGGACCTGAGGGGCTCAGTGTGCACTGCTGGACCTCAAGCTCAGTGTGCACCGCTGGACCTCAACCAGGGACCGTCTCAGCTCAGTGTGCACCGCTGGACCTCAACCTGGGACCTGCCCAGCCCAGTGTGCACCGCTGGACCTCAACCCAACCTGGGATTTGCCCAGCGCAGTGCGCACCGCTGGACCTCAATCGGGGACCTCCCCAGCTCAGTGTGCACTGCTGGACCTCAGCGGGCAGATAGAATGCCAGAAGATATGCCAGATAGAATGCCGGATCGAATGCCAGAAGATATGTCAGATAGAATGCCAGAAGATTTGCCAGTTTCAAATCGATAAATGTCATGGTGGGGATCACTCGAAGTAAAGTATTTTTTCCACATCTATGTTAGTTTAATAGATAAATCATCGAACCTAATGGGCCATTAAAAAATCACATGTTTTATTGATGGTGATTTTTGGACGGAATTATTCAATTTGTTAATCCTGACAGAAGTAAATTATGTTCAGTTCTTGGGAATGATTCTTATTTGCCCAGAGAGAGAGAGAGAGAGAGTGCCTGATAAGAACCGTACTACATTGACACTGAGCAGACAACGGGTAAAACTCATAATGTCGCATGGGTAACTTTGAGTTTTGTTTTGGCTGGGGGGATTTGTGTTGCAGATCTTGAAAATGAGACTTAGCTGATTTGTGCTTGGACTCCTGTTTTGATAGGGCAATTAGGCAGCTATGTCTTTAGAGACATTTGTCGGAATCTTGGGGAAATTACATTCAAGACATGTCAATTAGTTTATCATCAAGGAGCCGCATTTAATAATCCAAATCTCTGATATTCTCTGATAATTTGGTACTGTATATGTTTGTAAGTTTGCTGAAGCACCAATCTTGTGCCAAGGGTCCGAGTCCATGGTATACAATTGTGTATATGTTGGACGTCTATGGTTCAGTCCTTTGAAGTGGGTCATCCCTTGGATTCATGGCAAATGCTTCTGCGTTTCTCCCATCAGTGGAATCGAGGAAACCTTTGGTGACTTGGATTGATTTGGTACTGTACCTCCCCTGTCTCAGCATCTGTCTTAGTGGGGTTTTCAGCCACAGAACCAGCTGCAGCCGCGCAAGGAGCAGTCGGCCAAGCGTGACAAGAGCTGTGACCCCAGCTGCCACCTCATCGCGAAACCACTATATAAAGGGCCCAACTTTGGCTTGTGAATTCTCATGATTTATCATGATTTATCGTGATTTATCATGATTTATCCAAAATTGGTTGGTGTAATTGGCTAGTGATTTATCCAAAATCATCTGAATTTATCCAAAATTATGCTGGCTACTGACTAGCAATTGGTTTCACCGAACATTTACTAAGAAAACTCTCGTATTTGATGGGAACAAATCTTACCCTTTCGTTGGATGATTTCCTCACCCGAGTTCAACCAGATTTGCCTCCGACACACAGAGTAGATGGCTGCAGTAGGCTGCAGATATCTTTCCAGACGGAACAATGGATCCAGATGGAGATAGATTCAGGATGGTAAAGGCGTATGAATCATTATCAATGGATGATAATCACCAATTTTATACTAAATCTAAATCATCAAAAGCCATAAATTATGTAGATATACTCAAAGGACAATTGCTAATATATCACATATATAATTACAAATATATATTATGTACACATTCATTTCATGATACATAGTTAATGATTGAACAATCATTATCAATCACTGGATATTTAGATGTTGGGAGGTGCTGGTGAGCTGAAAACCAAGATCCAGGCGGGGATTGTTGGAACAACTCGCCAGCAGTTGGGTCCAATTCCAGCATAATTGCTACTGTTGAGTAAGAAATAAGAACATAGTAAGATATAAACAATGTGAAATAAGTTAAGAGCAATATCATATCAACATGTATACAAACATATACATGACTTTGTATTGTCATGATATGTCCCCAACGTTACCAGGACGTGGCGGCATTATTGGACCGGGAATGTCAGACACGGCAGGCTGAGGCGCGGCTCGAATTCGGGGATTTCCTGGATTGGGATATTCATGGAATATCAATGGAAAATATGGAAATATATGGAAATATAGTGGATATTGACTCGATGGATGTAACCAGGATTTACCAGCTCTTGATCCGGAATTCACCGGAAGGTCAGAAGATTTAATGGCAATTTACCAGCCATAAACCTGGAGAAATGATTGCGACCTCACGTCGCGACGTCACTGGAATGATGGGAATTGGATTGGGGGAACTATCCTGTTTTATGGCCGAACTGTGCATCTTGGAAAATTACTAATATCACTAGAATTCAGCCAGTGGGCTGCAATTGTGGTCCCATGTGGCATGATTAGCCTCCAGCAAACGTGTGGACAATCCACCATTTGTAGATGATTTTCCTGTTTTTGTTTTTTTTCCAGTTTTTCCATGTTAACCTCAGGGTATATTATAAAACAGTGATTATACAGTAGTCATCATGTGTATTGATATGTGATATATACTTTTTTTGTGCATATAACCCTGGGCCTCCTCAGACTTAAAGTTCAGCCTGAGCTCCTAAAGCCATTTTGAAATCCGAGGCAATTTTGTTCAAGAAGACATCAAAAGCCTGTAATTCCAGAGAATCTGCCTGAATAATGAGAAAATCCACCTGAAAAGAGGGTAAATGTGCCCGCATATATTTTGTTGAAAATAGAAAACAAAAGGAACTATCCTTCTGACCGCTCTGGCTATAGTGGCAAAATCCGCCGGAGATTTGATTTTCAGCCCGGCGGTCTAAAAGGAACCTTTTGAGAGAAGGCTTGCTTTTTGGTTTGCAAAATGTTTGAAAGGTGGTTGTAGGTATGCACACAACTTCAACATGCAGATCAGGAGGGCTTCTCAAGCTCATTTAGAACGATGATTTCCATCTTGGCCAGGTAGCCGCCATGCGTCGTGCACTGAGTATTCTTCGGTTATGTTTGTCAACCAGCGGCCATCTGAGCAGTTTTCAAAACCCCAGTTGGTTGATGATTATAGATGATTACAGTGGGGGAGACTACCCTTTGTATATACTGTATATATATATACATCTCTCTTGGGGATTTTCACAATCCATAAAATATATAAAAACTGGAAATCCTGTTCTCAAGATTTTGAACCCTGCTGATCTGGTGGTTAAGGGATTGTTGAGGTTCCAAACCAATCTTAACCAACAGAAAGCAATCATGAATCACTATGAAACGTTCGTTCAGCTTACCCACTATCAGTAAACTGGGAGGCATAGAATGAAGCAGCTGCATTCACAGATAAGCATAGATTAGCCAGGATTATGCAGAAGATTCCCTTGGCAATCTCTGCTGTTAGCACACTGAAGGTCAAGAATGGCGATCGGAAATAGGTGTGACCACCAAGGACTTGATTGGCTCGGTCGTTGATGAAATGAGTGTGCCGGAAAGAATTCCTTGGGACCCCGAAATCCACCGAAATCCGCCGAAATTCTCCAGATTTTGGACACACCCAAGGTTGGCGAATGTTCACTTATTATCTCTAACTAAGCATAGTTATATACTTGTAGGTCAATTCTCTTGTTCTGTCTCCTGATTGTTGGTGAACCACATCTTTGATACTCAACATCCGCCTTGTTGCTGATTGCTTAGCCTTCCCATTGTTGTTGGATATCCTTACTAATTACTAGTATTATTATCATTATTGCTGTCCCAAAAACTCAGTAATTTTCATGGTTTAATTCCTGGATGCTGCTTAAACATATTAATACTGGATCAAACTCCTCATCGTTTGTTGAGATCAGCATCCTTGCAACCAAGGATTCCATGTGGTTTGGGTGGCTTGAACTCCTGGGTCCGCTGGGTCCTCATGTTTTTCGTCTCAAACCATCCATGTTACATGGGCTTGAAGGATCCACTATGACCACACGCTAGTAGCTAATCATAGATGATCGCCCAAAACCGTTGGTTGGTGAACTCCTATGAAATATTCAACCACAGAGTCTCCATATAGATTGTGGTTTAGCATGGTAATCATATGCCCAAAACCATGGGTGAAACCCCTATGAAATATGACAGGACATTGCCAATGAACTCCTGAAGCGTCGCAGTGAAATGGATGCAGTGAAGGAGAATCTCAAGGTCAGTGATGGCCATGGATATCAGGGATGAAACTGGTTGAAACTGTTGAACACGTCTTGGGACGAAACAGAAGTACCCAAATTTGTTTGCAGCCAAGCTAATCCAAGTTAGTCAGCTCTTGTTTGGTATGAGACTTTTCCATACTTTTCCTTCCTTGCGGTCAATATTTGGGTGCCATTTCCAAATTGATCTGGCGGGAGTGATATTGAAGGCACGAGAGCCCTTGAAAGTGCACAGAGGATCATGGATGTCAAGCAAACAAGGCAAACGTCTATCTACATTCAAGGCTACGTAACGAAGCTGCCATTGGCTTCGCTTTTCTGTAAAGTCTGTGACGCCTCTGAAAGTCATAAGTCTTGCAACGGGGGATAAACGTTTTCAGCCGTGACGATGTCACTAGTCTTTGACTGAACTGCGAGGACAAATACCATGACACCTGAGCCACGTTCAAAACTGCCGGCAACTGATTCTAGTATTCGGTGGAATTTATTCTTCAAAAAATTGAATGGCGTCACACGCGCGCAAACTTTTCACAAGCTTCACGCAAGCTCATGTACGCGCAAGCTTCGCGCAAGCCCGAAATCACGTAGACTAATTCAAACATAAATAAATGAATATACAACGAAAAGGGTTACACAACATGATGGGACGAGATGGGTGAGGAGTTCCGTTGCTTCCTTGTTGCATTGTTTGCTTAGTATGTCGACCCTCTGGTTTGCAAGGTCCTTGAAATCAGAACAACTTCCAGTTGTTCAGAAACTGAACCTTCCAGGCGATCGAGGCCAAAGCTACACAGAATGGAGGAGCAGCGGAGCGTACTAAGGGCCAGGTTTGGGTATCAATATGTCCTGTACGATATCAACAGGTAGCGAAAGTAGACCTGATTTGTGGTATGGATATGGATATGAGTCCAAGGCCGTTTTTTCGATACACTGCTTTGGCACGTAGACGTGTGCATGCTTTGGGGTTTACTAATTATTTTTTGATATGATATGTAGTGTTTAAAGTGTAATTAGATGAACTGTCATGGTGTGATCCGCTGGCAGGTAGATTACAGCTCCAGCTGGATTTTAGGACACTAGAGACGGAGATCAAGGAGATGAAAAAACACGACCCGAACGTCACGGGGTCGATTTATACAAAAATACATGGTGTTCAGTGAAAGGCTATGGCATCCTGTTGGTTTTGGTTGGCATCCTGATCAGCCAGGTAACAAACCAAATACACGTGCCATGGTCAAGAGTTAAATTCTATGCCCTCCATTTGGGGATGGTCATGAATCCACATTGATCCACTAAAGGATAGGTATAAATATATATATATGTGTATACATTATCATATCATATCATATCATATCGTATCATATCATATCATATCATATCTATGATATCTATGATATATATATATATAGCCATTGTAATGATTCCCCCTCCGTTGTTACGCTAATGGTGGTCAAACCAATAACCCCCCGATTGAAAGGCGTCAACATGAAAGACTTCACCGACTTGGTGGAGATCGAGTGCAAGGTGCAGCCGGCCCAGCGCCGCCTTGTGAAATCCACCGGTGCCCAGGATGTTAAGCAACAAGCATGGAGAAATGTGACGAAATGTGGGGATTACCCTCTGGTAAACTAACATAGCTATGGAAAATCACAAGTTTGATAGGTAAATCAACTATAAATGACCATTTTCAAGAGCTATGTTAAGTTACCAGAGGGTAACTGACAAACATAGGGAGAGTCAGCAACAAAATATGAAGGGGTCAATAGTTCACAGCGTTTAGGGCCACGAGAACCACAGATGTTGGTTGTTCTTACCGGTAGCCACGTTTGCGCCATAGCATATTAACATATAGTAACTACTGTGCCTTGGCCTTCCACTTGCTGTTAGAAGAGGTCGCGAGACTAAAGCAGCTGTCACTGTAGCAATCCTTGCAAGGATCTTGGAGGTACTTGGTTACAGATCGATGGGATAGCCGGATGGTTAAAGCTTTTTATCTCCAAGAAGCATCTCCATGACTCTCAATGTACCGTCCCTCAGCAGTGTCGCACTGGGATGGCTTCCTGTGGCATGAATGGACCTCTCTGCAGGGTGAACCATTACCGGTTGACGGGGTGACCCCTTGAAAACTCTCATCGAACCCAGCGAATGTTTGGAACATGAAATTTGGCAATGGCAGTTCTTTGGTCCATGATTCCCAGAATTGGTTTGAGGGGAAAAAAATACTAAATAAAAACGGTAAACCCTCAGATTTCATGGTAATAAGCATGGCTTCCTATGGTTCACTTAATTGAAATCCACTGATGTCTCTCGGTCGTGAAGTCGTCCCCAGGCCAGAGAAAATGATGTGGCTGAACTACGCCGCCAGAAGGGAAGCCAAGGGGTTGTCGAGGGGTGGCACCGGCTGGGATCACTGCTGGTGTCAGTGGGGCAGCGGTTGTCCATCAGGAACAAAGTTATGTCAGTTATGTTGTATATGTGCATAAAAATGAGGACTCACACATTGTATATCCACCATTATCCACCAAGATACTCGTGGTCATACATGGTCTATACATGGTCTATACTGTACTACTTGTCGATGAAGTTTCGGTTCTTGTCGACTCAGCAAATCTCAGCAATCACAGTTTTTGAGGTTGGAGCTTACAGAAGCCCTCCTGGCCAATGGGAATTCTCGAGACGCGGGCCAGCACAGCCTTTGTGTTTGGAGTTTCTTCAGGGCCTTGTGAGACTGTCATGGTGTAAAGGGTCAATGGGTTTGTTGTATTTTGTTGTATATAATTAGTTTTGTTCGTATTATGGCGTTCTTACAGAGCGGTGGTTGGCAGTTGTCCACGGCGCCTTTTTTGGCCACTTATGATCACTTTGAAACAACCTGTTGACTGGTGACCATGCGTGAGCCAAATGATGATATTCTGTCTTTGAGTATCTGGTTATTTTAAGGCATGGTACAACCACATGATGCTCGCAAAATTCCAACAGCATGTCTAAAAGATTCCAAAAGCATGTCGGACACATTTGGACAGTGCCATGACTCTTTGAGCCCCCCTTTCCACCTATTGCATTTTCTGCAGCTGCATCAATGGCGCTGCATCTCTGGCAGTGAAGTTGCGCTATCTCCCTATCCCCAAGCTTGTACCCCACAAAGAACGGAGATGTTTGAACATGGTGGAAAACCTTGAAAACATGAGTGGTATAGGCATAGGACATAATTTCCCCCATGACTCAATTGACATGAATTGGGGGCCCATTGCTCCATGAAAACCCGAGGTCCAGACTTTGGATGACTTCGACTTACGCCTCGGTCGTTTGGCCCGGGCACCGATGTCAAACGGAACTGGCTGTGCAGCAGCTGAAATCCATGAGGTGGGAGAAGCTTTTGGTTTTCCATGGTTTTCCTATAGCTCAAAATGACAGACCCCTGACTTGGACGCTTGAGTCAATTGTGTAGTGAAAGTATCTGACGATGACACTTAAAATGTGGGTACTTTGGTAACCAAATATGTTATGAGCCAGCTGAATGGGTAGGATTGATTCAAGAGAATTGACTGGCCATGATTTGTAGCCAAATTAGACCCATACCTACAAATCTTCGAAATGGTGCAAGGTTGCATATCTCTTCCGGTGGTCCACAGAATTTTATGTATATACATGTTTTGCTGAGCTGCTGGGGTTGGTGCATGCCGGGTGCGATGCTAGGTTCAAATTGGTTCAGCTCGTAGATCTTTTTGCAGTGAATCCTTCTGTACAATCCAACCTGCAGACATGTTTTAGGCAAAAGGCAAAAGATCCCAACTTGCACTCACTGTTTTCTGTACATTTGCCATGGTGAGTGGTTGATATGTCAGTTTTGGGGGAGGTGGTCAACTCTCAGTACAGGCTGGTATGTAACTTATAACAATACATAGATGATTCATCCCCTATGAAAAAAATAGATGGAAAGTGTTACAGTTATATACTTATTTACATGATTTTACATGTTTAAACATGTTCAATAATGATTCCCCTTGGCTGAACTAACATGGATGCGGAAAATGGCCCATGTATAGATGATTTACCTACAGAAAATGGCGATGTTCCACATTTTTTTGTTTACAGTAGGGTAATAATACATATATATATATTATATATATACATGTATGCATATATATATATATACACACATCTGTATACATGTACAGAGCCTTAGCCAGTATAAGCAGGCCCTGTCAAGGTGGGATGATACTCAGGTCAGTGCCATTGATCTGGAACGGGACCATCGACGCTCTGACAGCGTTGGGAAGCTTAGGTGGTGGCTCCACATGCTTGGATGATACTAATCTTACTGGTGCTTAGTAGGGAATGGATGGGAATTGGGGAATGGGATGATTATTACTAGTGATTATGGATCATTCCCTCATTCCCTGCTAAGCACCAGTAAGTAACAGAATGGGATAAGTGATATACAGTGGATATATCGCCAACAAATGGACGGGATTGACGGGAAAATCAGTGGATTAGTGTTATCGAAAATCTGAAGGGAACTATTGGTTTTGTCCGTTGAGATTCAAGAGGATTCCTGTCTTAACCTGTAATTCTTCCCTGAACTTCAATTTAGGGAATGTATGAAAATAACTTTACTTCGGATGGAAAAACGTTTCAGCACGGTATGTTGAAAATGGGGTAGCCAAACCCTCACTATGCCGAGTGTATCTTTGGTCGGGACTCCAACTGGAACAACTGTCCGAGGAGCGTCACCATGCAGCTTTGAGTGACATCATGGACTCTGTCAAGGCCTTTGGAATGCGAATGATTTTCCTGTTTCAAGCAACTCAGGCAGGTTTTTGTTGATGCAACATGATGCAACCAGAAACACAAAACCAATTTCAAGAGCCGGGAAGATCTGTTTTTACTCAGTCTTGAAACAGACGTGATTATCACACAACCACCCCAGAATGACCCTGGTCTCTGCACGAAGCACGGCGGAAGGCCGAGCGTACTTTGCGTGCCAACGAGGCACTTCGATCTTGAGCTGTTTTTTGCAAGATTTGAGGTCAGAAGGGACACAAAAAGACAGGTTGTATGACTTTCGCGGGTCTGAATATGTTGCAATATATATATGTGTATATATATATAGTATATATATATACACATGTTATATACATGTCTCCATCATGTTTGATGATATTCTAAACCTATCTTTATGGGAATATATGGGAATGTGATGGAAATTGGTCACTTTTTTCGATCCTGGGTCGAAGCCATTGGCTCAAGATCCGACCTCGGAATTCTGCCCATGCTTCCAATGAGATCATAGGTTGTGATGTTCCATGGATTTCCAGAGGTTTCTTTATGAATCAACTTCCATGCTGAAACTCCCAAGTTGTGTTTCCCAAAGAAGAGCGAAGAATGCTTCAGTAGCGCCCAATTGCAGGGACTCCAACCCCCCAAACATGGCCATTTTGCAGCATGGCCAATGCCACTTGGCGAGTCTTGAAGTAGCTGAGATACTGAGAGGAGCAATACGTCCATATCGACACTCTACGTGAATTGAGCAGTATGTTTCAATGGATATGCACATAATATGTGTGTATATATATATACAGTATATATATATATATTATGACTGTATATGTATGTATGACTATGTATGTGTAATACCTCTGTATATATATATATAAACACTGTATCCACTTGTTCCAAGAAAGCAGAATGAAACAACACTCAACGCATGCCTGTTAGCCAGTAGGTCTAACTGTCAAACTCCAGGTTTGCCATTCTTTCAAGATTTGTCGAAAGCCAAGGTTCTGAGTGGGACTCTTGCTGCGCCTTGGCTGCAAAGTGGCCCAAACCTTCAACTGCAGAAGTTCACCGTCCGAGGTTCTCTCTTTGATCGCCGTGCTGGTGGCGTATCTCTGGTCCAAAACCAGAGCCATTCAGGACATTCAGGATCGGGAGCCTAGCCCTGAAAACAGCCCAATGAACTGGAATTTAGGTACTTCATGGTTTTTCTTTGTGTTTTTTTCTCCATAAATATGACTCTATGCATGTACAGATGTATACGTATATATTTATATACATACATATATATATATATTATGTATTTGTGCAATCACACAATTATACATATTTAATTGCCTTCGGCAAGCCCGCCGGCCATAGAGAGGTGGAAGCCCGCGAGAGAAGCAGAAGAGAAAAGAAGGAGAAGAAGAAGAAGAAAGGAAGACGAAAACTAATCCGTAAAACGGAAGCGGCTTGTGTAGAAACTGCTGGCTGTAACATGACAACCTATTGATCGTATACCAAATTAGTACCGGCCCCAGCAAAGTAGCGCCAGGTACTATATATGAGCCTCTGGCTTGACAGCAGACCCCTGCATGGAAGGAGACAGGGTGGAAGCGGAGAGAGATTGCCCAAGGGAAGTTGATGTGCACGCTAGGTGGAAGCCTGAGAGAGAAGCAGAAGAGAAGAGAATCAGAAGAAGAGGAAGAAGAGGAAGAAGAGGAAGAAGAGGAAGAAGAAGAGGAAGAGGAAGAAGAATAGACGAAGAATAGACGAAGAATAGACGAAGACAGAGCCGTAGATCAGATGCAGCTTGAGTAGCAAGTGCCTGCTTGAACAACTTATGGACCGCATAGCAAATGAGTACTGGTCGAGCAGTTTGGTACCGCGTGCGTCCTGTGACGAGTACCTGTAGACAACTGGCAGTGTCATTAGCTACCAGTGTACTTGGGGAAGAAGGGAGGAAGGAGTAGACGAGTAGAAGTAGGAGTAGGAGTAGGCGCAGGCGTAGTCGTCGTCGTCGTAGTAGTAGTAGTAGTAGCAGCAGTAGCAGCAGTAGCAGCAGTAGCAGCAGTAGCAGCAGTAGCAGCAGTAGCAGTAGGAGGAGTAGGAGGAGCAGGAGGAGCAGGAGGAGCAGGAGTAGGAGTAGGAGTAGGAGTAGGAGTAGGAGTGGAGTAGGAGTAGGAGTAGGAGTAGGAGCGGGAGTAGTAGTAGTAGTAGTTGTAGTAGTAGTAGTAGTAGTAGGAGTAGTAGGAGGAGGAGTAGTAGTAGTGTTAGTAGTAGTCGTCGTCGTTGTAGTAGTAGTAGTAGCAGCCGCAGTAGTAGTAGTGATTAGAGTGGGAGGAGAAGGAGTAGTAAATAGTAGTAGTGGTAGTAGTAGTAGTAGTAGTAGCAGTAGTAGTAGTAGTACCAGAAGTACCAGAAGTACCAGAAGTACCAGAAGTACCAGAAGTACCAGAAGTACCAGAAGTACCAGAAGTACCAGAAGTACCAGAAGGACCAGAAGTACCAGAAGTACCAGAAGTAGGAGTAGGAGTAGTAGTAGGCGTAGTAGGTGTAGCAGGTGTAGTAGGTGTAGTAGGTGTAGTAGGTGTAGTAGGTGTAGTAGGTGTAGTAGGTGTAGTAGGTGTAGTAGTCGTCGTCGTCGTAGTCCTAGTCCTAGTCGTAGTGGTAGGAGGAGGAGTAGTAGGAGGACTAGTGGGACTAGTAGGACTAGTAGGACTAGTAGGACTAGTAGGACTAGTAGGAGGAGGAGGAGTAGTAGTTGTTGTTGTAGTAGTAGTTGTTGTTGTAGTAGTAGCAGCAGTAGTAGTAGCAATAGCAGAAGCAGTAGCAGAAGCAGTAGCAGTAGCCGTAGCAGTAGCAGTAGCAGTAGCAGCAGCAGCAGCAGTAATAGTAGTAGAAGTAGGTGTTGTAGCAGTAGTAGTAGGAGGATGAGGAGGAGGAGTAGGTGGTGGGGGAGGGGTGCATTTGATTCAGACGAAGCAAAAACGCGCAGCAAGAGAACAAGGGAACAAGTACAAACCAAGAACAGAAACAAGAACAACACCTTCCAATCAGACACGCCGGCAGGCCGGCGGATTCATATATACTCATAGTATTCAGGATACCACCGAGTGCACATGTCTGTTCGCAATCAGGGAAGGATGTTCTTGGAATTCTTCGTAGTGTTTCTGTGACTCCAGGCTTTTCCAGAGGATGAAACGATCGAACATCAGGGGAAGTTTCTGGTCGTATTTTTGGTTCTCTATCTTACCTGGTAATGATGATCCCAGTTGACTTTCGTACTTCTGAGATGGCTTGAAACCACCAGCCAGTATCACAGAAACAACTGGATCCGCAAAACTGTTTGTCTTCTACTGGATCCTTGGCACGGCCAGGTAGCAGCATGTATGGGTTTACCCGAAAATACTGGTTGATGAGTTTAACAATTTCCATTACAGTGCCGTATAAAGTGAACATATGCCCCATTTTCAGGCATGCACATCTCTCCTTGCGAGGTCTTACCTGCTTACTCAGCCTTCGTCTATCAAGGTGCGGACAGCGGTTGAGACATGTTGAGACCCAGATCAAGCTGAGCTGTCTGAGTAGTTAGGGGATGTTGGGGATCTTCAGAAAATAAAAAAAAATGATACGAAATGCACCGGGCCTCGATGCCCCCAGAAGTTGTGGCCATGGGCTTGAAGATTGCCCAGGACGGTGGCTGGCAGAGGATGGGAGAAGAGAAGCAGACTGGCCATGTACGGCGGTGACCTTTGATGTCCAGGCCAAGTCAGGTGACCTCCTGAGGACATTTTTGAACACCATGAGGGGATGTCTAGAAAAAGTGGAGTGTCCAGTACTGGAGACTTGGGCATATGGAATTTCTCCCCAAAGCTGGTCATTTTAGAGTGTCACGGCAATTCGGCGCTCAGCTTGGCAGGCCACTGAAGCTCTGCGTTTTGGGATGGTTTGGAGCACTCTGGGGCCCAGCCGCTTCCATCTCACAGAGTCTTGGCCATGTCAGTAGATGGGCAAGTTGGGTGAAAAAATTGGACATTGGAAGATTGGCATGTCTTTAGTATTCTTTAATGTATGTTAATGTGATTTTATGTAATTCTCTAGTTAATTTTGTCTGCACAAATGCAAACACACATATTCATATCATATATTGATATATCCAGCAATGGGGATAGCAAGAACAAAATGGGACAGGATCAACCCCGAAACCATGATCCTGGAGGTTTCGATATATCGTTGCTAGTTTAGCCATTCCAATATATTGAGTTTTGAGATGTTTTGGCAACATTTGCCATTAACCAATAATCAACAATTAACTGATTAACTCGTAGTAAAGTATGAAAAAAACCGTTAACTTCGAGTTGCTGAAGGTGGTTTTCCCCCACTGGGAAATCCAGTACTTGGGCAATCGATGGGAAATCCACCACTTGAGGAATCCCAAAAGGGAGTATGCTTTTCAGTTTTTGCGACTTTACTTAAGTTAATCTTACTAATAGCAAGATGGGGATGGGCCAAAACCTATTATTAAATTACCATATTTGAGGGAATAAACACCAGCTACTTTCGGTTTTGAACATTTTTGAACCATAACAGTTTAACATCCATAACCCAATTTTCACCAAGCATCAGGTGGGGCATTCCTGGCGTTCCTCCCACGTTGCATGGCTCAGCTCCAGCAACGTGGCGTTGGTGGAGATTCCCCATGCAGGACGCCGGGACCGGGCCGGATTTGAAACGGCGAGAGAAGAAATAAAGAGAAACATCGGATAGAAAGAAAACAATATATGATATTATCGATATGAATATGTAATATAATATATATATATATACACATATATCAGTCTAAATGATTACAGAGCCTCAGGACGTTTCACGGTGGAGCTGCAGAAAGTCAGTGGTTCACATCCGTTGGGCACTGGACATATTGGATCATACCTTCCAGCACGCTGGGTGTCCTGACAGTGTTGGGGAACAGGATGAAAGAAGGATATGCGTATCTGTAAACATGACCATCATGACCACCTAGACATTTATCCAGAACATGTATATGTATATGTATGTATATATGTACATATGTAGACCAGAAGTATGAAGTATGTATATAGAATATAGAATATACATGTGATACTATATATATACATACATCTGTAAAGCATATATGTCGAATTTGTAGATCAACATACATATGTATACTGTATTTGTACATACATAGTGGTTTTCATCATACTCTTTCTGAATATCTTAATTTGACTGACTTTGAGTGGTCATGCCAGTGTGTTCGGCCATTGAGGAGCCTCATCGGTTTTCATGCTTAGGGAGGCAGCTAGTACCTGAAATAATTATGTAGACGCTTAGACGGAATCTATTTTGTAGTGCAAACAAGGTAAAACACTTGTCATGAAATGTCTATGGTGACTGTATTGGCTATCCACCGTGTTCCAGATGGTTCTGGACAGTTTGTATGTCTTGGTGGCTTGCACACCTTATTTGATTTGTTTATAAATTAACCATTGCCCACGAGTTACAACAGCCGTGGAGTCAGAGCTCCCAGGCCTTCCATGGTCTGAACAACGTTCCGAAGGATATGAAGCTGCTGCGGCCGGTGCCACTGGAGCGTAGGACACACGAGTTGAACCGGGGGTTATCGGAATGGAAGTGATACCGATAGAGTGAAACATGTTGCAAGATGACATTTGGGTGTGATAGAAATGGTCAAGTGGGTTTGGGACCCATTGCTGGGGAATCAACACGACAGCATTTTTTTTGCCTCCAAATGCCTGATTTATTGATCTGCTCAAGGCACTTTCCTGCCACGACGTTCGGCACAGTCTTCCAACAGTCAGCCATGGTTGGTGCTGTGTGCTTGGTTTCAACAAAGGCTTCAATGAATGGGGATAAATGCCCAATCATGCCTAATCCAAACAAAATCGTAGGAATCGATAGTCCAACAAAGGCACCGCCAACCAGTTCGAACATCATTTCTGGGACTAAGGTGCCAACCTTTTTTCCGGGTTGCCTCACTTCTTGCGTGCAACGGTGGTTGCTAAGTGCCTCTTTGCCAAGAGGATCTAAGAGGGGCAACTTGTTGAGCCAATTGCCATGTCAGGATCGAGTTCGTGGGCTCTGGCGAAACGCTGGGCTGTGGTGTTGATGGGAAAGCAGCTCGGTGAAAACCGCTGGCCTATGATTGGCCTGTCGTGCGTTTATGACTGTTTCTGTTTATAGATGGCCAAAATGTGGTGGTTTCGGGATACATCGGGATACACATGTGTTGATTTTCATGTTTTTCTCTTTGACTTGAGATGCTTGTGCCCAATGTTTTTTTCTTGGGCACGGCAGCGGGGTTGAAACCAGCCACCAGACGCTGACCGCTGACTGTTGCTCTTCAGAAGCGAAGCTTTTTCCTTTCATGGCTGTGGCAAGTCACCGAGCAGAACTGTCAGGCAGCCTACCCTGCTTTGTTAGCCAAAGAGTTGAAGGCTGCGTATCAGCTGGAGGCGAGTGCCTTGTTGTCACTGTGTATGATCTCATCTTTTGGGGCTAAAAATGTGGTTGGTGGTTGACCTCCCTGGTTTTGGTGGTTAGAGCTCCATCCAGCTTTTTTGAGTTTGTTTGGATCTCTGAGTTGTGAAATGTTGGACTTCAGTCATTGACCAGACCTGAGTTTCGGCTGTGGCCGTGGGATCATTCCAGCCTCAGGCACTGGTTGGAGTTGGCGTGGTGCAAAACGCCTATCACCACGTCCTTTGGATCAACTTGTTGCTTCTCATTACGATCCAACGAGGGCAACAGAACCTCTCAGAAACGGATTTTGTTCTTGAAAGGATCAACAAGGACATTGGAAAAAGAATCCAAATGAATCCCAACGAGTACTGTTACCCAGATGGAACGAGTTCAGAAGTCCGTGTCGCGGAGCAAAACCTCAACAAATATATACAACTTATACAAATATATAATTAAGCATGAAGTTCTTGACCCTGACCCAATTTTTGTTTATATTCACCAGTTGATCGAGATTGACAAGATTAATTGGATCGCTTAGATTAGATGTGAATTCAACAGCTTAGATTAAATCCGATTGACGGATGGGACAGGTTTGGTTGGACTAGGTTAGTTAGTAGATTGATAGATAGATACTGGTAGATTGTCGTTGGTCTACGTGAATCAGATAACCTGGATATTAGATAGATACAGTCAATAGATCAAGAGAATGGCATAGAATAAAATATACCAGATTCCGAAAAACAAAAAGCAAAAACACAATAGACAAAATATTTCACTTCAAACACATAGAATATCATAGAATCATAATATAACAGAATAGCCAAGTAAGATGGAGATGAACAGATAGGATAGATACACAACCTCTTCAGGGCTCGAGTCCTGCCATCGGTTTCTCCATTTGAAATGACCAGTTTAACTTGGATGACCCAGTTCTTGGGCTCAAAAAACAATTCTCCATCGCCTTTTGGAGACGACTTATTTGAATCCAGGTATTGTAAGTGCTGAGAGTATATAACCCCCCCATCCCCTGTGTTTAATGATCAAGTCAACCGTTGATCCTTTCTATCTTTGGAGTCAACTCAGTCAACTCATGTTCCCTTTTTTTTTGGGTTCAATCACTTCAATCCCCATGGCCATGATGGCTTGGTTAATGTCAGGAAGCTTCGTTTGGCCAGGTGGCACAGCACTTGTTGGGGGACAAAACCTGGCTGCACTACTGGCCCCGGAGGATGGCCTCAGCGGCGGCCGGTGCGGGTGAGCTGCGTCGTTACCGGCCGCAGCTGGTGGTGGTGACCTGGCGCATCGAGGAAGTGGGATTTTAAAAGGCGAAAATTGTTGGATGGTGATTGGAAACATGGAGTTGACATGTTACCTATACTGTGCTATATATGTAATATTACATGTACATATAATTATAATATGTATATATATATATATTATTTGGATGTGTTCTTTTCCTATGTTCGGGGGATAAGGTATTTCCTATTTGACCTCTACTTGCCTGAAGTGTCCAAGCTTGCATAGTGGCATAGTGCATCTGAGGTTCACCTGGGTATCGATGACTTCAACCAGCAAGGCGGCTGTTGGTGCCAGATATCGGATGGTCATTGGAAAACCCAACCTCCATCTTTGGTGAGTCTTTAGAGCTATCAATGTGAGATTGGCCCAAACTGATGCACATCAGAAATGTCATCCTTTCCAAGAAAGGACAACTTTTCTGAATATCCATTGCCCCATGAGCCAAAGCTGTCCCGGACGACCTCCTCAGGAGCTGCAGTGCCAACCAACCACACCTTCAGGGTGGTCTACAAGAAGCTCTTGCATTCAGTGCCTGTGGCTAAAAACTCACACCAGGTGGACAGCTCCGTTGATGCGTTTTGGGGTTGTTTTTGATCATCAGGCCCCCCTGGTGATAGTAACCATTCATGAAGGAAAAAACAACAGCTGGAACTGGGTATGTCATTCAGAAGCAAGTCATAGGGGGGTTCATGGTGCTTCAACAGGGATCCACTAGGATGTACTAGGATCACAGTTTGAAGGCCATTACTGGTTGATACTCTAGATGTGTTTTTTTCATGATGTGTCTTTTTCCAGCCTACCCGTGATGATTTGGATGATCATGGATGATCCCCATTCTACTTTCATATTCTGTACATTGTGTTTCAAGTGGCTCAATCACCAGTGGAAGCCGTGAATCTGCGGGAAAAACCTGGAAACAGCGCTGAGATCATCGAAGCCTACGGCGGCTTTGGGCAGAAACTCACCATCTTGGCGCTCTGTGGGGGACGGTCCAATGGCTCCAATGGCTCCAATGGTGCAGATCCATGCGTGGCCTGTAGTCGGGTAGAGGAGCGGCCATAGGAGTGATATCACCTACTCTTAAACCAAAGCAGGTGAAGCTTAGAGATGTTTCATGGATTTTCATGGTGTATAGTTCTAGCTCGAAAATCCAGGATGACCCCTCAGCAATTGAGCAATTTGATGCAATTTGAGAATTTTCTAGATCCATTTCTGGGAGAAGCTGAAAGACTCTGATGCATTTTGTTGGCTACTTAGCCATAGATGTCCTTTTCCCATTGGTTGGTTGATTAATAGAGGGCTTTGTTACCAAAAGGACATTATTGTAAAATAGATTGTCCTTAGCTATACTTAGCTGTGATTTTCATAGTTTTGGAGTTTTCACCGAAAATCCACCAGGATGCAGTGCGATACTTCCACGACACACTGGATTTGCACGCAGACAATGCCACCGTCCAAGTGGAGTACTTCTTTCTGCCCTGCTGTGTCGAGACCCCATGTGGCGGACCGGCGGACTGGGTCAATGCTGTTGGAGACTACTTTGACCTATCCGACCTATCCAATTTTCTGGTACCCACTGGTTTTACGTGGGTTTTCCCATGTTTGACCCGTCCTTATGTTTTGTATATGCAGTCTGACACTGGGGTCTAGCTTGAGATGGTGAGAGCAGGATCCAAAATGCATCCAGAATGTAATCAGAATTTTGAAACGTGGATAGTTTAAACCTTTTGGATTTCGTCCACAATGTGCTGACTCTTGACCATCTCACCTTATGAAATCAGGGCATGACCATGCTTTCAAACTGACGGGGTGTTTTCTTTGTCCGTAAATATCCTTCGCTGATCAGTTCGTTGGTCACATGAGGGTCTTTCTGGAAACTCGACATTCCACGTCAAATTCGTTTGATGATACTGATGTTTCATGTGTTTTTTCAGTCTCGCAGTGTGGACCCCTCTCTCTCTCTCTCTCTTTCTCTTTGGCACGCACTTACACTGAATACACAAACCGCTTGGGTATTTTGGAGTACTTGATACATATGTCATCATATGTCACCATATCTTAACTATACTTCAGATTGTGTTTGGTATTTTCTCCTACTCATTGTGTAGGTCAAACTTCTTGGATCCCTTGAAACTCTCAAAATGCGTGCTTGAATCTACCGATGACGGTACCAATTGCCCTAACATTCCGAATTTATGGACTCAATATAGTAAACCCATGTAGCCCCCAAAACGAATCTTAAAAGATAGACATTTACCACTATTTTAAGATACATTAAGATACTATTATCCACTACTTTGTTTGATTGGAACATATTGGAACTAAAATAGTGTCTTTTTGATTCTCAGAGTTTGATGCGTTGCTACCCCAGGTACGCCCTCAGACTCTGGTGCCCTGACCTCCTTGGGTGGCATCGGTGCTGCGGAGCATCAGAAAATGGCCAGCAGAGTGGCATCGAAAATCAGGCGCGAACGGAAGGAGTTGGTCTGGCTGCGGCTTGGCGGATTTTTCATGCTTTTTACATTGGAAATTGCCATAGGTCCAGTGGAAAATATGTGAAAATATGTAGTTATCCAGATCCCAATTTGTTTTGGGTGTGCAAATTGGGGAGTGTATGTTCCAATGCTTTTATGGTCCTATCAATGGTTAAAGTGGATATCCAGATATTCAACAGTTTAATGATCATGGAGGGCATGGGACCAAAATGGTTCACCATGAACAAATGGATGGTGTCAGATCCTAAAACTTATCCAAAAATCCTGAATTTCAGTTGCTATGTTCCAAGTCGTTGATGTAGGTTTGTTTAGAAATGAAGTACACCACACCCCTTGCTTTGCCAATTTAAACGGGAAAATGATGAACCCCAGCTAAGTAGCACGAAAAAAGAAACGGGTTTTAATTAGAATGTGTTAGGTATTCTTTCAGCTGGATCCAGAAATCCTCAAATCTCAGTTGGGTTTGTGTGAAAATAGGGTACCCCCAAAATAATCATGTTTGCTATTCTTTCAAATTACCCTTTTGGAACATGTTCCACTGTTTTTGCACAAACGCATAGGTTTGTTCTGTGTGTCGATTGTGTTTGATGTGATTTGTTCAATCAGAAATGAAGAGAAATGATGATATCCTTGAAACTTCATGCCTGGTCAGCTTCAAACCAACTGAGTGTTTTCAGCTTTTGTGAGGACGAGATTGACTATGAAGAATTGCAAATATTTGCACATGCAAGCTCGATAAATGTTTCTTCTTTCTGAAGTTTTGTCATCAACACACAAAATTACATGTTGGCACTTTTTATATTCGTTTTATACAGCTTCGTTTGGTCATATGATTGGCTGAACCTGGCAGGGCGCTAATGGATTGGTAGCCACCAGCTATGATGGCCGCAGCGCAACCGTGGGAAGCTGTGGCGTTGCTCAGTTCGTTTCTGGCAATATCTGGCAATATTATATATGATATATAGTATACATATGTCATCATATATCCATATGATTATGTATGAATGCTCGTGCATTTATAAATATATACGTGATTGTGGATGAATATTTATATATACAGGCATTTCAATGTTTAAACGATATATAGCGTTTACATTGACTACATTGGACACATGCACACACACAACTTAACTCCTTCAAACTTCAATCATTATGATTTTCCAGAGAAAGGTTTGAAACGTAGCAGCAGCAAAGCAACAACCATGTGGCCAAAGTGCCGCTATTTCAAGGGGGGAAACTGCCAAAGCTTGCGGTTCCTTCGGCAGATGACAGCATCAACATCAAAACCTATTGCGCGTCTTGGTGAACTTTAATAGATACAGGGACATGGACATCGTCCGCTTTTCCAATTCATGTGACGCTGATCATTATATATCTTATGTTTTCTGTTTCTCTGGCTCCTTTTCAGGATTTCATGAGTTACCAACACGTGGTGTTTCACGGGGATCAAGAAGAAATCAACGGAGAAGCCGATCGACCGATGCGGGTCACCTAGGAGCTGGTCTCCGATGACATTTTTGAATAGACCATTCAGCAGGATGTGTCCATTTGGATGTGCCGCAAAAGTGTCTAATTCCAGTGTTGCTGTGCATCCACATCATTTCCACTGACATCTTGTTTTCACGTGATACAATATCTATTCTCATGAGTATATATTATGATATATAATTTAAATCAACATCTACATGGAGAGTATAAATCCTATCACTCTCCATTTCTTTGTGACTTTGGGATTTTTTTTCAGCCCAATTCGCTGACTGGGTCGGTAGGTGGAGAAATTGCGCTCGGCTTTGGCACAGTTGGCCTTGAACCTCCAGTGGGGAGTCCAACCTTTTTTTTGCCAGGCTTTACTCTCTATGAACATGGGTCATTAAATGTCCCCATTGAACATCACCCAACCATTAGGTATATGGTCTATAATGGCTACTATAAGGTGAGGTCCAATATACCCAAAATGGGACAGTTACCAACCCCTGATGAATGTTAATTTAGGATGGATGGATTTACCATTATTAATCCATTTTACTCCACAAATTATGGATTAATGATGATTAATGTTAGTACAGCAATAGGATCCACCATCCCCAAATTATCCCCAACCTTTGTCATTGTTAATGGGTAATATAAACCATCGAAATATAGCTGGTTTATGACATTGCTTTACGACCATTAATCAAACATGGGAGTGGAAACGCCAGTCATGAGTGGATATGGATGGTGTACTTTCCATGGCCGGGTAAAAATGATGGTTAGTACGGGCAACTATCCCAAGATGACCTTATTTCAGGTTGGTGGATTATTATGATTTACCCAGTCTACATAATACATATGCACGTGTATATATATATACACACACATCGTATAGCTATGTGTATTCATAGTATTACTTATATCATATTATATATATATATGTATTTATATTCATATGCATTTATAATATGTGTATCATTTTACACGTATCTAATACATACATATATATATATACACTTTCAAAGTTTGGGAATGACCCTGTCAGGTCTGCCGCAAGCAGCTCAGAGGTCTCCAGCCGGTGGTCTGAAGCCTTTGTCGGGAAGCCTGGGTGTGGAAAACATGGGGGAATTTAGCCAGCAAAAAATGTGGTTTCATGGGCCATGGGATTCAATGGTGATTTCATGGTATCAAAGGCTGCTTTCATGGGATTTAACCATGTTTAATAGGGTTCAATATGGAATTTAACCAGCAAACATTGTGGTATAAAGCCAACTTAATGGGGAGATGATGGGGTTAAGATGAGAGATACAACCAGCAAAATGCTATTTAAGTGTCTCTGGAAATGACCAAATGGCTGCCAATAAACATGATTCTTAAATGTGGTATAAATATAATATTATATATATATATGGGTTTCCTGTTTTTTAGACAAACCCCAAAAATGCTGAAATCAAGGTCGAATGCCAGGTGAAAGAAATGCAGTGAAAGGATGTTTTCACGATTTACCCCAACATTTTACTGGCGAACATCGGTTTTGGGATAGGCCATCCTGCTGTAAACTGTCCAGGGCATGCAAGAAAACATGTCACTGAAGATCCTCGCGTTAAAACTGAAGGGCTCTTGAGGCTCTTACACTCTGGTAATTTAACATAGCTATTGAAAATGGCCATTTATAGTGAGTTTTCCCATTAAAAATGGCCATTTTCAATAGCTATGTTAGTCATTACCAGAGGGTAGTTCATGGACACTACAGGATGGTTTCACCCTCGGGTGATCCCTTAGTGAACCAACTGCTCCGAGGCCTCTTTGCGCAGTTCTCTGGAGGCTGTGAATGCTGCTGTGTTTTTGGATGTTTTTGGTTGAACAGCTAAAAACATCCAAAAACATCCAAAAACATCCATGATTGACGGTGTTTTTGGTTGAAATCATGATTTAGTGACTTTATTGTTAACTCCGCTGGGTCAACAGGTCCCACCGGCAATCATTGACTGCTGCAGGACTCCTCAAAGAGCCAAGAAAGTGAACAGGCCCATTCTGGGAATTTGGAATTGGTGATTTGGGTTGAAATTTCAGGCATGTTTGGATGGCAGTGAGAGTGAGCATTCTAATTCCTATGCTTGGGACAGTGCAAGCGCAACCAGGGCGAAGGCAAGGGCGAAGAGGCGCTTGGTGGTCACACCATCACACAGTTGCCGCTTGGTCGTGACGGGTCGTGTGGTTTCAACATGTTTCACGTGCCTTGGGTGATCCCCAAATGACCCATGTTCCACCAAGGGGCCGCGAGGTGGCGGAGTTGGCGAACCAGCTGTGTCTTGGTGGCCTCCATTGGTGTGGTCAAAACCATGGTTTCCTGTAACAATAGTTTCAATATATTGCCATGAAATAAGTTTATAACTATTTATAACACTCTTAGAATATACCTATGACATCTTATGACATCCTATGACATCCTATGATCAAAAATAGTTTTGTACCATCCATATAGAACTTTGCATGGTCGCAGCATCAACAGTGTTAATCATTTGTCGGGGGATGTGGTCAATTGAGCTGGTCCGGATACATGAATGCGAATGTCATTGAGGAATGGCCAGGGTGACACAGGTTGAAAAAACAAGAAAAGGTGTCTACCCTTTGATAGCCAATATGGATGATGGCGCATATTTATACATGATTTACTTCACCTGTCAATACTGTTCAAAAAATGTGATTTTCCGCTATGTTAAAATTATTGTTCACCGGTGGAACATGGCAAGAGTGTGGGTCAACATCCTACGCTCATCTATACTTGATGCTGTCCATGCAAATTGATTTCCTTGTGATCGTTTCGACCCTTCTGGGATGAAACCATGAAGCAGGTCATTTACAACATACCTTGCTTCGTTCTGAAAAAGTGTTGCCAGGCTACAAGGGCCTGAAAAACATCTACAACAAAAGTATACAACAGTCCCACATTTGATCCGTGCCGAGGCATCAGATTCATCAGCAGGTCTTGGCACAGGATAGTTCTGCTATGCAGGCCACCGTGCGAGTGGGTTTTGCCCCGGTGGGTCTTAAGAAGTCTAGGCGCAGGGCTGCGGGCCAAGCTCTTGTCCCATGGCCAGCACAGTCCCTCCTCATCATCCCAGCACAGGTGGCTGCCAAGTTGCGGGGAGAGGTGCAAGCCAAGTCAGCAGAACTTCGGGGAGACCTGGTCTGGAAACCCAGATGGTCGGATGGCCACTGCTTGCCCAGTTGACCAGCTGGCGGATGGTGATGCAGAATCCATGATGGGAATCCCTGTCAGCCAGGCAGGAGATGAAAGAGATGGACATCCAGAGAAGATAATGTACAGACAGGAAGATGGCATTGCAGTTGATGGCTTCAGCCATATTAATATGAAAAAGAACACTACAAGCTGGTGGTTGCAATGTGGCCAGAAGACATGGACATGAAGGAAACGTCAAATAACATCGAATCAACATATCAAGATATATCAACTATATCAACATATCATATCAAACAGTATGACATTATGTTGAGCTTTGCAGTGTGACCTACCTGCTTCACTTTCATATCGTTTCGCATGGTCAGGGCACCTGGGTGGCGACCAGACTAGTTTTTCATCACCAGTGGTTTAAGCCCTCGTCGTAGCATCTCAGGCTGGACTGCGTACGGAGTTGCTTCAGAAGCTGGAGGATGTGGGGGGTCTGTTTGTGCGATGGGGAAACTCTATGAAACTCATGGAAGCTCCCAAATCCAAATCTCAAGGTCGATCGGCATTTTGCCCATCTATCATAATCTATCAATATAGCCATGTTGGTGGTATTTCTGCATTTTTGGACGAACCCATTTTGCAAAAGTTTTCACGTTCCAAGAAAAAGCGGGAATGTGTATATAAACAAATTGGGATTTAGGCAGCAGAAGTATACAAACTTGCTAGAATTTGGACATGAATGGAAAACAAGAATGCTTGCTATCGAGACAGGCCAAGTGCAGAACATTGCTGGCGCTATCAACGCTGAATTGACATAATTCGAATCAACTCGAGCATTACGAACAGGTGCAGTGCAGGTGCAGGTGCTCGTCCCGGGTTCGTCACATATTTTCTGCCCACCAGATGGGACCCTGAAGGATGCTGGCCCAGAGACCAGCCCAGCCGGACAACCAGGTGACAATTGCCGCTGTGGGTTGAAGATCTGGTGAACACATGGAGGATCATCCCAGGGATAGTAACTGGATGTAACTGTTTGATAACCCGATCGTCAATAAGTCCGCTAGCTATCCGTAACTGGGCTATCCGTCTATAGTTGGGTTACAAGTTATAACCCCTTGAGAAACTTGGAATAACTTGGAAGAAGGGCGAGGGCCCAGATCATCACAGGTGACATGGCGGCACCACATCCCTGTTGCACGAACATGCGCATGGCCACTTTTCAGAACTGCACAAGGCTACCGACATGTCAAGACAGATTTGGCATTCTCCAAAAATAGGTATACCATGGGATACCGGGTGGTCAATCATCCCCGTGAAAGATGGCCATTGATCGTTTGGGTCCCGTTTTGGGACCCAAGTGATGCAGGTGAGCTGCCCTCTTCTGGAGGCCAAGGGTCACCATTGGTTGACTGGGTGTGCGGTATTGTTTAGCGATGCTACTGTATCTCCAGGTATCCCAAGACCCAGTTGAATCCAGGCTTTATCATTTCGTTGGAAATTTTGATCCCGTTCTGGGGCACCAACCTTTGGGATCTTTCCTCTGGAAATCATGGAAATCTCACCAATGGGAACCCCCATCTTCAATCATCCACAAACGGGTGCATTTTCCATCACCAAGTTTTCCAGAAGGTATGCAGGCATGCTTCAGGATTCATAGGTGGTTTAGTGTGTGATTTGAATCTCCCCAGCATTGAGCTAAAACCCCCGACCGAATACACTGACCAAGCGATCATTGGCGTAGTTTTTTTTTTGCGGGGGTTTCGGAATCGTTCACTCCTAGAACTGGCCGGACGTGAACATGTTTTTAATTGGAAGCCCGTAGAAAAAGAAATCAAGTCCCACCATGGATGATGAACATACCCATTAGATCCCATTAGTGGATGGTACAACATAGCATTTACCCTCTGGTTATTTAACATAGCCATTGTATAGATGGCCCATTTATAGATGTTTTACCTGTTAAAAATGGTGATTTTCCATCGCTATGTTAAATAGCCAGAGGGTAATGTGGTCAGCCCAATACCTACATAAACCTAGCAAATTTGGGATGGTTGACATCCCAGCCATAAATTTCTGGTGATGATTTGGGGATGGTGTATGGCAGCCAGGGTTTACCACTAGTCCATTTATAATACCCATTAGTGGATGGTATAACTATACAACATACATAACACACCATTTATAGATATTAAATAAATTAAATGATATTTATACCATTCATAGATGCATATTCTATTGCCATCTGGTTATTTAACATAGCCATGGAAAATCACCATCTTTAATAGGTAAACCATCTATAAATGGGCCATCTATACCATGGCGAACTGTTAAATAACCAGATGGTATATTCTATTTATAGCATATCTTTTTGGATCCCATCAGTAAGACGGCCGAGCAGAGGTGGTCTTGCTCTGGCAGGGCAGATGCACGAGTTGATGAGGCGCGAGTGACTTGGGGATTTCACCAGGTATGGGGGGTCTTTTGGTCAAACATAGGGATTTGACCATCAAAAATTGGAATTAAACCATCATAAACAAATGTTAAACAATACCCTCTGGTAATTTAACATAGCTATTGAAAATTGCCATTTATAGTGGATTTTCCCATTAAAAATGGTGATTTTCCATAGTTATGTTAGTTTACCAGAGGGTAAATAGTGTGAATATCTGTGAATTACGTTAGTTCGTGTGATCCCCACCATACTAGAAACATTTTGACAAAAAGGCTGACACATGTCCTGACATCAATATATGAGGTTTGTTCGGACGATTTATCCTGACATATGTTCCGAGCTTAGCACGGGGTCGAATTTTGGTGGGGCACAGAGTCCGCTTGGTGAGTCGGAGTGCTTTTGCACAAAGAGTTCGGGAGCTTGCTATGAGACTCTGTGAAGATTGACACGAAGTCCGCTGATGCACAGATCCTCGAGCATGAGAGGAGAAGGATACGGAGAGGAAAGGAGGAGCCAGGACGGGCTGACATAAAATCTAGAGACCCTCACCTGACAGGCGGGGGAAAAAGGAGATTGAATGAAGACGTGGAGCGAATCAATGAAAAGTTTGGAGTCAATTGGGAACCTTGGACTGTTTGGAGATGATATCTTCATTTTGTTTTATGCATGCTTCGATTATCCAGGTCATTGAACTGCTTGCTACAAGTCTGTCCGCCTCAAACAACATTGACCAAAGGTTCGCAGACACCTGGGCCAAAATAGTGAGTTTTGACTAGTAACGATAATATGTAAAATGGAAGCATGCAAGACTCATGCAAAGAATATCAAAGAATTATAAAGACTTATTTTATCCAAAGCAGCCTGCGCTGAGTCCTAATATGAAAAGAAATCAGCGAGAATGCCATTTAAAGAATGAACTGCTCCAGTGTCATCTAAGTTGATATTCTCTAAAGCGCCTAAAACTTGTTCAATGATTTGTTTCATTTCAGTGGTACCCTTTGGTTATTTAACATAGCCATGGAAAATGGCCATTTCTAATCGGTAAATCATCAAAACACTTATAAATGGGCCATCTATACCATGGCTATGTTAAATAACCAGAGGGTACCCTCTGGTAAACTGACATAACTATGGAAAATCACCATTTTTAATGGGTAAATCCTTGTAAATCCACTATAAATAGTCATGTTCAATGGCTATGTTAAATAACCAGAGGGTATATACTATGTCGACATGAATTCTGTAATCGTTGGAATCCCGGTTCGCCCAAGCACGGCCTTCAGGTTGGTGCAAATCATCGCTCAGGGCACCGAGCATTTAGGGGAGAAGCTCTGCGACGAGGCCACGATGTGGGGCAGTGAATTATAGGTGATGTGATTGCCGCTCAAAATGGGTGATACCCAAAAAATAACCATATTAATTTAGTGGGAAAAAATGGGAAAAAGGATTATTAAGCAGTGGATTTGGTCGTATCCTATTTTCCGACAAACCCATGTGGATTAGTAAAATCATCGGCATTGGAATGGCTGCAGGATGTAGTGGACGGTGCATTTTCTGGCGGTGTTTCCATAGGTTTTATGCTTGGACGTTCGGTCGATTTTGGACATGTTCAGATGATTTGCGGATTTGCTTGAGAGGTCTCTGATCGCCGGCAAGCAGATGCGGGACAGCTCAGTTTTTTGTTGGTGCCATTGGATATATAACTTGTTTTATTGGTGGTGGAAACATTGTTTGAACATTTAGGAAGATATTCTGAAAACGAAGTTGACTGCTTATAACTGTTCTTCTGGGGTGCAGCAAGTGAACATCAGCGATTGTCGGTATGATATATGATGATTCGATGGTATATGGCTTCGAATATACTTGTAGTATCGTGTAGTACTTTGCAATGCGTACATTTATACGCATGTTCTGACGACGCATGACATATCACAGTTGCAGATTGCAGACATAGAGGTGTCCCTTTCTCTTTGTGTATTGCCTGACCCCAAACGTGTGAAGTTGATCCAATACAAGTGAAGACAACACCCATTAGGGTTGACTCCGCAAATTCGACGTGTATGTTTTCAAGTTAGCTCCATTTCAATTGTGAAATCAATGCTGGGGCCCCACCGGCTCGATGAAGCACAATGAACCACATGCCGCGACAGGCGATTACATAGCAATGCCTAAAATGGTGGAGCTTGCTCTACATATATATATATATATATCTATATATATATACATACATATATATACATATATAGTATATATATAAATTATATATATATATCCACGACTTCATCAAGTTCATTAAGCTCATCAATTCATTAAGTTCATCAAGTTCATCATGTGTTTTAGTAACGGAAACCTGGGGAAACCATGGGGAAACCATGGGCTTCGGTATGCCATCCCAGCCTTTTCTGGATGGGAGGCTACCTTGGCTGGACGATTGTCCTTTGTACCTTGGTTGAAGCTGCTGGTTGGATCTTTCATATCCAACAAGGTGGAGGATTTAACCATCAACAATATTAATGGGATTTAACGGGATTTATAGAATGGGATTAAGCTAACCTACAGTATGGTATTTGGCTGTGTCTGAAATGAGGTAGACCTTAGGATACCCCAGAAATTGCTCAGTTAACATGAACAAATATGATTATGATACATGGAGGGCTAGTTATTTTTAGTTTTTTTTGATCAGGTTTAGGATTTGTTTGGATTCCTGCTTTTCTGCTGTTCCTGCTTCTCTTCTTCTTCTTTCCCACTTCTCTGCTTTTCTGCTCATTAGAATTGCCCACTTGTTGGAAAGGCACGCTTTTGCTGCTGTTCACGATAAAGATGATAAAGACATAAAGACATTCAGCTATACAAGGTTTGAGTGTACCTGCGAGGCGTGAGTGAAAGCTTGGAGTTTTCTGGGGTTCGTCGTTTCTTGTTGTACAATAACTAGCCCTGCTGGTTAGTTTGGTTGGAATGGGGATGCGGTGCGCCCAGAAGGGGGTACATGATTGGTTGGGGTACAGGATCCCATATCCAATGCAAACATTTGAAGTTGCAGATTATTTCCATTGATTAGCACAGCTGTCATATTTCTATGATTAGGTCTCACTCATGTATTTCGTAGTCCGGAACCTTAATAGACCAAGGATTGCAGTACTTGGATATTCTGCACTGTCATTCCATAGACTTGTAATACCTTGTATATGATTATGGGAAAGAGGATACAAATATTCAAACACACCGTCAAGCGATGCAACATGCTGAGGTCGAACGGTTTGTTGGCGAGGTCCTTTGCAAGGGGAAGGGCTCATGGTGACATCAATCCACCAGCATTCCTACTGTTGAGAGGATCCGTTTTATCCATTTTGGGTGTCCTGGTTAAAAAGTGGATAACAAGCATCCTTATAGCTATAACACGTAAAACTATTACTTGGATGCGCCCAGTTGGGTACCAGAGTGAACCAGCGAGAATTACTAGGATGCACCTCCAAATGCACATCGAACCTGGAAGTTTGGGTACAATTTCATGGAACCTGGATGTTCATGCAACCGCTGTCCTGAACGGTGCCACAACAAACAAACGCAGCATTCTCGCTGGAGAATGCGAAAAGTAAGTGTTGCCCTGAAGTAGACCAACAATGACTAAACCAGATTTTGGGAAATCCGTCGGTTTTCCTGGGAAAACGATCTACCCATGGGTTTTCCATCCTTTATCTGGCCTGATCGCTTGAACTGTCGAGTTTTGGCCCAAAAACTTATCAGTGAGAAGTTGGGACCCGAATTACAACATCTGAATTACAACTTTGATGTGTATTCTCAAATATTAGACCATATTAAACCAAAGTTGGGGACTCCTAATCTATATAATAAGCATATATTATTTTTTGGGTACACAAACTATATCTAAAAATAACCATTGGGGAGCCCTGGGCCACCAATGTTGGCAGGTGCCAGGACCACCAGAGGCGCCTGGGTATTTCGGAAGGGGGAATCCCCACCAGCTGGTTTAAAGGGGAAAATCCCCCGAAAAAAATGATGGATTTTCCCCTTTAAATGTTGGAAATTCATGGAAATTTTGGAAAAATGTTGGAAATCCCCACCAGCTGATTTGGGGGTACACCCAAAATGTTGGAAAGCCGACTGGGAAACGGAAATTCATGGAAATTCACCCGTTAGAAGTGGGCCGTGGGGTGGCAAAACTTACCGTTAAGCTTAAAGGAACTCTGCTGTACATGGTCAGATGAATTCAATGAAGGTGAGGTGAAGGTTTACAGGACTTGCCAGCAAGACACTTGTTGTGCCAGCATGAATAAAGACTCCAAACAAAGGAGAGAAAGTCTCTGAGAGAGATCTTGAGTTTGCCTAAGCATCACAGTCTGTGTTGCCGAATTCTTTTCAATTATTGTTAATTCTTATTGCTACTCCATGGCACCCAACGCCACTGAATAAATCCTTGAACCGTAGGGAACATTTGCAGAAAACCTCAACACATATTCAATGCTAGCTAATCGTTTCCTCCAATTCTTCCATTGAAGCAACTGAACTTCTGTTTGGTTTGTACGCTGGACCATGCAGGTGATGGGAGAAGTGGAATTTTCCGCTGGAAGCCCATTGCTACTTGGCGGTGCTGAAGTGGGTATCAAGCCAGGGGTATGAATTTCAATCATGGGAGGAAAGGGTACCAGTTGCCCTGCATTATATATACACATGTAATTGCATAATTGCTACGTCGATCAAAGACGGAATCTTCCTTGTTTCACCGATTCCCAGTCATTTACCCAGCTTTGAAACCCAACAGCAGAGCAGGTACCAGGGTTCCAGGGTACCAGGGTTCCAGGTTCCAGGGTTCCAAGGTTCCGTAGCGGTTTTCAGGGCATACAAAAAGTGCACCAATCACTCCCAGACCCAGAGATGGAAACCGCAACAGTCATTGCTGTTAGTAAATATCGTATCCTCAAATTCTCATAATTTTTGCTTGGTGAATAAAGATCGTTGAATCATTTGAAGTTGACAAGCTAGCTCAAGCAACTGTTTTCTCACGGGAACTCCTCCTAATGGGCCCCAATGATGGCGTGCTTCTAGAGTGGACCCTGCCTTCAACTTTAGCCTGAAGTCGTTTGTGTAAATTTCGACCCTACAAGCGCCTTCCACCAAAGGCCCAAGAGAACTTCAGTGGTACATGTGTCCCCAAAATTAGTTGACCCATAGATGTCCTTTTTCCACTGGTTGGTTGATTAGTATTAGAGAGTTCAACAGTCATCCATTCACCACTCTGGGTAACAGATGGTGACTGACCATCAATAAAGATAAATAAGTGTTTTTCGTAAGGAACATATTTTTCAATATCATTGGTATCATTGGGAAGGTCATCCATAATAATCAATTAATATGCCATGAAAATCGATTCCCTCACTTTGATGGCCATACGGCTTGCCACAAAAAACCTCCAAGGTCGCTCAGCAAGCCGCCTTCAGATGGAGCAACAGGTGCGATCGATTGATGGGTTGCACTGCAACTGATATAACTTCTAGCCGTTTTTTAGATCGTGCAAGCCAGTTCCCAATCCAAACATTATGAGACTGATTCCTAATCGACTAGCATTTGGGTTGAAACCATCGATTGCTTAACATGTTTTTTGAGGACAATGGCATGTCAAACTTCTTCCGGTAGTCACTTGAGCACGCACCCACAGCATGGTTGGACCAGCCGCCCTTCTTATAGGCCGAAATCAACAGAATTCGTCACTTCCTACAGGTTCTGGAGGTTTGCTACAACCTGGTGGTTTTCCTACAGAGGCTGGTGGTCGTTGTTGTTACCTAGACGATTGACACCCGGTTTGCGTGTGGAATGTTTGGCATGGAGTCGTCTGGTAAATGGTCGCCAAGCAGATGAATACACTGACTTGGCATTCTTTGTTGGAAACATGCTGCACCCCATTAAGTAGTATTACCCTCTGGTAAATTAACATAGACCCTGGGAAATAGGACTTGGAAGATTAGTTTCCATTAAAAATGGGTTATTTTCAGGGTCTATGTTTATTTACCAGAGGGTAAGTCCATCTGGGAATGAGACATTTAGCCATCGTGGAAGCCGCCTCACAGGGTGCCAACAAGCAGTCTTTGGTCAGTGACAGCCTAAAGGCGGGAACAAACCAGCTGGACTGAAAATGTCTAAAACCAATCATGTCCTTTGGGGAAAAAAAATAGATGGGTCAGCTTCCAGTTCACTGTCTTAAGTGGACGTTCGTTCCCCATTTTAAATCCACCAACGATTGGGAGGATGACATCTATGAGTCTATGAGTGTAAGATTCATCACAGAAGTCCAACGTGGTCAGATTCAGAGAACTTGGATATCAGAGAATTTTTATGGAGTTGCTAATTTCTACAGTAGCAATAAACCCCCACAATTTTGCACTAACAATTGTGACCAATTCATACATGTCAGAGTGCCATGTGATACCTGACATCTGGTTATTGCGTCTTCCTCAACTGATTTGTTCAACAAAAGCACCATTTTTTCGCAACAAATTCATAGACGATGTTTATTTGCTTTGCACAGATGTTGTTGCGTCAGCAGGATTTGATCCTTTTCGTCAGGCATGTCTTTTGCAAAGAACTGGCAGCATGGACGTGAAACGTTTGTCAACACAGATTTGGAATGCAGCAGTGTATGATTTGCCAAGCGCATCCAAGCGCTGTGTATCATGATCAGCCAGCACTACAGTATCAACACCTCCCTACAGTAGCCATGTCGATGTCCTGATGTCACGGCGCCAAAGAAATGCCGCTCAGGACTCCCTGGAACAGCTGGTGACACGGGTGAATCGCATGCTAAAGCCTGTCCGGATCCTCAGAAACCACTGCGACATACTGCGACGAAAGAAGTGATGAATGGAAAATGGATGAAAATGGTAAGTATTGGATGAACATGGATGAACCTATCTCTCCATTTCTTTTGCAATCAAAATATATCCAAATATCATTAAATGTTTGTAATGCATTGTAGCGCAATGTAGTGCAACGCAAACTCAGACAACATTTCGTTGGTACTCGTCAGTTATGTTCTGCATGTACATTAACAATATAAGCATGTATATATTAATTCAATTTATATGATATAATATCATATAGCTCATGAATATAGTCTACCATCATACAGTATGAGTGTTTGACGATTGACAGTCCAGGTTATGCTACTGTAATCAGCTTTGGGTTTCCAGCTATCCGCAACAGTCAACACCAGTTTCACCCTACTGTACATGAGGTTCTTGCGATGAGATGTTCATTCAAATTCCAGGCCAATGAAACTACTACTATCTGAAATGATTGAGTCCGAAGCTTGTACACGTACGACTGGATTTTGCATGTTTGTAGGTGGACCGTATGCCAGCTTGATGTTTCAGTATGTGGATGTGGGTCAAAATGGAAGACCGATGTGGGACCACAGATGTGAAAGTCTAGTTTAGTATTAACCATCCATAATTTTGGGGTACCTAATTTTGACCCATCCCCATGTTTCAGTAATATCTCTCAATCCGAGGGGCAGGAGAAGCGAACACCACGACAGGGCAGATCGCTGAACACGTCGTCACTCGGTTGTGGAGGGCTCTTGTTACGGAAAAGAGGTGGTTGCTCTGTAGATGCGTGTTCTGCAACATTTTACAAATTTTACAGCAACATCATCTCTTGAAGAATTTCCTTTCTGAAAGATTCTGAAAGTCTGTTCAGCCGCCTCATTCATTTAGCAGCCTATCCAGTTTCGCATTGAATGTGTATTCTGCAGTTATGTGATTCACACGCGAGAACATCTTGTATCAAGCAACTTTTTTGCAATGTATGTCTCATGCAAGAACCAATGTTGGTTCTTGTCTAACCGCGGATGTGTCATAATACTATTATTTGTCGGAATATCCCCATTTAGATCTCTATGACGTCTATTGTACCCCATCCCATTCTTCACAATCGTGGTTTATAATTATACCTATACTTGAAGGTGCATCACAGTTGCTAATCATCTAAGGGCTGCCGCCCCCTGCCGCCGACCCCAGGACTATTCAAGCTGATAGCAAACACCCTTTGGTACAACAGAAACGCTTTAACACACCGGCACGTTTGGTACACAGCATGCTTGTTTCAGGCGTGAGAAGTCTTCAGAGCACCCGATGCAGTGAGCCAGATGGATAAGAAAGATGGATACGGTGGATATAGATACATTGGATTGGATTAGATTAGATAGATCGAAAGAACGATAGAACGATGGAACGATAGATAGATAGATCGATAGATGGATGGATAGATAGATAGATAGATAGATAGATGCATGGATAGATAGATCGATAGATAGATAGATAGACAGACATATAGATAAATAGCCAAGCAACGCTTGACGCCATTGAGAGCGCGGGGCAAGCGCCACGGCATGAATCAATTTTAGAAGAAGTTCGACGTGAAATTCAGATAGTAGCTGTGCAAAAAGCAAGCAACTATATGTCCGCGGCGCATTCTGCACTGTGCCTGCCTCCGTTGGACGATTTTGCAACCCAGTGACCCAGTGTCCATCCACGAATACACATGCCCCTTCTGTAACGGCATTATGACGAACACTGTCAAAACTGGCCGGGTGGAGCATCGTCGCAGTGGTGGCTGCGGTAGGCAGCTTCATTTTCGTCATGGCGCGTGCGAACCCATGCCCCACCTGCAGGACGATTGTACAATTTTTCCTGAAGGACAGGCCTGGTGCTTCGATGGCCGCCTCCACTGCGATGGCCGCCTCCACTGCTTAACGTTGCCTTCTGAAATCCAAAAACTAGCTCCAAATCCTCTTGCCAAGCGTCCAAAAAAGCAGCCTCCGCCCGTGCAAAACTGCATGTCCCAGAACGACGGGCCTTGTGCTCGGATGGTGGTGCTGGTGCTGGCGTGGTGGTGCTGCTGGTGGTACTTTTCCTCTGGCGTGCTCCCCCTTGCTGATGGCCGGGGTCGACGGATTTATTGTTGGAAACCTGAAGGATTCAGGGACCAGCAACTAACTGGGATGGGGTGACATCTCCACTATATCATTGTATATCTCTAAATGTATGCTTTTCGTTAAGGCAACAGTAAGATTATCCAATTGGGATTGGGATCAATTGGGTATATATATATATATGTATTCCAGGTGCACAGATCAACATCCCATGGTATGGTGAGTGTGACATATCATTCTCCCCATGCTTCGTGGTCACCGTGACGCGATTTAGAAAAACCAGGACCGCAGCCGTCAGGATCTCAGTTTTCCGCCAAGGGACGATCAACTACCACAGCTCTGTTGATTGGCGATGTTTCGGGTACTGATTGATTGTGGATATTTTTAGGATTTCCAGAAGATGATACCTGTAGACCAAATCAGACTCACCAGTATTCCAAATTGATGCGGATGAGTTTTCCCTCTCAAGAAATGGCTGTAAAACAGGGCAGCCCCATGTCTGGTCAGACGTGAAATGGTATACATATGAATCTAATGTAATGAGGTATAATTAAATAAAATTATATAAATAAATCCAGTAATTTTTACCATTTCCAATTGGGGTTTATGAAATTGGGAATACCCCTCAACATGATGATTTCTGACCCCTAGTCATGGTTGGTTGGGATGGAAACAGCCACTGTAGACCACTGTAGAAACGATTTAAATATATATATTATATATATATTAAAACATGTTAAATCTATAGAGTTTGAACAACTGACCCACTGTGGCTGTTTCGGAATTTGTGAAGAGTGTGTTTTTTGGATCTTTGTTGAAACAAAACATGATCGACACTCCAACTCCCCGGCCCAGTCTCGTGACAACTCAATGCAGGGATCCCAGTTGAACCAGTTGACAGGGAACATACAGGAAAACAACCAAGCAACGAGTTGTGTGGACTTTGGGGCAGGGTTTCCCTTGTTTATGGGTTGTTTATGGGTTGTTTATGTCATGCTGTCCCCAACTCCACCCCAAAATTGTTCATACTGTAGCTGAGAGATGTCACCAACAAATCACCTCGTATTTGATGGTGTGGGACTCTGACACCATACCAAGGTGACTGGATTTCTATTTCAGTGGCTGGTATGAGCGGAATCACTTCTTCCTTTTATCTCCCTTATACTTTGCACGGAAGTGATTGATTCATTTACTGTATATGTATCGTAATCAGATAATATTGCGGACACCCAGTGCAGTTTGTGGCTGTGGACTCTGGTGAACTAAACCCACGTGTGTCTTACTAAGATTTTACTTTCATTTACCTTCCATCCTTCCTTGGATTTTTTCGAACATGGGGTGCCCAAACCCAAGGTGTTATTATCATTTCCCCTTTAGTGATTGCATTTTTTGGGGGAAAAACCTAGTTGGGACAAACCCAAATCTCATGTTGTTGGTACATGTACCAAATGCCCAATGTATATCAATGTATCCCATTTTATCTCCTTATGTCCCCCCATCATGGTTGGTTTTCTCGCCAGGCAGCAGACTTCAGGTGACTTTGGAGGTGGGACATGATGGACATGGCTGGCTGGAAAGTCCGTGGAAAATCCCCTGGGTCCCTGGAGGTTGTTTAATGGGAATGCGATCTACAAATAGTTCGATGTTTTCAATAGCTATTTTGTTAGATTACCAGAGGATGTATTTCCGGATTTCTGAGCAATGCTTTCAAGTTTCTATAGTTTCGACTTGCATCTGGCGGCAATGATCTTTTCGGGGTTCCCCAACTGCGTGGCTGGTCTTTTCAACACAGACGTGTTGGAGGTCCAAGGAGGTCCAAGGAGGTCCAAGGAGGTCCATTTCTAGATTTCTTATGATTTCTTCATGGAGTACCCCAACAGCCTGAGAATCTGAGATCTATATCATCACTTCCACATTAAAAAAACGTTGACATTCGATCTTTGGAGCCGATTAAATGGGGCCCATAAATGGGCATTTCAGCTGGCGCCGATCAAAAAAATGAAGTCAAGATGACAGGTTCATGGATCGGATGAATGAGGCAACATGATATTATATATATAGAGGAATCATGACAAATCATTGAATGGCAATTAGTAAATTAGTAGCTGGAGATCACTTGGATGATAATGTTCGATGATTGGATGACAACTAGATGGAAAATGAAAGGATCATTGAGTGACTTCTATCCCATCCCATCCCATCCAAAACTGGTTGGTTGGTAGCTATCCCGATATCCTGTTAATTATGGGTTATCACAATCCGCAAGAAATTCTATGAAATCAAGTATATTCCCCTAAGATATCCCATCACTGGACAATGGACATTTTGTTCCGGGCAAAGTAGCCAGGATGACTAAACTCTCCACCTCTCCAGAAAGCAGCCAGGTGCATTGCGACCTAGGCAACAATTGGATCGTCAGGCGGCTGGTCAACTCAGTGGTACCTCAACTGGTCGACCAGCACGGCTATCTGGGATGATCCACCAGCCACGGGCCCATTCGGCTGCCGTGGTAGCTATTGTGTCCACGACAAAAAAAGCACATCAGCTCCCCCTCTTGGGATATTGATTGGATTTGATTGGTAGTTTGATGGTTAGTTGTTGGCCGTACAATGGGCATACACTCATATACACTACCCAGATGTGTTTGCCAGGACGGGATTTCAAAGGTTTGAGTTTGAGTGCGCATTTGACAACCAACAATTCACATGTGTCATAATTTGAAAGGACGTGCCAGCATGTGTCTATTGCAAGTACTGATAGTTCATTGAAATTGAACTCACCTTGTGCCAAGCTGTGTAGCCAGATCTCCAATAGCAAGATGCCCAACAGTGGTAAGGCGCGTCGCACATGTTGTCACGGCTCGCTCCACATGATGCAGCTGGGGGGTATGGCTCGTTTTTGGGTATTCTATCACCAGAGAAAAGTAAGACCATGATGAGGGAATGTGTTTGATTGCAGGGACCATGGTCCACCTTGCTCAAATCCAAGAAGTAGCTCCTTCTGCCCGAACAAGATTTGTTGGTGGCTCCAGGTAGCTGCCCCTGGCCCAACAAGTCCAAAGCCAGAGGCTGGAAGCTGCCAAAATGGGGGGGTTCATAGATGGGGGTACCCCAATAGCTGGATGATGCTGGATGGTTTATAATGGAAAATCCATGACAATCCGAAAATCAAACGGATGATTTGGGGGTACCCCATTTCAGGAAACCTCCAAAATGTGGGTGTGGGAATGTTCCATATTATCAGATATGATATTGGCTCCTGCTTACTTGGTGATAAACGATATTTATAATCATGGTGAAGCATCAGAAAATGGAAGTTGGAAGCAACCAGGCCAGATGTATAAGAGAGCCAAGAGGGCATTGGTATTGTGCCCCAAGGCTTGAGAGATAGGGAGTAAAGACATATCATGTGATGATCAATGGCTTCTTCACACAGCTTTTATTGAAATTTATGTAGCAGTTTATATCAGTTTATGCCTAACGAAGCAGGTGAATGAATCTACTTGCCAAGCACCTGTACAGCCAGAATTGGATTTGGATTTGTACATGTGTAGCAGCTTGCCAGCTTGATATAATGTAAGTTGTAATATGTAGCAGCTTGCCAGCTTGAAGCTTGACTCGTTTCAACTCGTTTTGGGAGCCCTCTTTGCCACGCAGACACAATTGCACGAGGCCAGAAACTATGGAACGCCTCAAGTTGGAACGCCTCAAATTGGAGGCGAGTCCTGGTATGAGATGCAGAAGCTGGTATCCCCAGTGGTTATATCATGTTATATCCACAACAGGCTTTTTCGAATCATGCCAGTACCCTGGTGCAAAGATGTTTAGAGTACCATAGATATGCAAAACCCAAGCTGGTTGGTGGTTTCAAAATGTTTCAAACATTTGTTTCTTTTCCATCATATATATATATATTCATATATATTCATATATGGGATAATCCTTCCCATTGACGAACTCATATTTTTCAAGATGGTTATTGCACCACCAGGCACCTTGGATCAAGTCTTGGAGGTGAAAAAAGTCGAACTGTTCGTAGCTGGACGAGCCCCGGGGAGAATGCGTCGTGATCATGAAAGTACACTGTATTTACATACATCATATATGTGTATAAATATGTATAAGTTATAAATATTATATGTGGCTATAATATACATATGTATGATTAATTGCGAATATATGTATGTATATATATATATGTGCATGATTTAGTTGTGCATTGATTTTGATGAACGATACAGATACATAATGAGCACACACGCAGCCGGCTCAAGGACCTTCAGGAGTCCGGAGCTGAGATACCGTGATGAGTTAGTTCATGGCGAAGGATTGAAGGAAGCCTTTGCAGTTCGCTGGGTGTAACAAAAAATACCCTCTAGTAATGACTAACATAGCTATTGAAAATGGCCATTTATATTGAGTTGACCCATTAAAAATGGTGATTTTCCATAGTTATGTTAGTTTACCAGAGGGTAACAATCAAGGTACGGTGAGTCGACTGATTCACTGTGGACTGATTGATGTTGAACAGCTAAGATGATGTCAGACCCTGCGAGCTTCCAAAAAAGGATAAAAAAGGTGTCTCCCTGAAATGGAGTGCAATGCGGAATGATTTCTTGGACAGACGAAGTGAAAATCTTCCAAGACTTTCTGGATACATCTGGCCTACCAAGTCTCTAGATGACAAGGCAGAGTGGGTCATCCCACAAATCAACACATGGGTGACAGCCATGGCAGATCTGAGAATGAACCCCCTGGGAACGGGGTGAAATTGGTTGAAACATGTTGAAACCACAAACCAAACTGTGTTTGTCACGTTTGTCTCGACCCTGTACCCAGCACAACTTCTCTATCAACATTTCAGGTTAATGAGGTGATGTTGAACACCCCAAAATTGGAAAATTGTCTTGCTCAATCCACATGTCGATCTGTTAAATGCCTGTTTTTTTCAGGCAAAAACCGATTTGTTCGATACTTTTGGTGCTAGAAAGCCCCTGGTTCGACCAAGGGCCGAGCGAGCTTTGTAGCTGGTCAAGGTTGGAAGCCTGAAATGGGAGTTGAAAATTGTTAAAGAGTGGTTGGCCCCAAAAAATATGAAACATGGAGAATAGGTTCGGAAGCCTGGTTGAGAAACCCATGTTCATTGGAGTTTACTGACCCCATGGCAGATGATACATATATATATATACATATAAGAGGGAAATATTGTTTTGTGATGGGAGAGTCTTCAAGTACGCAGTGCTTCGATCTTCAATGGCAACCCAGGATTAGTACCCCCCCAAAATGCCGAACTGAGAAATTGTCATCATCCCAAATGCTGACAGGCAGTTGCTAAGTTACCGACCAACTATTGTTTCTACTGCAGACTTACAACATCGACAATCATGGTAACACTAGTGGTAGTGATAAGTTATAGTAACAGCAGCGATGGTGTTGTATGATGATGATGATGATGATGATGATGATGATGATGATGATGATGATGTTGCTGTTGCTGTTGCTGTTGCTGTTGCTGTTGTTGTTGTTGTTGTTGATGGTGTGGTGTGGTGGTGGTGATTATGATTAGTACTATTACATACTCGTACTATTATAATCTGGTACAGTATATACTATTATTACACTTATTATTGTTGTCTTTTTGAAGTTTCCTAATAAATCCTAACCTAGACTTCTAGTGGCAATAGAAATTGTGGTCCTTGCAGGCCCCACGTCGGTTATTGCTCCAAGCCAACCACGTCAAGCGAACCCACAGCCAAAGCAGCTGCAAAGGGTGCGCGGCTGCGGGTGTTGGGCAAGTTTCTATGATTTTTGGCTCCTAAAATTGTACTTGGGTTTGATTAAGCACCAAACATATGAAGGTTTAAGCAGCCCTGAATTTTGAGATCAGGCGAAAATTATTGATGTTTTACTGTTGAGAAGTCAAGCTGCTTCAATGACTCATAAGACATACTGTTTTAATCTTGTCGTAAAACAACCAGGTTTGGGGATGGCGAAAGGTTTGGGGTACTCGGATGGGTCAGGATCGAAGCCACCTGTGTTGATGTGAAAACAAACAAACCAGGTTTGTGATCCGTAGCCAGATAGGCATTTGCATCATTTGCATTGTGGTTTCACATGGTTTCACTCTTTATGTTCACTCCTACTCGTACAGCTACAAATGATGATGCCAGTGGACTAGTACAATGCGGATGGGTTGCCACCAATTAGAGACTCATTTGCCAAAGACTTTCTGCTGGTGCCGACGATATGCTGACGATGTATGTCTCACATAGGCTTTGGCCAGGAGCCAGTGTAACCACCACGTAGCCACTTGATGCCCACTGGTCACTTGGACCTCAGACTTACTGGCGGTGTAAAAAACTCTTCCCAAGTGCTCCAATTTGATTCCAGCCTCCAATCAGCCGCATGTTGATTCCATTAAGGGACCCATTAAGAGTATTTAGGAGTCATATGTTTTTATATGTTTTTATATGTTTTTATATGCTTTTTGTGTTGAAGTAGATCTGCATTTTCCAGTTAATTACAGATGTGTTATGTGTTCATAACTATGCGAACCAAAAAATGGCCTGTCCATGTCCGCCTTGATGATTTTGCCAGGTTCCAGGTACGACAGGCTACGCCATGCCAGCTGCCCCGAGCATAGCATGGTGGTGGTGGTGGTGACGATGGCAATGAGTTGTAACAATAGTTGTACATCATCAAAAGCCAAATGCACATTGATGTTCCACAGTTGATCTGTGTGTTTGCTGCAAACAAGTCAAAGTGACTTGCCATTTTTGCCTTGCAGGCTTCTGGTCCCCATGCACATAAATCCCATATATAATGTAGCAGAATTTCTGGTAGAGTCGGACGTTGAAAAGCGTGGTTGCCAGCATATGGATACCCTGTTCCCTCCCAAAGGCAGGTGTCCTGGCCCTGGCTGTCCTCCAGTCTGGCTGTCCGAGGCTGGATTTCCAGTGTTCCGAATGCCAACGCAGCAGCCACAGGCGGTTCGCTGTGATGTGAGGCTAAGCGGTTTCCCCTTGGCGAACCTACCAGTGAACTTACAAATTGGAAAAAGAAAACAATACTCAGAGGAACACCATCCAGGCTGGCTGACCCTTTCATTGTAAACATAAAAAGCCGCATGCCTAACGGCTTGTCATAGAGTTCTTGGAAGTGGCAAGGACTCGTGGAGATTGTGGAATGAAGTAAAATCAAAGCATCCAAAACTATGTCTGGTGTCATGCATATATGAAATATTATATTAATATATAATACATATTACATATTTGTCTGCGGGTCACCTGACATTCCCAAACTTATCTCCTAACTCCAATCTGTCAAACCTCCCAAATCCCTAGGATTTGGACTTCCAAAAACACTTCCACCCCGCTAGCCCACCGCAGGTTGTACCCATGGCCAAGGCATGGTGCCAGCTGGGTTGTTCACCATCTTGATTACTCACAATTATGTGGAAATATGTGTGAATTATATATGTAAAATTATACACATAAGCGACATAAACATAGATACATATACCTGTACATACACATAGAATAGCTACAAGAACATATATATATATATTTAATAGTTCTTATATATATATATACAGGTGCATATGTATGGCCAAATGTATGGTCCCTTTTTTAGATCCTGCGAGCCAAAGCCAATTTCACTTCTCGAACATGATCTTCAATCTCCAGGCAGCGCGATGAGTTCAAGATGGAACCGGCCCGGGAAGGTTTTGAATTGGGTTCCTGGTTGGTGGTTTCGTTTGGGTTTATATGATTTCATATGATTTCATATGAACATGAACATGGAACATCCATGGATAAGCCATCAAAATCCGATGCTGAAAATGTTGTCTTCCCTACTGGTGCCAATAACTTCGGGGCCCCGCTTTCAGACACACGCATTTCTTCAAATTATAATAGTCTTATGTAATGTTATGTAATAGCTTGGGTGAATATGAAAAATGAGTTTCGTTGGTGGGCCAATTATAGTGACATCACCACTGGCTGACCCCACCACTATATTATTGCTGGTTAGTAGGGGGGCAAATATGGCAAAAGTGATAATTTTTAAGTATGCGAATTATGGTAATTTATTCAGATTCCATCGAAGAAATTGAATGCGTTGGGATGATCGAAAATTACGAAGATTCTTCAGTTGAAACCACTGACCAAGGTTCTGTCTTGTTTCTCGAGACGTTAATCTCTAGTCCACGTCTTTATTGTTCCAATGAAAGATATGAAAGTGCGCTGAGGTTTGCGTAGGAGTGGCAGCCACGGAACAAGGAGACATGCATTCGCATGCGAGGTAACTTGATGACTTGACTTCAGAAGGCTCGGGGTGCCAGATTTTTTTTTCCCGTGCGTGGACTAGTCCTGGGGTAGTCGTCCGATGGCCAGTTCGACCTGTCCAGCGAGCATTTTGTGCCTGTGTCGTGCCTGTGTCAGCATGTCAACGCGTGGCAAACAAATGAAAGAGATCAGTTTGTAGTTCGCTGAGGGGCAAGCGTTACAAATTGCAAAATGCCAAGCCCACCCCGATCACAGCCAGTTCTAATTGTTTGAAGAACAAGATAATGCAGGAGTTGAGAATTTAGGTACTGGCAGTGACAATCAGGGGGTCCCCCAAACAACAAGCGGGATGTCCAGAGATATTTCCATCCAGGTCTAAGCCGTACTGTAGCACTGAATCCTTGAGGGGTGACACCAGCGACCAAAAATTCAACAGCAATTCGCCATGATAATTAAGGGTTTTTTTTGAAAATGTATAGAAACTGTTTGAATCATGATTCTTGATGATGGTCCAATGGTTCGTGAATCACGATGATGAGATTGTAGCCAAGGAAAACATGGCTTGTACTGAGAAACCGCACAGGCACAGACACGTTCCGAATCAGGGACAGCTCCCCGATTCGCAATGCTCAATGCCCAGTCGCACCTGCGGCAACAGTGACACCAATTGCGCAAAAAGAACCGTAGAGGTGTGACCAACACACATGAAGATTTCACATAACTTCGTCAACATGATGAATATACAAGAAACATCACGCAGCTGTAGTGGTTGATGATTTGCATTGAGTTGTTGCACTTTGCCCTTCAAGGAATGCTTCCAATTGGCTCACCTTTGGGATTGGTTGAAAGCACCAACCTGCTACGCCGCAGCCAGCTTTGGGGCCAAGGTAACATCCCCATCAGCTACTTCTATCTCAAGTGGTAAAAAGGAGGAGTTGGGACCATGCAGCAAGTAGACAAGTGCTAAATCAAGAAGCCACGCCTTTTTTTCACCAGGAATTGCCCTTGCTTTCTTTGACTTGTATCTAGCAAAGCCCACAACCAAGAACAGGGAGGGGCTCAAGCTCCTTCCAAAAGTCACTATTTGCGCAAACGGCATATCAAAGCAGGAAGCACCTCGAGGCGTAGCTTTTGTCGATGTCATAAATTCGCTGGATCTGTTTATGGCAAATTTTCAGGAAGGGACCCATATTATCTCCATATACCTCCATATGTGGCAAGTAGATAGATCCATGGTTTATGTATATATATATATATGTATATGTATATGTATATGTATGATAGATGTTCCCTTAAACCAACCCACTGACCCAGTGATGAACTGATTCCTTTATGTTTTGATTTGCGATGACAACCCAACTGATGGAAGTATCCAACATTCGCTTCACACAGGACAGGTGTGGAATGGTGTGGACAGGTGGCCTCTAAAATCTCTAAAGCAGTGTAGACCTGGGCTTTCCCAAATGAAGCGAGCCATTTTTCTCAAAGGTGTTGGTGATTTGATGTCTATGGATCTACATGGTATATGTTTTTACATATGATTGCTGTATTATGTTTTTCATGTGCTGATTTACTTTATGATGAAGCCGTGCTTTCCAACAGCGAAGGTTCGGTCCTCCTAGCCTTGTCTTCGTTGGCACACAGGGATGGTGTTTAAGTTCTCACTTGGTGAATTTGGAATGATTTGGGGAAATCAGTTTACCAATGATCAGCATTCAAGATCCACAGATGTTGGTCATCTTACGCCATATTTTTTTGAGAGCTGGCCGCTGTGGGAGTGCAATTTGTTCCATGCAGTCATTACATTAATCATTATATTAGTCATTATATTAGTCATTATATAAGTCATTAAATGAATCATTATGTTTATCATTAAATGAATCATTATATTTATCATTATATGAATCATTAAATTAATCATTAAATGAATCATTAAATGAATCATCATTATATCAGTCATTATATAATTCATTAATTATATTAATCATTTTATTAATCATTATATTAGTCATTATATATATCATTATATTAATCATTATATTAGTCAATAAATTAACAAGTATATCAGCCATTACAAAAATCATTATATTAATCATTATCTTTGTCATTATAAAAGTCATTAAATGAATCATGAAATGAATCATTATATCTATCATTATATGAATCATTATATTAATCATTATATTAATTATATTAGTCATTGCCTTAGGCATTATATGAACCATTACATTAATCATTATATGAATCATGATAATAATCATGATATTAATCATTAAAATCTTCATTTAAATAATCATTAAATTAATCATTATATTAATCATTATAATAATCATGATGTTGATCATTTTATGAATCATTATATTGATCATTATATTAGTCATTATTTGATTTTTTCAATCATTATATTAATCAGTATATTAATCATTATATCAATCATTATACTAATCACTATAACATTCATTATATTAGCCATTGCATTTATCATTATATTAGTCATTAAATGAATCATTATATTGATCATTATATTAATCATTTTATCAATCATTACATTACTCATTATATATAAACTCATTAAATTAGTCAGTATTTTACTCATGATATTAATCATTGTATTCATCATAGTAGTAATCATTATATTAATCATTCTTTAAATATAATCATGATACTAGTCATTATAAAAGTCATTAAATGAATCATGAAATGAATAATTCTATCTATCATTAAATGAATCATTATATTAATCATTATATTTATCATTCTATGAATCATGATATTAATCATTTTGTTAGTCAATGAATGAATAATTATTTCAGCCATTACATAAATCATTACATTAATCATTTTATTAATCATTATATTAGTCATTATAAACGTCATTAAATGAATCATGAAATGAATCATTATATTTATCATTATATGAATCATTATATTAATCATTATATTAATTATATTAGTCATTGCATTAGGCATTATATGAACTATTACATTAATCATTATATGAATCATGATAATAATCATGATATTAATCATTAAATTCTTCATTTTAACAATCATTAAATTTATCATTATATTGATCATTATATTAATCATGATATTGATCACCTTATTAATCATTTTATTAATCATTATATTAATCATTATATTAGTCATTATATTCATGAAAAAATAAGTCATTACATTAGATGCAGAGTGTTGGGTCTTGTCTTTTTTTTTTTGGTTTTTTGGTTTTTTGATTTTTTGTTTTTTTGGTTTTTTGGTCTTTTGGTTTGGATAGCCATTGCAGATGTGCCAAGCAGAGATTGCCAGGCACTGTCAGTGGTTGCACTAGAAGCAAGGTCGATACACTACAGTACAGCAATGTTTGCTATGACATAGTGCATTCAGCCAATGAACAGCAGAGAGGAATGGAATTCAATTTTGTCCGGTTGCGCCATATGCTGTTGGATCTTTGCACAGGAAATGCTGCAATTTGCGCACTCCCACAGTGGCCTGTTCTGATTTTTGTTTGAGTCTGGTGTGTGGCGTCATGCAATTTCGGCATATTTCGGCTACCCAGCATTGATCCTCAGGAGCACGTCTACGACACTTTCAATGCGAACTCAGAGACTTGAATCATAGTGCAACAATGTGCAACAATGTGAAACAGACAAACCACCACTGGTTGTATTCTCTGGCAGTTTTGAATTCAAAGAGAACAATGGGCAAGCCAGGGACCTCTGCGATAGCTGTACAGACTACTATAGACAAAAGTTGCCAAAAGTTCTTCATTTTGCTAACCTCCATCCTCTCTCAGCTTGCAGCTTTTCAACAAAGGCGGCTGTCATACTTTGATGTCAAGTCGATGTCCAACGTGGAATTCGGATTCGTTCAGTCCGGTGACGCTTCGTTGACGGAGAATATTTTGCTCATCGTCCCCAAGTGCCTCATGGACTGTCATGGACTTGTTATGACTTCCTTGCTGGGTTGATATAAAAAGTATTATAAAGTATATATAGCGGCGTGGCCGGCATGAAACCACTCAGTTAACCTGTAAATCGGATCACCAGATGTTATGAACTGGTTGTTCAGAGAACACCAGATTTGAAGAGTATGTGATATAGTATATGATAATATATGATACATAGACTATATATAAATTATATATATATAATTATTATACTAGATTCTACATGAAGAAACAAATATGGCCAACGGTGATCCAAGGATCGCGCCGGCAGCGTCTTGGACCTCATGGAATCCATCCTGTCAGGCGAAGTCTGGTGTTTTTTTTGTTTAAAAAGAGCCTGTTCGTTTACTGTTGGGATTTACAATGACGTAGCTATGATGTTTAACAATGCTTATTTATTTAATGTTATTTATGTGTATAATTATATATATATAATAATGCAGTGTACATACCCGGCTCGTTGGTCTTTCTGCCATGAAGAGCATTGGTTCGACATGCTTGCTGAAATTCAAAAGATTCTTTAGCCAACCAATTTCTCATTTCGCTCTTCGAGATGGCCCATGCATGTACGCTTGGTATGTACCGGTGAATACAAGAAACAATTGAAAGGTTTCAACATCCAAATATGAGTGTTGGTTCCAAGCTATTCAAGGCTGCCAATATAGTCTAAGGTAAATATGTAACGTCGGAATGGGGACGGAAGGAATATGGGTATGTCAGTGTTTGAAACATGGGGTATAAGAACGGCAGTGTTAGTGGTGAAGGTGATGATTTACACCATAAATTGTTGAGACACGCCCGTATCAAGGGTCGTCAGCAAGATCTAGGTCCCTTTCCGCGGATGCAGGTGAAAAGACACCGTGGGATATTCCGCTCATCCGAGTTGCTGCTAAGAAGGGTGCATATTGGTACCATGACCAAATAGTGCGATGTGAGATGATGTGAGTTATTTGGTACCACTCTTGGGACCCTGGGATGGCTGGGATCCAGGTTTTTCGATCATTTTGAGATTAGTAAGAGAAAATCATCCCACTGACTGAGGGTTATCAATTCTATAGTATCATGCAAGCTAGTACATCTGACAGTCACACTTGTTCAGATTGGTTCCCTTTTGAAACAGCCAAGCACTTGAGCAGTCAAGTATGTTCGACTGTGACTTGCAAAGAGCCGGAACACCAAACATCAAAATCTGCACCAACGGTTTCATCCTCGCACCATTGAAGAAACAAATATGAATATTTATTTATTAAAAACATTTATACATGGAATATACATGGAATATCCCCACGAATACATAGAATATCTCCAGTTGTATATGCAATGTGTCCACTTATATATGAATCCCCTCACCAATCTCCACCAATCACCACAGATGAGGTGTGTGGACAATCGCCGACTCTTCACCTACAAACATTTGCAGCTTGGGAAGATCCCGGTGCAGGTTCAGCCATCAGTGTCCTCAAGCATGGCTGGAAAATCCAGCATGTTTTGAGAATTTTCATATATTATGTGTATATATATATATGTTACTAGTAGGGATGTTATACAGTACACATAGTATGATAGATGAATTATATATATATGTGTGTCTATATATTTTTGTTTGAGTCTCTGGGCAGGTCTTTGGCTGGAAGGAGAACCGGGAGTCGCTTGGAGACACCGGCAGATGACTGATGTTTTGTGAGACGGGCAATGGATGTGTAAAGGCTCTTAAATTTGAGCCACACAGCCATACTCTCAAATGGATTGAAACGTCTTGCACCTTTTCAATCCTTTTCACCAAATTATGTCCGAACCAGTATTTACTCATATTTACTCCATTCATAGATCCATCCGCTGCTGAATCGAGGTTTGAGCTGAAGTATCGCAATGGTTTGCCGTCCGGAAGCCCATCTGTTTTGGCATGACATCAGTTTTCTCGGGAGCCTTGGGGTTGTTTGAAAATGCTGGCAAAACATTGGGAAAACCACGAAAACCATCGAAAACCCATTCCTTAGAAAATCATGTTCACATATCAGATGTTAACCATTTTGTAAAATCCAGAAAAGAGATAATCCTCCAGTTTTGGACAAGCAAATGTACCATTCAGTCAACACAGAACGTGAAAAAACGTGACCTCGTCAAATCTTTCCATTCTCACTTGCATTGATGGTCTCAATTTTGCTCGTATATTTTTGCAATCGCTCAAAAAAGACAAGTTTTCTGTTCATGGTGCCACAGACCGATATGCCTAAGGTTTCGTCAACAGACAAGCAACGGCCTGCGCGCCGGGTTGATACAGCGGAGTGAACGCGCTTTTCCCAGGCCAGAGCTGCCAGTGGGCCAATCTCAGCTGAAAATTACTGGGGCCCGAAGAAGATGGCATTATGATGCTTCAAGTGCAGGACCAGGTCGACCAGGTGACTTCAAGATGCGTTCAAGTATTTTGAAGTCGAGGATGAAATTCATGTGAAATTTCTTTAAGCAGATCCTTGCAAGTGGACCCATAGATCATCATAGATCCACATTCATCCAACCTCAATTAGTTCATTGTTCGCTGCTGTGGCACCTTCATCACCCACGCCCTGGGCCTTGCCGGATGCGGGGGGCAGTTGGAGTTTAGGTACATCTTGGGCAACCCCAAGATGTTCTAATGGTTTATCATGGTCCAGTGTTCATCATGATTAATGGATTTTGTATGATTTTGTGGTTTATCAGATTATCATGGTGTATTATGGTTGATCATGGTTCATCAGTTTCCCATAGTTTCCCCATTGAAATTGCCATTGTTCACATTGGGCCAGGAGCTCTGTGGCGGAGCCCTCGCTTTCCAAGTTTCAAAAGTGGCCCTCTGTGGATGGGGCCTGGTGAGTTGGTTAAATCCTCCTGGGGTCTGGCAGAGGTGGCTCAACAGATGTTCAACAGAAATGGAGCTATCACTAGACATTTCTAGGGTGGATATCACCATATATCACCCATCAAATCCTGGAAACCGCACGATCCGCACGATCCATTTGGCTGGTGGTCTTAAGCATGTCAACTTTGTCATTGATTTTCGGCCCCAGTTTGGTATGAGCCCAATTGTTTCTCATATTTTGGCATGGCCGGAAAGCACTAACCAGGAGTTGTTTGGACCCTTGGAATGAACGATCCACCGTTATTCTATATCCATTTATTTGATGGTACTGCAGTACTGCTTGCATTTGTGCAGAAGTCTTGGTTTCTTCAAGTTTCTTCATGTCTTTTTAAGTTACAATGCAAGTTCCCCGCAGGCTAGTCAGTTTGAAGCCCAACATTGGATCACCATTGTGTAACTGAGACTGAAGCATCCAAGGTGTAACTCTCAGTATCGGAACGTATCAGAAGTGTGGGATGATGAAGTGCTTGCTAGCACTACTACAGGACTAGAATAATAATGTTGGTGCACCAAAAGTGGTAAGAAAGTTATTGGCCAAGGCTAGGACTAGAATAGGACATGTCATGACATTTCGATGTGTTGGTTTCTAAGTTGAACATGGTCCCAAATGTCCCAACATGTTCAAAACATCTACTCACTGTGTTAAATGTTCGTGAAGAGTTTGGTTTGATATCTCAACCAATGAGTACTGCATTTGGCGAGATGCTTTCTGTATCCTTCATTCCCATCAAAATGGCCTTCCACTTTCCATCCCTGGACAGGTTGATTGTTCCCACTGGATCAGTATGTTCTTAGGATGGATGCTCGATGGATGGCTCAACCACCCAGTATACGTGGCAGTTTACTCACCGTTGCTGAGGCTGTTCACCAAAGCGGAACAGCGAAAGCACGAGGTGCGGCGTCTGCAAGGGTGAACTCTCCGCACTGGAGGCTACCCGGACACCGGACATCCCAAAATAGCAGAAATGATGATCAACATTGATCAATCACGAGATGATCGGGCATGGCACATCATGGCAGCTCACCTTCATGTTCCCTTCAATCAATCAGGCTTGGAAGCACCTTAGTTGGGGGATACACACGAAGAGGGCCTGAGGTGGTTTTGGAATGTTTTGGAGTGGGATGCTTGTAGCGGACTGTTGAAACACAGGAACGCATATCATGGTGGGTATGAGCTCACCGATGGTTTTATAATGTTTCATGATACGACTGATACGATTTACATATGGACCTGTCGCTCAGAGGCGCGGATCGCTGAGCTCCGACGGAAACGTGACAAAGAGCTTCAAGAGGATCGGCATTTGCTTGGGGCTGAACAGGAACAGCTTCAGATCTTGGTTATCTTGGTTTTGGTTGACAAAATGCCTTTATCGTGCTTCAATGATCTTCAATGTTTACTTAGCAAAACGGATTGTGTGAACTTGCCCATCAATAATATGATTGCCGCATACCAGCAAGAACCAGCATGCAGCATGTATTCTTATTGTATGTACATACATGATCATACATACATATGTGCATGAGCAACCGCTTTCTATCTGCGCACATGTACAGTAGTCTTCAGACGGAAGTGCTTTCTGCTTTTGTTTGAACACCAGAATTAGGTTCAAAACGAGTTGCTGGCCACTGCCAAACATGACAAGCAAAGTACTGTACTGTAGATGAAAATCAAGAATGTAGAAAATGTTAAAACAAAAAGCAAGTGCAGGGTTGGTAAACAAGGTCAGTGATCAAAAAATGGATGGGAATTGAAAATAAGGTGGGGCTCCACCTCGCTTTTGCACTAACATCAAAACCCTTCCGTTGCTCATCTCCAATATCTTTATTTGTTTTGTGTATGTTTGTGTATGTATATTATATGTATATGTAATAATTGTATATTAATTAATATATATATATATCACATTACATCCTGTATGTGATGATATGCGAACATTTATGTGGTTATATGAAGCTCTATTTACATAGCGAAACGTGTGTATATATATATGGGTGCAAGTCAAAATAGGAGGTCCGGAACAAGCTCCGGGACCACACCCGTTCCATACCCCCGTTCCATACCCCCGTTCCATACCTCCTTGAAGGATCCGTTCCATACCTCTGTTCCATACCTCTGATCCATACGTTATGATATATATATATATATGTATTTACTACGTTGGCATTTCGCATATTTTTTATTTTTTTCCGTTTGTGTGAGTGTCTCGCTAGCGTCCTTAAAGTAGCCAGTTTGGTTCCAGCACCACTGCATAGTCAAAGCCATCGCTTTCCTTGGTCTTGCCCTCAGTCAGATTTGAGGCTAAAGAGCATCCAAATGATGCTTCCGTATCACATTTGAGTTTTCTCCACATCATAGCTTAATTTGATAGCAATTTAAGGTCATTTGCTCTTCCACCAGTCCAGGGGTCCAACGGTCCAGTAGTTCACCCATCGCTCTGTGCCCAGGCCCTGTCCAGCCGTTGCCTTCTGCGGTGCCAAGCCACATCTCCCCTTTGCAGGCCAGCCTTGACCGGGATCAGGATGACTGGGAGCAACGATGTGCCAACTTGGACTTTAATAATTGTAAATTGGCTGAAAATTCCTGAAATAGCCCATGATCAATGCCACTCAATTGCTATTTACACCATCATTGCTGCCCCCTGTTTGCCCAAAGAAGCTCTCGGCTTGGTGACGTCACATGGTTCCTGCGGTCCTTGCGGTCATTGCGCGTGGAGTCAGGATGGCGGATCAGGAAGGAGTTGCTCAGCCGGCGGCACAGCCAGAGCTGCCAATCGGCGAGCCGGAAGCCTTGCAGCCTGCAGCCCCGCTGGAGGAAGAGCAGGCCCAGCATGTGGAGGACTTCTTGGCCCAGGAGCTTGAGGAGGCTGATGTGCAGTCCTTGGCCCAGCGGTCCCAGCGGTCCCACTACCAAGATCCCCTCGTGGAGGCCGCATTTGACCACAACCAGCGGGCGCAGCGCGCGATCGTGGAGAGCGTCAGCACTCTTCTGAGCCAGCAGCCCGCCATGAGCGCAGAACTCCTGATGCTGCGCCAGGAAGACATCCAGAAGTTCTCCGTGACGATGACCCAGGCTCCGGCTGGCTTCCGCCGCCGGTATGACACAGGGGTCGACTTTAGCTGGGCTCTGGCCGGGTTCAACTTCGTGGTTGGCTCCTTTTACAGGGGCGGCATCAGAACCCATGAGTCGCAGTCAGAGATCTGCGCCTGTGCCTCGTCCCAGATTTTCGCCAGCAAAGCTTTATAATTAATGATGGTTCGTTTTTCAATCATTTTCCTATAACTCAATGACAACTCTTTTTTTGATAAACGGAAATAATGTAGTTGATGTGCAGTTGATGATATTGGTGCCATCCGCTATCCCGCAAACTGAGACCTGAAGCTGACGGATGGCGCCTTGGTCGACCAAGCCCGAGACCTACTTCGGAGGATCCCGGTCCTGAGCTCCATCCCCCGGATTTGGGTCAGGGTGCCTTCTTTGACGTTTAGTACACAATCATTGCAGTTTGTTTGGTTGCTGCCTTCCAGGTCCATATATTGCTAATTTCCCCCAGTTTGTTAGGTCGCTGACTTCCAATATTGGTCCGTTTTCCATTGTCCCAAATTTCAACCACCAATGCTCATGCAACCAGGTCGCTGGTGCTGTCCAAGAGCTTCTTGAGCAGTTCACCGAAGCAGAGGCTGGTGCAGGTGGCGTGTTCAATTGCCCCATCCTCCTCTACCCCTGGTGGTAGTTCACCTGCTCAATCCCACGGATTTAGGTGAGCCCGTCAGCAGGCCGCGCTACTATTTTGTAGGAGTTCGACAGGATGTGGCCATTGTTGGTGAAGAAGTGGCTCAAGGCATGTACAACCATATTTGGCAAAGGTTGAAGAGCTCCAGCGGTCCTGCGGTCCCACTTGGCAAGAGGCTCTTGCCTGCAGAGCACAAGCTTGTCTTGGAAAACCAGTCCCTTCGCCAGCAAAGGTGGGAAGATGCCAAAGCTGCAAACTTTGGTGGCGACAGTAGGTCGCAGAAATGGAAGCAGCGCCATGCAGCCTGGCAGTTGGAGCATGCTGAGAGCCAGATCCAGCCAGACCCAAGCATGCCAAGCCCTGATGAACTTTTTCTTCACCTACCACGTGAGCGTGATGTGTGGAAGAACTTGCTGACGGACAAGAGCATGCCTAGACTGGCAGTTGCTGACTTGTCCCAAAGTTTGGGCCGTGTGCCTTTGCGATCTGATTGCACACCTACCATCACCCCTGGGTCCCACGTGGTTGTGTCTGAAGCTCGGAGAATGTTAGCTCCCATGGAAAAGCTCTTGCTACATTGCCTGCCAGTGCACACCATGTCCTTTGAAGGCATAACCGATGCTGAGTTGGAGGACATGGGTGGGAACATGATGCATCTCCAGACTGTGGGAGTAGCAATGTTGGTTGCCATCGCCCTTGTGGATTGGGCCCAGCCTGGGTCTAGATGCGGGAGATTGCCACAAGAAGGCAACATGGTTCTTGCGGTCCATGCGGTCCCTTCGGCCCCCATGCCAGCAGCAAGAAAGAAATCACTGACTGCGGCAGAGAAGAAATTAGAAAGGCAGCTCCGTGAGCGATTCGGATTGAAGGTTGGCATCAAAAGAAGAGTGAAGGTTGACGCCTCAAGGCTAAAATCCCAGAAGAAGGTGAAGCTTCCCTGCTTACCTTTGCACAAAGCGTGCCTGCGTGGAACACGCTGGGCAGGCTGAGTGTTGAATTCGTTTTCATCTAATTCAGAGGCACTGTGAAGGTTCTTTCTGTCAGCGCCTGCTAAAAATTGAGGTGCTTCGAGGTGTTCTTTGAATTCTCTTTCACATTTGCCATGACCTGTTGTTGTTAGCTGAGGTTGCTAGCTTGCTCCACTGCTACGCCAAGGGCTTGTGCATTGCCTGTCGGGCAGATGTTGAAGTCGCTACCCGTCAAGCTTGGAAGCTGGATCGGTTCTTGTGGTTTCGATCTGCTCTGCGGAGTAGATCTTTTCAACTTCAGATTGGTCCTGCGGTCAATCGGCTCCTTGACTCCTCTTAAGCAAAGTTACGTTGTTTCATTGGGCTGCCGAGTGTTTATTATTAAGCCAAGCCTCCGCAGTTATTCTTTGATGCTAGTTCCACCTGAAAGGTCATATGCCATTTGCAGTGCACTCAAAGCATGTGCCAAATCGGAGGGCTCCAGGTGGACTGTAGTTGCAGGGGAGAGCAACTCCAAGAGGGGCAAGACTAGCTCAGTGAAGACATTGAGCTCAGTCGGTGATGTTCTATCTTTTATGCGGTGCATCAGAACATTGAAACAGACACGTGGAATCTCAGGTCGTTTCAACACATCGCAGCTCAAATGATTCCAGCCTGTAGCAAAAAGATGGAAAAAGATCTCTTCATCCGGCTTGGCTGTTTTCTCGATTTTGCGTCAAAAACAGCCCAGAATCACCCCAAGCCAATACACCTCCAGTTTTCAAAGACCAAGGGCGTAATGAAAGGGGATTTTCCCCTCCAAATACCAAAACTCAGGAATCGTACAATTGGGAAGCTTTCTCTCCTCTCAATCCACCTCCGGTTTTCGAAAACCAAGGGCGTATTGACCTTGGCATTGCCCTTCTCAATACGCCCTCGGTTTTTAAAAACCAGTGCCACGCCGCTTATAGCTTCAGAATTTTTGAGGATTTTGCATCTTCGCATGGCTTAGTGGATCTACGCATGATTTAAGTGCATCTTCGCATCAATGTCATATTTGTATAAATATGTATAATTATGTGTATATATATATATATTATATGTATGTATGTATATGTATATGTGTATATGTATACGTATATACGTATATGTATATGTATATATATAATATATATATATATGTAAAAATGCGCATACTATGTATAATATCTCTGTCGCACGTGTGAAGCATGCATCTTTATGTATCTCTATGTATGAGTATGTGCATATGTGCATGCATATTCATAGAATGCATGTAAAACTACAAAAAACTTACAAGTATGTAAACGTGTGTGTTGACCTCCAACACCTGTGAGGCCATGCCTCCAACACCAGTGGAAGCCAAAAAAGCAGTGAGGCTGTGGATGGCCACTGTTCAGTGTGGCTTGCCAAAAGAGGAGTGGAACCGTACAAGCCGCCTTGCCTTCAATGTGTCACGGCATGAAATTTGTTGATCTGGCTTGAAGAGTTGATGTGATCAAGACAGACCTTCTCTGAGACATGGTTTTGTACAGCTTTGAATTCCCTTTTACCTGACAATGACGAGAATAGTGGTTCTCTCTCCTATTCCCTTGCTCCACATGTTATCTTCCAATTCTGCCAAGAGAGAATTTCTATGCCTTAATGTAGTCCCAGACATTTAGCATTTCCTTCATGCCAGGGTGGAATCAATGCTCATTGCAAGACAGGTATAGGGCTAGAAGATGCGGATCGCAAAACAAGCATAAATTTTCTGGCAGCATAGAAGAGCGCGTTTGTTCCCAACTCACCAGCACAAGACGCACGCGCATAATCACCTGACCTAATGATGGCAGTGAAAATGGAAAACAATCGTGCAGCACGAAACAGGCCGACATTTCACTAAGCCATATGATCACAGCTGCAAACCCTGACCTGCGGAATGTTCTCAAACGCAAGAAACAAACACACAGAACGCAAAAATCACTGATGAGCAGCCAACACAGAGCCGCGTCTGAAAACCATGCGACCCAAAGCTTCTAAAGGCACCATAATAATCTATTGAGATCTAAATATTGCTGCAGCACTAAGAAGAGCCTGAAGCTTATCATTGCGTTACGACCTGCTGCCGATGTGCCATTTATAGCTTTAGTCTAGAATAGCTATTCGATAGTCTCGCGGTTTTTGCTGTGTCCGTGGCAGGGTCCTGCGGTCCTGCGGTCCACGAACGGCAAATTTTGATCATGTGGCTAACAGCTTCTTTTAGCAATTTGATCGCAAAAAAATCGCCAAAAAGGAGCTGTCCAAGTTGAGGCTATTTTGCAGCCAAAGGAAGCTTCAATGCACAGTTTTGTTAAGTCCTGCGTGAAAGCTTGCTTTACATGTATTTTAGCCTCATCCCTTATTTGCATTTGCCGTTGCAGCAATTTCTACAGCCGTTGCCATTGTTAGGTCCTGGCGGTCCAGCGGTCCTGAGTAGCCATGGCAAAAGCTGTGCCCGCAGTTCGGCTTCGTGGCAAGCAGCCATGCCCTCAAAGAGTGAAGAAGAATGGCCAAAAGTCAAAGGGCAAGCAGACCAAGCCAAAACGAGACACGATTCGATGTCAAGCGTTGAAAGATGGCTTGTTGCCACCTGCTAGAAGGCCTTTTGCGCTCTTTGTCAAGGACAACGTGCGTGGGCAGAAAGGAGGTGGGAGAAGCGAATGGCGGCTTGAGATGAAGCGCTTGGGGGCCATGTGGCACAAGTTACCCATTGACCAGAAGAAGCGCTACTTTGACCAATCCAATGCCGAGTTTGCCAAGCAGCATTTTGTGATGAAGCAGATGGGCATGCCACTGCGAAAGTCAAGCTCGCGAACAACTCACACGCTGGCAAAGGACGTGCTTCCAGAACCTGAAGATCCTGTCATGATCGGAGGCTACAAGGTGGTGAATGCGGATCCTGGCCTTCCTGATTGCCATCCCCTAGGTGAAGGCGCTTATGGCAGCGTTTTCCTTTGCTTAGACAAGCTTCAACGAAGATGTGCTGTGAAGGTCTTCAAGAAGAAGAGCGCACTCGAGGATCTCAACCATGAGCTCGTCCTTTTGCAAGCAGTGCAAGAACAAAGCGACCAGAAACTCCGAGGATTTTACCCCTGCATTTTGGAAGCACAGCCCTGTTTCAAGCCTTTTCCATTTTTGGCTCTTGAATATTGTGGCTCCAGCTTGTTTTCTTTGCTTGGGGAAAAAGGAGCTTTTAGCGTAGATGACAGTCGCGCCATCGCTTTGCAGCTGAAAGCTGCAGTGCGTGGCTTGCACTCATTGCAGATTTTGCATTTGGATTTAAAAACAAGCAATGTGCTTTGGTGCGTTGTCCGGCGTGAGCTCAAGTTGGCAGACTTTGGGATGTCTGAATATATCCCAGGGTATGGTCCTTCAATTCGTTTTCCCATGTATGTAACAGCAAGTTACCGAGCCCCAGAATTGTGGCACGCTGCTCAAAGGGACCTTTCCAAGTGGTTGGGGCCTGCAGTCGATTTATGGTCGTTTGGTTGTGTTCTCTATGAGGTTGCAGTTGGAAAGATCCTTATGCGCCCACTGCGCAACAACCTTTGTGGTTGTGAGAACACCATCAAGGAGTGGTGCCAGCAGTGGCAATCCTTGCAGAAATCATTGCAGGGATCAATAAGACCAAGTCTTTCAAATGCACAGGTCAGCCGAAATTTTGACTATCGGCTGGTGAATCGTTTGCACTTGCTGGAACCAAGCTTCAGGCCAGCAATCAAGGCTATGCTCAACCCGGATCCTGCTCAGCGAGATTGGGCAGGCATTGATTGAGCTAAATCTGTAGGGTTTCTAGGGGCATAGAGACCTGCTGTGCGGATGATGGGGTAACTCATCCTGGCGGTTCAGCGGTCCAGATTGCGAAACAGCGACTTCCATCAGCTTTCTGGAGAAACAAATGTGCTCAGGGAGTGCAAGTCATGAGCGCATCGATCTGGTATCCATGTCATTGTGTAGGAAGTTGAAACCAGCACCATTTTGCACTTCATATTTGCCACTTCCTGGCGGCTGAGGTCTTGGTGCAAACGGATGGCGCATGCGCAAGACAGAAAAAATGGCAGCGGCTTGAAATATACCCAAATCCCTTAATATTTTTCGGCACCGTTGAATTGCCATCCCAGTTTATATATATATGTATTTATATATTTATACATTTATATGTGTGTGTGTTCGTGCCCGGACAGCACGTCGACCTGTTTTGTCGTTTCTTGATCAAGTGGTTACGTTGTCTCCGTTTGATGTTCATGATGTCATGTATCTCCTCACTTCTTGGTGAACTCAGTCAGAATCCTTGTTTGATGACGTTTATGTCATTTGTTTTCTGAGAAATCACTACAGTATTTGGTTGATATGTCACTCAGATATGCCTCTTATTTGATGATGTTTTACCATGTTTTACCCATGTGTTGCTTCCTAAAGCGTGGTGTTTACCCGTTCGGGTCCTCTCTGGCGTCCAGGACAAAGATGCGGACGCCAGAGAGGCGGCTTTTAGTTGGTTGGGCAATAATCCCAACATATCCCAACTATGAAAGGATCATGAATATACATATATATATATATGAATATATATGATATGTATACTATCCAACAAGCACAATAATCCAACTATAAAGCCAATTTGATAATCCACGATGATATAATCCAACCATAGAAAAGCTAGTAACTATGCTAATCGTTTATGATTGGGTTTGTGAGGCATTTTGAAGGGATAAATTTCAGGATCCTGGGATTTTGATTCGCAGTTATCTTGGGGATTTGACATGACCAACATGTTGGGTTTGTTGAAAAACATTGAAACCAGCGTCAATCGTCAGTCTGGAGCAAGGTCGAGCTTGAAATTGTTCACAGTTGGTTGGATGGTCAGCAAATATGGTCGAAACCATTCGAAACCTTCGAGTCGTGGATAACAGGGGAAATTTGAGAAGGCCAAATAGGTTCAATTTTATAATTCTATGTGTTATATATGTGTTTAGCCCGGGTGGAAGGCACTCGGAATGCCTGTGATATCCTGTGATGCGAGTGAGTACGGTGTGCAGTCTTGTTTCTTTGGATGGCACATCAGACGATCATGACCCGACACAACGCGAACTCCGCCGACTTGACCCTTCGACTGGTACTATGCCCGTGAAAATTTGAAATTAAGATGAGTAAGGCCTACCATAGAGATCATAGAGTCGAGGAAAGCTGACAAAGCCTGAAGTTCTGCAGCCCTCTTTGGTTAAAAGCAAGGAGTAAGGAGACATTATTACGATTATTATATGTTGAAGTGATTTCCGTGATGAAGTGGATCAATGATTGTTTAGCCGTAGCCACAGTTTGACTTTGAACATGTTTGAGCCGCGATTTGCCATTTGATTCTGTCGTCTAGTTGCAACATCAGCAGCAGGCTGACGCATCCTTGAAGGACCGTTGAGTGGGGGGAGGTATCTAATGTACTCAGTAAGGTACAGTGGATACTTGTAGCAATATGTGTAGCAAAATATAGGATCAGTACTGTATGCATCCAAAGTTGATAAAGATTGTATCATCGCTGTGGATTCTTGGATATTCTGAATATTCTCCTGGATCATGGCCAGTTTTGACCTAGACCCAAGGGCTACTCGTGACGATGCAAACACATGCAGCATGGAGAAACGGTCCGACGGTTTGTGTCTTCCTGTCTGTTTCCATCTTGTGTCTGGAAAATCCATAAGATCTACTGTAGATGATTGGATGCTTCAGCATAGTTTATGTATACACTATGTATACATACATCACATATATATATATATACATATGTATATATATATATTGACTCTTATACCCAATACCCACGACTATATATCACATACCTAAGATTCAAGAAAATTGCATAATACCTGATTATAAATAAGCACGCGTTTACATCTATACATGTTTATAAATATATAAGTAGATTACGTGTGTGTGTGTGATTCGATATGACTATTGACTACAATTATACAATCATGAATATGACATACATATATATATATATATGTATTATATATGTATTATATATTAAATATATGTTTATAGATACATATAATCCTCTACATTTCGTAGCAGATGACCACTCCAACTATGACTGCAGGAGCTTCTGCAACCATCCAAGGTACCCATCCGAGCATCCCCAGCTCTTTGTGAGTCGATCCAAGGGGGTAATTTTTTTGGATCAAATTTCATCAAACGGCATTCACCTCTATATACAATCTTAGTTTTTATGCATGTATATATATATATAGTATACTGTGTATATATATAGTATATAATTTATATATATATATATCTGTATTATATGCAACAATTTGGGGGGATGGTTCTATAATATAATGAAATCTAACAAACTCCAACTAACAAAAGTCCAAAACTACATCAGCTTCGTGGATTTTGCGACAGGCGGTGCGAGCCAAGCGAAAGGCGGACATCCCGGTAGAACTTGAGGGTTCCAAAGTTCATCCAGCAGTTAAAATTCTTCAACTATTCTTCAACTGTCCAAAGTTCATCATGTCGAAGAATTCCAATGTCCAAAAACATGTGAAGGGCCAAGGATGGCCGAGGAGCCAAAGAAAAGGTGCCCAAAGCGTCGTTTGTTTCACCATGTTTCACCCATGTTTCGGGCAATTAATCTTCGGAACGATGCCCAAAAATAGCAGGTAAACTGAGCCAGTGGTTCAAGAGCAACAAGACTTGCGAACATTCCCCCATAAAACGTTGTTTTTGACGTCGTGTTGTTAAATATTGTTAAATAGTTCCAGACATTGGCTGAGGTTCCAGGTCTTGTGTCATATCCCTGGCCCAAGTGTTGAGTGGCAGAATAACAATACCGCTTGTCACTTGTCCTTTCGCATGGTGGTCACAGGCTACTAGCATTGGCCAAAACTACATGTTCCACTGTGAATGTTCAGGTTCGCACTAGCGGAACTTTGGGTGGTAAGAAGAGAAGAGTGGCTCCAAAGATTGAGGCTCCTGGGGTGCAAAAGGCAAGTCATATGGCATGCCCGCAGTTGAAAAGGATCATGGGAAAATCGGCGTTTGTTTTATTGAAACAAGGTGTTTACTTGTGGTTGTTGAAATCATTGATCCTGCATTCAGCGGCTAGTAGATCCTGGAGGTTCAACGTCGATCATGCTGACATCCACTTGACAGAATGTGGTTTGGATTACATATCCAGGACCAGGATGGAGTCAAGAGTTTTGAAGGCCACAGCTGGTGTGGAATTTCAATGTCAAATTTCTAGGGGAAGGATTTGAGGTATTTCAAGAAGCATTGCAGCCATTGAAGGTATTTCAAGAAGCATTGCAGCCATTGAATATATATTGAATATATTAAAAAAGAAATCAGTTGAACGTTGCGCTGTGCCAAATTGAATGTTTCTATTTGAACCCTGGAAGCGTTCAATGAAAAGGGCTGTGGATGGACACATTGTGGGAACTTTCCAGCTCAGGAGAAGGACAAGAAGTTGACTGTGACACTTGACAAGGAGGACAGGCGGACGATAGGGAGTGACCCTCACCATTATTGCTAAAGTTGGTTTCCAGGCATCAACCGTGGCCGTAATTCACACATTGGGATTTATGATTCATGATGAACATGTTTGAACCATACGTGATCCAGACTTTGTGATTGTTAGGTGTACACAGCATGATACAGATCACCTATTTGGGATTTCATCTTGGTTTGATCAACGAAGTGTTTGCTTCTCGGTATCACAAAAAAGAAGCTGGTGTCCTCGTCCCCGGATTCATATGGGACTACAGGCATTGACCCATCCCCTGAAAGAGAAGCCAGATGTAAATGATCCAGAATGATCCAGATGTTGGTGGTTTTGATACAATGTAGTTATGCCAATGATAAACCATCCTCCATTTTACCAGAAATGGCTTGTGCTAAAATCCTGCAGTTGTCATTTATAGACATATAAACCAATATATAATCTATAATGATTGTCATTTATAGACATATATAAACCAGAAATCTATAATAATTGCCATTTATAGACATATATAAACCAGAAATCTATAATAATTGTCATTTATAGACATATATAAACCAGAAATCTATAATAATTGTCATTTATAGACATATATAAACCAGAAATCTATAATAATTGTCATTTATAGACATATATAAACCAGAAATCTATAATAATTGTCATTTATAGACATATATAAACCAGAAATCTATAATAATTGTCATTTATAGACATATATAAACCAGAAATCTATAATAATTGTCATTTATAGACATATATAAACCAGAAATCTATAATAATTGTCATTTATAGACATATATAAACCAGAAATCTATAATAATTGTCATTTATAGACATATATAAACCAGAAATCTATAATAATTGTCATTTATAGACATATATAAACCAGAAATCTATAATAATTGTCATTTATAGACATATATAAACCAGAAATCTATAATAATTGTCATTTATAGACATATATAAACCAGAAATCTATAATAATTGTCATTTATAGACATATATAAACCATTAATATCCAATAATCTGATATATTTATCCCAGAATTTCAAGGCTCAGCCAGGCATAGAGATGGACCATGCCTCAGCCAGTCTCATCTAGGACTCCGAGGAAGATGACTTCGCCATCGAGATCTCGGCGCCGTAAGGATGTCGGAAGTTCAATCGCTCGGAGCTGGAGGAAGTTCTGAACGGCCGATGTCGTCATTTTCCGCAGAAACATCATGTCTTGGTGACAAGATTCATGACAATATGCTCCATTGTGCTGGAATATTTACCAACATTTGCCCAAAAAAATAACCCAAATGTAGGTAAATATACCACACATGGAGCATCTGGGTATGACAATATTAGTGGATGATTCCATGGATGATTCATGATGATTCCATGTAATGATGAACCAAGATTCCAAGGATGATTCCATGGTTTCAGCAAAATCAAGGGATTGAGCAGGGTTCAGCTGTAAAGGACCAAACGTCGATGGGTTGAAACGACCAGGTTTTCTTGCAGCCCTTGCATGTTGCTTTTATTGGTATTTCCATAATGAGACAAATCAGGTATGATCTTAAGGTTGGTGGCGGCACTTGACTATATGTTGGTCAATAGGTCATTGATCTTATATTCAATCATTATCAGTCTGGTAACAAAATGCAACATTCAGATATCCGAGGACTGAGTCATGGTACAATGACCTGTCCTTGGCATGGTGCATATTTGTCTTCAAAGATATGTCTTGATCCCTTTGTGCCAAAGACACCTCACCCATCTGTGTCAGGCTTGGCAGTCCTTTTCCGGATTCCAGCAGCCTGCAAACAAAAGACGCGCTTTGGATGATGGAAGCGTTTCCTTGGGAACTCAGAGGACTGAGAAGTCTCTCTCTCTCTCTCTATATATATATACAATACATATGTATATATATATATATGTTAATGCATATATATATACATACTGATACACTATGATACACTTATATATATATATTATAATAATATATATATATATATATGTACGTGTGTATGTTAATTATATAAACATATACAAAAACGGAATTGTGCTAAGATACATGTTACTTTGATTTTTGAAGGCCAGACGTCGCAGGTAAATCCTGTTGATATGGGAGAGTGTGATAGAACGGACGTACTTATTGTTATTTTCCAATGTCATTTGAATTTGAAATCCTGATGCAAACCAATTTCCATAAGGTGTTAGCACATTTTTTAACCCAGGACTCATTGTTGCATCTGGATTTTAGCATGAATCGTGGCTGGTGGTTTCAATCATGTTTGTTACATGGTTTCTCCCCTATGGATACTCCTAGACTATCAGTAGCTGAGACGTTGCTCCAGGTGGTCACTTGGAGCACTTGGATCACTTGGATCAAAAGCACGTGACTTAAAAGGAAGTGGCAATATTTACATCTATTCTATATACACTGTAATGTATGATATCTTATGATATGTATATATCATAGATATCTAGTTTATCTCTATAATATATCAACTATATCTGGTTGGCGGTTTGGAACATTTTTTATTTTTCCATATATTGGGAACAATAATCCCATTTGACTAATATTTTTCAGAGGGGTTGAAACCACCAACCAGGGATGTACATATATATATACACATCTACATGCAACACATCCTCTTCCTCGTTTCCTGGTTCCATTGCTCATGGCCTTCCGGGTTTCGACCCTGCACACGGCCAGCGGCCAAGACGTGTGCCTGGAACCAGCATTGGCTCCTGATGAAGCCCTCGAAGATCTCAGGCACAGTTCATTGGCGGTGAAGACGGTTAAATGTTGGGGGATGTACCATCAAAATGGCACATATATAATCATATATATATATATATATGATCCCGGTCCCCGGTCCCGTAGCCCCCCCCCAATGGTATGGTCCCCTACTCCCTGACCTAGAATCTTTCATTTCCATGGTATTTACAGCATTTTGGATGCAAAACCTCATATTTCCATGGTATTTGCACCAGTTTGGATGGAGAACCTCATATTTCCATGGTATGTACAGCATGTTGAATGCAAAACCTCATATTTCCATGATATATACATACTTACATACACACATTCATACATACATACATACATACATACATACATACATACCTACCTACCTACCTACCTACCAACCAACCATTACATACATACCATTACATACATACCATTACAATCCATTACATACATACCATTACATACATACCATTACATACATACCATTACATACATACCATTACATACGTACCATTACATACGTACCATTACATACGTACCATTACATACGTACCATTACACACATACCATTACATACATACCATTACATACGTACCATTACATACGTACCATTACATACGTACCATTACATACGTACCATTACATACGTACCATTACATACGTACCATTACATACGTACCATTACATACATACCATTACCATTACATACCATTACATACACACCATTACATACACACCATTACATACACACCATTACATACACACCATTACATACACACCATTACATACGCACCATTACATACGCACCATTACATACCCACCATTACATACACACCATTACATACATACCATTACATACATACCATTACATACATACCATTACATACATACCATTACATACATACCATTACATACATACCATTACATACATACCATTACATACATACCATTACATACATACCATTACACACATACCATTACATACATACCATTACATACATACCATTACATACATACCATTACATACATACCATTACATACATACCATTACATACATACCATTGCATACATACCATTACATACATACCATTACATACATACCATTACATACATATGTACTTTCATATCATGATAATTACAATCAATGAAGAATGGCATGGATTTAATCCTGACCTTCAGGTTTCTTATCTTCTAAAGGAGCGCATTCTCAACAAGCCACCTATCAAATCTGTTTCCTTGACTTGTTGTTTGATAGCTAGATGAAAGTCTCATACACAATGAGTGGAACCCCTCACTTCAGTGGTTCTGCATGTTGTGAACCTCGCCACCAGGCCGCTCTGGCTGAGCAAACATTCCTATTCAAGTGTCTCAACGAAAGTATAACCATAAGGAAATATCAGGAATCAAAGGCAAGTCGAAATCTTAACATGAATATAATGAATGTTCCAGGTGACCAGGTTCTCTTTGGTTAAACCCAATGTTTTTTGAAGGGTTTTGCCAATCCGCAGAAGGATCACCTCAAAGTCTTGAAGTTTCCATCCTGACGGGGTCCACCATTGGTCCAAATATGGCATACAGGTTGAGGTATATAGGGGGAGTATAGTGAGAAGATCTGGGTTCGTCCAAAAATATGCAAGACATGGGAAATTGACACCCAATATTATGCACAATAATGCCAACATCGGATTAATCAACCCCCCCCCCCCACCAGGTAGGTAGGGGGGTACCTTCTGGCTAGTTTCTTGACTACCCCTTAATAATAAGAAACTCTGAACCATAAAAATTTGGATATGGCTTACGTCAATTAGATCTTAATTGAATTCTATTGGATTTGTTAAAATCTCATGGATCAGAAAGGTGGTTGATTAATCGGGGGCAAACCATGGTTATTATTAATGGGGGACATGGGCTCATGGGGGGTACCCTTTGGGAGCTATCCAAACTGATGATTTTTATAAAGATTTTAATTAGAAATCGATCATTTGGGGAATAGTCATTTTTTGAATTTTTCAATGATCAACTTAAACCTTAAGTATAACAATGATGATTAAACAAAAAGGTAAAAACAAATTGGAAATAAATAGAATTGGAAATAAAAATTGTTGGATAAAAATTTGATTTCAGCACAGGGGGTTGATTAATACCGCGGGTTTATTAATCCTGGGGGACCACCTCTTTTTAAATTACAAAAAAAAAATGGGCAGAGGGGGTTGATTAATACCGCGGGGATTATTAATCCTATGTTGGCATTATAAGGCAATGTTGATATATGTTGATAAGGAAAGGAACATGAATGAAAATGATGATAAACCGGTGGGTACTGGGGATAACCCCAATACTCTTTGGGTGTTTGGGCATGTCAGGGAGCACTGTATCATGCGTCATGATACCTCGTCAATCCAGGAATGGCTTGAGAAGTTATGGCCCAAGAGTAGATTTAAATAGGTTTATAAGATATATATTCAACATGAAGAGAAAATTTCTGGATCCATTTGTAGCCCCCCTTTCCACATGTGTACCGCATTTGGCTTGGCGAATGTCTGACGACGCAGGCGTCGCGCTGCCTACGCTTTGCGGGTGGGGATTCGACAGGCAGGGCCTGTTCAATGGATATTGTACGAATGCATACCTTGGGCGGCCACAACATGATGATTTTTGTTTGAAAAATCTTTAAAATTTGAAACCTTGAAACATTTTGGGTTTTATTATTTTGAGACCCCTGAACTCCACAATAGGCTGATGGCTGAGATCAGGTGACCCTTCTGAACGGAGACAAGGAATTGGTCGGAAACTGCTCCGTGGCTGATGTGATTGACGAATCCACCGTCCAGGACCAAAAGAACATACCCTCTGGTAATTTAACATAGCTATGGAAAATCACCATTTTTAATGGGAAAATCCACTATAAATGGCCATTTTCAATAGCTATGTTAGTTTACCAGAGGGTATATTCCGCCATTTCCTCCAAATCTCTGCCCTTAGCCGATAGATCAGGACCTCACAGTGCTGCTGCAGCCGGTGCTTCGCGTCTATCGCCCGCAGCTGAAGGAGGCCTGGAAGGCGACCGGCTTCGTGAAGCTGCAGAAGGTGGCGATTCTTGGAAAAAAAATCTGGCTGGTTGGTGGTTTGGAACATGAATTTTATTTTTCCATAATATATGGGTATGGGTCAATACCTATAGATACATTTTTAGTGGAATGAACATCCATTTACCAGCTATTTTGATGTTCACCAGGGGTACAAGGTTTTGACACACTGCCATATGGAATAATCATCCCAAGTGACTTTCATAATGTTTCAGAGGGATAGGTATACCACCAAGCAGATGGGATTATATGGGATAAAGCTTCATCCAACTCGCCCAATGGTCACTGCTTCATCCATCCAAGGCTTGGATGGCTTGGATGGCTTGGATGGCTCGAATCTGAAGTAAGCTTAGATTTGCAAATAATATCGGATACCCTCTGGTAATTTAACGTAGCTATTGAAAATTGCCATTTATAGTGGATTTACCCATGAAAAATAGGGATTTTCCATAGCTATGTTAGTTTACCAGAGGGTAATAACTATAATGGGATAAATAAACCATCTGCCAACTGGTGCAGGATTTGGATGGCTTGGAGAATGATGGACTAATCTGAAAATGGTTGGTATATCCCCACTTATGGTCATTTTAGTGCGGAAAATGGTGACGAATCATCACATTTTCGGGATGTCAGGGGGTATCCGATTTTCAGACAAACCCATTTGGATAAAGCTTGAGTAGATGGTTGTTTTTGTTTGCGATAAGTATGTCGACATGCAAACATATCGCTAGGTTCAAGGTAGGTCCAGGGGGGCCATGTGTCAAGGTTGGCCGTAAAAAAAGGGGACCGGCCAAAGCCAACAGACGTTTGTTTAACAGCAAGGGTGCTATGATTAACCAACAACAGAGATAACAGTGTATCTATTGGGTAGGATAGGGATGCATCATGGCACTTGTGATTTTCCTAACACAAGGGGATGAACACCCAGTTAACAAAGACATGTTGATGTGACAAATATTCAGGGACGTGTGTGCTATGATGGAATCCGAACAATCATAGGCATGTTGCATAGATTGAATGCAATAAAGATGGAAGCATAAAGCAATACAACTAATTAAGCTAGGCTTACGTTTCTGGAATTATCGCAGAGCCTTTTTCTGGATTAACATGGTGGTTCTATCCTTTTCCGTGCCATATGGAAAGATGATGATCCCAAGTAGTCTATATGTTTCTATTTGGTGCCAATCAAACGGGGTCATTCATATTAAAGGTTGTGTTTCTATTGGGTGAAATGATTCCAGTTGACTATATGGAATCATACAGCACTGTGGATGATACAAAACCAAACATGTGATCCTTTTATATATTGTGTGTATGCATATATATATACATACAATTATACATATATAAGACATTACATTATCATTTGCTTTTGTGAATGTGCACCTTGACACAGACCTGTACAGTTTTCTGGAAGCCACTTCTCAGGTTTCCACCCTCTAGCGGCATCGATGTGAATATGATGCCCTTCCGGATGGGCGACAAAGAACCTTGACGAAGGATGTGATGTCATACATATGATATTATATGAGTCCATGAATATCAATCGGAGGAGAGATTATTAGCAACATACATATTATTGCATACATATATGATTTTGATGGATATCCATAGAATTTCGAGAACCATATGCCCGTATTTCTGTCCTCACCACACTTCAAATCGCAGGTACCAACTCAAATGTCATACTGTTGATTACATATTCCATTATGTCTCATTGCCATCCCTTATATGCCAACTATATCCCCATGATTTCGTTAGTGTACTCACCTGTTTTGGTGGCCATCAATGTCAGTGATCCCTACTGCACTTAGATGCATGGAGTTAACTGGTGATCGTTAGTTGATCCTACGTTGGGGGCTGATCCATCAAATTCCTACGCTAGATGGCTAAATGATGCTAAATGGCTAAATGGCTAATATCATCAAATCCCTATCAAACTGATGGTGAAGTCGTTAACTCATGTTATGTAAATCCACCAGAAATCAATTCTTTCTGGTGGGATCCCAGATGATCCCAATACATCCTCCATTTTTGGGACCACCCAGGCATCGCTCCCGAAACAGCTGAAGGGCTACTGGCCGCTGATCGAAGCATGCAGGCTGCCACAGGAGGTGGGAATCTCGGTGACTTTCCATGGAGGAAACGGCCCAAAAAAATCCCGGGTTTGGCATGGGAATTCAACGATCCAAACATGGAGATTTAAGATGATTTGAGAATAAGACAGTCGGATTTGGAGAAAAGGTGGTGAAAATTTCAACCATCAAAGATGGGGGTTGAATTGAACATTGCAGGTTTAACCATATTTAACATATTTAACCAAGAAAAATGTCCAGTACCATCCACCTTCGTTGGTGAAATATGCAGAGCGGATCCCCAATTTTCGGAGATCCAGTCCATAAAAGGGGCCCAACTGAGGGTTTTTCTGCACCCTCGCAGGAAATTGGAAAGGTGGGTTTCTTGACCATCCAGGCGGGGGTTCACAGTCCTGGATCTCTGGTGGGGGCAAAGATGGTTAAGATACTGTATAATTGATGATTTATGATAGACAATACCAGATATTTTTTCATCTGAGATCATGGTAAAATATTGATGTTTGATATTGACTGATGAAGATGATGTGATGACGGCGATGACGATGTTGAGGAGGAGGAGGACATTGAGGACGAGGGACAATGATGATTAAGGATGTATGGCAATTGGATGTATATCGATCGAATCTTCGTGTGCCTTGTCACAATCCTCACAGATACTTGATCCATGCAAGATGTCTCAAAAGAGAGAGGTGACAGATACCAAGGTAATTGTGAAGCCTGATCAGACAGTCCCAAGGAAAGTTTGGAATTATATACCACGAATCTTACAACACTGGCAAAGAGGTTGCTGATGTGAAAGCAGGACTGATTGGTGAATCATGAACCCTAATCAACCAATTCTAAGATGATCGCGATGGGTTTAAACGTCAAAAGCACCAAAGAAGGGAGGATCCATTGGTCTCGCCTTGCTATTCTTGAATGCTGAGCCAGGATCAAAGTTGCTTGTTCCTAATCAAGTAAAGCAAGTGGGGTAGCTATTTCTCCCTCAGATTATTAGCAACCATCAGCACCTTTCGACAGGTTACAACTTTTGCCATTGTTTGCTGTTGTTGCTCAGTACATCCCCATGTTTGCTGCTCAGTACGCACCAAAAAATGGTGGGTTGACACGGTCCGTGGGTGAAATCTCCTGTGTTGTTGGCAATCCCCATCTTGGATATTCTTGGATCATGGCCGCAAGGCCGCTGCAGTGGGCAGCTGCTCAGAGACAGCCCATCTTCATAATTTTACCTGGAAGATTGGATGTCTTTTATTCTTGGATCATAAGTCTTAGTGTCTTAGTTGGCAAAATGATCATTTTCGTGTGGTAAAAAAGAACACGCCACGGTGCCACAGGAGACGGATGTCACTGCAGGGGATGCCCAACGTCGTCCCGGGCTGCACCTGGAAACTCCAGGTGAGGTTTTATGAATTAATTGACTGGTTATATTAAGTTTAATTATAGAGATATAATAGATGTATAGATACTGGAACTGAATCAGAATGTCATACCATTGAATAGCCAACTATATATATATGCGAAGGGTATCTCGGGCTGAAGTTTCTCCACATTTTAGGGAAGGCACCACGTATGCGTCCTAAGGAAAAACGCGCTCAAAATTAGAGCTTGTTGATTGATTCTTATAGCGGCTTACTGTATGTACTATATATGTTACATACAATCTGGTTTATTGTGGATAGTTAGTTACAAGCCATAGTAGGGATATCATGGGATATCTGTGAAACCAACCAGTGCAGCCAGTTTTCTCTGAAATGGGGCCGGCATCGCAGGAGTCGTGATGTTGGATGGCCGGGTGTTGCTGACAACCGCCAGATGGGGCTGGGGGCTGGCAGGATTCAAACGGAAAGAAGCCAAAAAGGCGGGGCTCGGAATGGCTCCGACTGGGCCATACACAAGCATGGTGCCAAGCTGGGTTTAGGATCGTCTTCCATCCGTTTGGATTATACTAATCCCAAAAAAGATAGAAAAGTAATGAAAAGTATATAAATCCGCACTATGTATTTTTGTCCGATGTCCCTTTTTTTATCTTTTGCAGGGTTGCAATTACCTGGGTTAACCCAATACGCCACAATAGACATTTGCCATACCTACGCACCAACTCCCTGTGTTTTTGTGTAATTTGATTGGATTGTGACCTATCGTGCGGTTCCAAACTCCACCCCAGGTGATAAGGCACGAATAAATCTTCAAATGAATAGGCCTTATTGTTGCTTGGGTTACTTTTGGTCCATGTCAATGTCGTTTCTTGCGCTGCATGTCGTTTGGAAGTGGCGTTTTTTTTAGATTGGCAGCGGATGAGACCAGCACTAGTGGCGAACCCACGATTCTTATCATTTGCGGTTGTCTGAAAATAGGGTACCCATGGGTACCCCCAAAAATAGTCAATCACCATGATCTTCTTTAATATGTTTTAATGTTATTTAATATTCTCTAATATTCTTTAATTGTCCCTATAAAGATTAGCGTTGAGAAAGAATACCTTCCCAGACACACCTTTATCTGGGTTTGCTGGAGAGAAAATACGTGCGAAGGTACCTCCAATGCACCTGCTTGAAGACGATTCCAAGGCTGCAATTAGCTCCGATATTAATGTAGCTGTATATATGTGAATCTGGTTGGTGTTTTCAATTATTGGATTCAGCTAGATTCGGGATGATGGGAAACACCTCACATTCGACCCTACCGACAAGTCACATTCTACCCTACTGACCATTCAACCCATACAGACTCACCTTCGACCCCTCTCACATTCGACCCTGCCCTCGAAATGCTACGCTCTTGACCCAACCTGGGATGGTACATGTTCAGTTTAGATATCTAATCTGGTTGGTGGTTTGGAACATGAATTTTATTTTTCCATAATATATGGAATAATCATCCCAACTGACTTTTATATTTTTCAGAGGGGTAGGTATACCACCAACCATCAATGAGGTATGTTTGTGTCAAGGATTCTTTCTCCTTGCTTCACATCGACGCATTTGCAATTCTTATATACGTATTCTTGAGAACCATTCTGAACCCCCCCGATCTGGGGCAAAAGATAGATATGATCATACACCTACTCCTACTGCCACAACCAAAATCCTCCCTCCAACATGATGTCGGTGTGAAACCTCTGCCCTAGTACAGAGGCACTAGCAATGTTTGGTGAGTTGATTATTTTTGATTGCAAAAGACTACAGTACTCGCATTGAACAATGGATTCTGCAATGTTCTTTGCAAGGGAGCACCAGCATCACTTCATGCTTCGGAGCTTACTGCATGTGTATGCAATTGTATGCATGTGTAAATTTCCACAGATTGGTCGACATGTTCGTCGTTGGTGCTCATCCCCACTTGGAACGACTATGTCTAATTGACGACTGCTTTTGGGATGGGGTTAAGGATGTTAAGGGTTAAGTCACCAGTCTGATTTGCAAGAATGTGGACCTGCTTCAGACCGATGATGACTTCGACCCTTTTGAGGAGGCCACCCTATTTGTGCTGCATTTCTACATATTTCTACACTTCTCAGAGCTTTGGTTTTCCAGTTCAAGTTGTGCGGCAGAGTCACTTCACAGATGTTTGCAGGATGTTTCAAGGATTAAAAAAGGATTGTATTTTTTTAGTGATATTTTTTTGTTTTTTTTGTTTTTCAGCTTGGGGCAGCTTTCCTCGCTATTTGCTGCATTTTGGAGCTAAAATTTGTGTTTCGCATGCATTTTGGAGCTAGAAGCTCCCATTTGCGTGCCCACTTGGCTTTTGGCTTTTGGCTTTGGCTTCACTTGGCTTCACTTGGCTTCACTTGGCTTCACTTGGCTTATGGCTTTGGGCTTTTGGTTTTGGTTTCACTTGGCTTTGGTTTTGGCCGTTCACTTCACTTGGCTCTTGGCGTTTGTTGGGTTTTAGTATTGTAGTTTGCATATAACATTTCATGTAATACATTGCATATAAATATATTTCTTTCATGTAAACTGCACAAGAACTACAGACATAGAGTATAGGAGCTTGTATGCATGCTGCTGTAAGAAAATAACGAAACCATCAATAAAGAAAACTAAAGAAACCCTAAACGACACCCTAAAGAAACCTTAAAAGAAACCCTAAAGAAACCCTAAACGACACCCCAAAGAAACCCTAAAAGAAGCCCTAAAGAAACCCTAATTGAAGCCTAAAAGAAAACCGAAATAAAACCCTAAATGAAGCCCTAAAGAAACCCTAAAAGAAACCCTACAGAAACCCTAAACGACACCCTAAAAGAAACCCTCAATGAAACCCTAAAGAAACCCTAAATGAAACCCTAAACCCTCAAGAACACTAGAAGAAACCCTAAAGAATCTTTGAAACCACGGAAAGATCATTGAAGACGATCAGGAAAGCGATGAAAACCATCCAGACATCGTTGAAAACCATGGGAAAATGTATGAAAACTAATTAAAATGTTGCAAGTTTCGTGCAAATTTACGATTTTAGCTACCCAAATTTGCGACTTCAGCTCCTAAATGCTGCAAATAGCATGCAAAGTGAGAGATTTAGTTCAAAAACGCAGCAAGTAGCACGCAAACCAGAGAGATTTTAGCTCCAAAATGCAGCAAATAATAGCATGCAAATCAGAGATTTTGGCTCCAAAATGCAGCAAATAGCACGCAGATCAGAGATTTTGGCTCCAAAATGCAGCAAATAGCACGCAAATCGAGATTTTAGCCACATGTAGCAAATAGCAAGGAAAACTGCCCCAGACTGAAAAACAAAAAAAAACTTTGAAAGAAAACTAAACAAATCATCACCGGGATGCCAGCGCCTGTGCAGGACGACCAGTCGGATGAGGTCTGACGTCAGGGGTCATTCTATTGTGCCTATGCCAGCTGTCACCTCAATGCATTCAGCTCAAATGGTTCTGAGTCAAAAAATCAAGACCTCAGAATTGCTTGGATTTGCTTGGAAACCATCAAAATCATCAAAAAATGTGGGGGTCCCCAAGGATCCATACCCAAATTAAAACAACTGCTCTCATGTCAGCCCTGACACCTTGCAGATCCTTGACGGCCTTGACGGTGACATCAAGTTTGTCCATACCCGGTTGCAAGGTGCGCACTGCAGTTTCAGCATGTTTCAGCCAGTGAAATCTGCGAATGTTTTCTGGTCATAGCTAGATCCTGATAGTCCTTTTCGCCCTGCAGGGTGGAGTTTGTCAGCTTTGTTAAGTGGAAGCCCCTCCGGCCCCTCCTGTCTTCGGGGCAGCAACACTGGTTCCAGTTGAAAAGAAGGACCAACGGGGTCACGCTCCACAGGTGGAATCTACACAGCCTCCACCGTGGAAAATTCTGCCAGGTGTCAGGGGTTGTGGTTGGTGTGACTTGATGATTTGTTGGTTTGGGGTCAAACCAAGAATCAGGAAAAAGTTATGCATTTGATGGATTTGCAATGAATTTATTCGCTTGACGCATGTAGACATATGATGACATATGTAGACTATGTATTTGGTTTCAAGCAAAAAATATGGTATTATGGGTTTCTCAACTACTAACGAGCACATGCTAGCGCTGATCAAAAGTGTAAAACGCAATGTCTCAGAATGTGATTTTGTAGCATTTCTGATGCATTTGCAGCCCGTGCAGTAGAAGATAGAACTTGAACAGAAAGTGGGATCTCCAAGAGGAAAAATCATCCACCGCTGTTATTGGATGTTCCAGCTACTTCAGCGAACAAAAAATTGTCATCCCTGTAGGTATTGGGATCTTCGTTTTTCTGACCCAGCGGAAGTTTGTGGCCCCTTGGGGGACCTGGAACACATGCGTCAGGCAGAAGGGGTGTGGTGGGATGGCGGATGCAGGACCCTTGATTGACACGAGTGTTTCTGAAAATTTCGAGGCCTTCCAAATCCTATCCATGGCTTAGAGAAACATCTTCCCGGTCGCCATTTTTGGGAACCCCCATTGACTCTACTTTGCCATATGCTAGTAATTTCGTAAGTTGCTACCCAGAAGTTCTCGACAAGCGGATGGGGATCCCCAAGGCCACATATCTTATCGACCAGAGGTGCTGGGCTCTGGTGAAGCAGCAGAGGCCGAGACATTGTCAGGCTCTTAGGCGAATGGGGCATTGAGCCTTCGGATTCTTGGGAGGTGATTCTCGTCGTGGATATTGATTGGATTGGATATAATATATACACACTACACACACACGATACATATATATATATATATTACATTCGATGTGTTTCTGGATGGATGGATGGATGGATGGATGGATGGATGGATTGCTAAAAGACAGGCAGGTAGGCAGAGAGACAGAGACGAAGACGGAGACAGAGACAGAGACAGATAGATAACAGACAGATAGATAGATACAGTACCTAGTTATGTACCGGAAAGCGGGTCATGTCTCTTTTTCAGCCAAATCTTTCCACTTCGTCAAAGATTGATGCGTCAGTCTCACTTCGCAATTGGCTTTCTTTATGCCACTGGTAACTCATGGTAACTTGTTAGTTTGGGGGAACCACTCTTTGTAACCCAAAGGAGTTTGAAGTGAAGGGGGCGCTCCCTTTTTGAAGCTCTCATGGGTGTGATTGCCGTCATCCCAGCTACAGGTATTGGATGAGCGATGCAACGCCCCATGAGTCCGTTCCTTTGAAGGAAGACAGTCATCGTCAGTGTCTTGTCTGTTCCAAAGAGCGCTTAAGGGGACCCCGAACTTGCCATTTTGATGGTAAAAATGATGATAGTCGATGGGATTTTTGGTACCCTATTTTCAAAGAAACATATTTAGATGGTGTGCCGTAGGTATCTTTGGGAACCGCTGTATAAGTATAAGTCAAACTTCATTCCCCGTAAGGTACTTTGGCATGTTTGGCGACAATTACCCCATGATGATCGTCTTCACACACTAAATTGGACACATCAGCAACAGGATAAATTGATTGAGTTTAACCTCTGTCTTTGCATCGCACATTGAAACTTGTTTTTTGCTTAATGTATATTGTAGATTATGTGTGGGTGTGCGTTTCGCATCTCCAATATCTCCCATATGTGTCCATATGTCTAAAAACACCCAACCTCTACCTACAGATGTTGGTGGCTTTGAGTTTAACCATCGAAGTTTGTACCATTTTGTTGGATTGATTTTTTGAAGTTTTGTTCATCCAAGTCCCGAAATTTAACCATCCAAGACCGCGAGGTATTTTCGCCTCGTGACGAGCTCTGTGTCCCTGTGGTATTCGAAGCATTCCACGGAGAACCCTTTGGTGAAGCCAGATCCCAGCGTTACGAGGATGTGATGGGCCTGCGAAAGGTCATGGTCGTCATGGTAGGTTGAGGATGGTTGAGTAATGCCGAGATATGCCGAGGTAAATTTTTCATGACCCATGATGACCCCTAGGAGTGGTTCATGAGAATTCTGTGAGGACTATCCAAATCCTGGAAGCATTTTCGAGAGATGAGATTCGTAGCATTTTGTTGACATTTGTTGACTATATTTGGGCTTATACTAGTTGGTTGACTCGGGATTATTGAATGATCCACGAATGGGCATTTCTATGAACCAACCACTATAGAGGCTTGCGATGACAGATGGTTCTGGTTAATTGACAATATCATGGATCATGAACCGAGAGTAAGAGAGAGGACCATGTCCATTGGCCAGTATAGATAGTATTGTCGGTAGCTCAAATGGACATTTGTCAGTTACCGCGCAGTCACCTATTGTAGAAAGAAATGAAAGGTTGCTGATTTATCATGATTTATCTATTTTGGAGAAGAATGTTGGATGAGACTCGTGGAGGATAGTTGCATGGTTTATTTGTTGGCTAGTTTGACATGAAGATATCACCCAGCCAAAAAGTAGCGTTTGCAGGGTATCTAAGATTTGCCACGTAGAATGCAGATGAATGTAAAATACATTATGTACATCAATAGGCACAATCATTATCTACATGTATATGCGACGTGTTTCTTTCCTGTCCGTTTTCTTCGGTTGACGCATTCGCCAACCCTGCAGGATTGTTGACACAGACAAATTCGAAGACTTCCCACTTGTTGGTCGATTTGAGCGGAGAGGAAGTGATGCAGGGGACAAGATTTGGGATGTATACGCTGAACATCTTGGTGAAGGGGGAGAGCGAAAGCTGTTAGAGCAGCAGCTCGGGCCCCTGTGATGGACTTAGAAACCGCAAGATGGCGTGCTGCTGTCTGAAAAATCTGAAAAGAATCGGACTGGTTTGTAGCGAGATTCTTTTGGCACTGGGGGATTAACATGGATTAATTAACAAGTATTGTACATTGGTATACATTGATTATATTGGCCCAAGGTTCTTGGTTGTCCAGTCACAGTCAGGGAAGGTCAAGTCTACACTGATAGCACTGATTGGGGGGTTAGGTACCCACTAGTTCACATGAAGTGATGCGGGTGCTTAAGGATTAATATGGATTAATTGCAGTTCTGCTGTCATTGCTCAACGCAAGACGAAATCAACATGGACCAATAGAATCCCTCCCCCAATCAACCAGTGGAAGGGATGGGTATTCTTGTTTTCATTGATTTGTGTCGGTGTAAAAGATGTTTGGTTGGTGTCACCCCAATTTGATTATTTGGGACCATCCGCAATGGATCGAAATGGACTTTCCTATTTGGAGTTTCTGAAACGCATAAGTATCTTGGCTGTTGCTGGGAAGAACAGCCGTTTCAGGGAAAAATTGCTGGCTCTCTCCAATCAGAAAGCATGCGCACAGAAGAACGTGTAAGGCTCCTTGGTAAATACATGTGAAGACTATATACTGTAAATTTCATGGGAGCGCTCAAGTCTTGACCTACACCCATTTCGTGGGCAAGAGCTTGTTTTCCAGGCTTGCAGGGTACCTCATCAATCAAAACTATTCAAAACGAACTAACCACTCCCTGTTCCAAGAGCTATACAGTACTTACAAAACTGTGGCAGCAACTCTGATAGTATATATTATGATATATTTTTCTGGACCGTTTTCTACGTTTTCCGTTAGCGGAGCTTCAACGGGTTTTTACACCATTCCGACGAGTTTGTACGGCGATTCTTTTTCTGCTGTTTTTTGGCAAAAGCGGCATCTAGGGGCTTCTGACGAGTCCTGCTAATTTTGGATAAGAAACGTGTCCACACAAACCTAACCGAGGTTGGTGTTTGTCTTTTGACTACAAAAGCATTCCCGCATGGCTCTGTATCATGATAATCAATCCTCCACAAGGACAGACCCATTGCATCCATTGAATCCCTTGGGATATCCCCTCAAGGCCAGCCACTGTTGCCTCCAACTCTTATTCTTGTCATAAACGTAGCACCCAGAATGGTGATGACTGGGGGATGGTTTATGGCAGCCAGGGTTTACCACATCATACTATGAATTCACAAATATGGGGATGTGTCAAAACCACCTCATTATTCTACATTATTCTAGTCAACCATTCATTATTAATAGATAATGGTTAAATAAATGTGTTGCCACCATTATTCTTATTTCTGCCACCATCTGCAGCAGATTTTGTGTTCCAGCAGCTCCACCCTGACCTAGTGGCCATGAAGGTCATCCGGGGATGTGGATGGCGAAGCTTGTGGCTGGTCAACTACTGCATCAATAAGTAGGATGTGTCTATAGTCTATATATATATATGTATATAATTGTATATATATATATACATATGTTACATTGTATGTATATATATATATACATATATGATACATAAATATATATAGATGTATGACTTGGTATACATATATAGTCATATATATACATATAGATAGTTACGTGTATAATATTATGTAATAATGTATGCAAATATTTATTTTGTTGTTAAATCTGTATTGATCCACACATGTGTATGTAATGTAATGTAATGTAATGTAATGTAATGTAATGTAATGCAATGGTATGGTATGGTATGGTATGTATGTATGTATGTATGTGTATGTGTGTATGTGTGTATGTGTATATATATATATATAATGACAGTATATCCACGGATATACTTTACTTAAAGAAATATACAGTGAAGTATGCTAGATATGCACCGGCATGGCCTCTCCAGCTGGGATTTTTCTTGTCGCTGAAGGTGTTTAATTTGACATTACTTTGGTTGACTTCAAGAGACCCTTGAGAGGAGTGAAGTGCTTGTCGTGTTTTCACCTAAAGACCAGTCATCCAGTCTGTGGTTATGTGCAGTTCATCTCTTTTGTAGCTTGACAGTACCATCCCTGGTGTTTCATGACCTTTCTGGATTCCATGCCAAGGTTTCCGCATTTCTCCCCCAAGCTGATGAATTCCCCTGACAAAACCATGGCAAAAAAATCTCAACTGTTGTTCAGACTTTCCCATATGGGGAGGTGATAGTTCCCATCACTGAGGTGAAAATGATTGCAGAAACTAAATATGTGATGACATTGTGAGAAGAATCCATTGTTTCCTGGCTGACATTCCTTCTTTTTTTTTGCCCACAAATTCCTTCCACACGTTTGTTCACAAAAAACAGCATTTATTAAAACCTCCATTCTTGGTGGTAAGACCTCCTTAAACCCGTTAAGTCACCATGTTTCAGAGTAAAATCAGGTACACATCAGGTATAAATCGGGTCGTTTTCTTTGCCAGCTTAGATTACAAGAAGATATACAGTATTCGATAGTTGGTTATCCAGTATACGTATATATGTCTGTGTGTATATATATGTATATATGTGCATCATTGTATATCCCATGACATAGTATATAAGATGTATCCCTTATATCCACATTATATCCCATTAGATATACATGTGTGACATTTGTGCTGCTTCAATGACCATGGTTTCAGGCTGATGAGGAAGCCCGCGCCAAAATGGCTGCAGGCATGCAGATGCAGCAGGAGACGACGTGGAGCTGCGGTCTGGTGTCAAGCTGATGGATACGGGCTGTGAAAGAGTGATGGATGACAATGATAGATGATGAAGGATGATGATGACAATGATGATGGAGAATGAGGATGAGGATGATGACAACGGGGATTCTGATGGTGACCGCATTTTGGGCTCTCAAAAGCCAGGCTAAGACGATTTGCAGCAGAGTAAGCTACTAGTAAGGAATTTATTCTCAAATTTTCTCAAACATCTTTCAGACCCAAATTCCATGATTTTTGAGAATGAGACGTTGTTTTTTTCCTCAGTTTCCTTCAGAAAGGGATCCAAATCCGCCAGGTTTCTGTGCCTAATTTGGGTGATTTTTTGTCCGAGGAGAACGATCTCCAAAAGATGCAAGAACAACAGGCGCAGCAGCAGGAGATGGAGGAGCGAAAGCGGGTCATGGTCAGATCCATCCTGGAACCCGAGGCACGGAGGCACGGCGTCTGAAACGTGATAGCCATCGAAAGAATGCCATTCTAATGGAAATCTGGTTGGTGGTTTGGAGCTATTATTTTCCATTTCATATATGGGATGTCATCCTTCCTGACGAAGTCCATCATTTTTCAGAGGGGTAGGTCAACCACCAGAAATGAAATCATGATTGTATTGATGTTGCATGATATTACCCAATGATATTACCCAATGATATTACCCAATGAATGTCATGATTTTTACCGTGACTTGGTAAACCCTTGGGATCCAAAAGGGGATCGATCTTTGGGGATTTCCGGATTTCCAACAGGGAAGGTCCCTGCACAAACCCGTTTAATACTTATGCATATATCTATATCTATGATATATATATATAACATAATAATTTATAATTTATATTAAGGTTCATTACATTTCTATTTAGTTTATTTTTAATGTACCGCACACACGCATAGAAGTTGGTCCGATCGACCGGTTTCGACCTATAAAATTCTATGTGAGATTCCAGTAGATTGTATTTGTTTTTTACCGCAAAAGCAAGTTGCCCAAATGCATTGAATTGCATCCAAGTGATTCCTTTCCTCTGATACTGTGGAAAGAAACCCTGCTGTAGTATTGGATTTATTGGAGGGATCTCTTCTTCCATCGGGGTATTTGTGGGATGGGATTACATCACTTGCAGTGGATGTTCGGAGGACGTTTTATCTTTTTTGCACCAAGGTGTATGACGATTATCCAAAATGACCCAGGTTTGACTCATCCATACCCATATTTTAAGCATGGAGGAAGTGGTGGGTTCAAATATGCTTTGTTTTCAACTCAGGGATGATGCTCCCAATTTTAGACTTTCCATTTCAGCAGATGGCTCCAGCACCGGTGGAACCATTGATGCTGATCTTTCCCAAAAGTTGATGGTCTATCACTTTTTTTTACCCCGCCCAAAAAAATAAAGTGCATCTGGGGGGGTATCAAGATTCAGATACCCATATCCATTGGAAAGGCCTTGGAAAGGCTACACCGCATTGGACTAGTGAAGCCTGAGAAGAAGGAGCAGGTGTGGTGCCCGTGATACCCGTGGTGCCGGCCCTGAGTTCCTCAGCCCCAAAAGATGGGTTTCTTGGTGAATCAACGGATGAATGGTGGGGATCATGGACTCATGTTTGGGCAATTTCGATGGAGGAACATGCCAATCATGTCATGTCCCGCTAAGACTCCACCTTTCTTGCAAGGCGTCTAAGGTTGGTCCCGGTTTTGAACTGGTTTAGAAGATGGGTTTCCTATGGCTGCTCAGGGTTCTTTCTTTTAAGTCTTGAGGCCTACGCCATCAGCACACCACTATCAAAATATGATCAGCAGCAGCATCATTGGCAACATCATCATCAGACCTCACTACCAGACTATCATTGGTTGTTCGATTCCGTTATTTTTGCAGGAACAAAATGAATCATCATAATCTCATATAATCTCATAAGTATAATCAAACGTCGTCAAACTTCGAGAAAACATCCGTTTTTTATCCATCCCGATGCCAGTTGGCTGCAATTGTTCGGCATGGATTTAATGCAAAACTGTGTTCTTTTTATGAGGTTTCCCCACACAAATATGGCTTACCCTTGAAAATCCCATTGTTTATCGCCATTTTCTTCATCCAAATTGTTCATTTGTGATATGTTCAATTTTGGACAAACTCGGATGGGGTCAATACCTGCGAGACCATGGGAATGCAGACCATCGGCCATCAATCCATTCATGGAGACCCATTGTAAATATTTCCATGATGGGATGGATGACTATATATATACATACCACATTCACCATGCTTTTGCCATAGCACATATGTCATTATGTGTGTTTTCAGCTTTTGTGGTGCAAGCTTCTGTGCCAAATTCCCACGGCGGGTAGCTGGTACATTGCTGGTGAACCAAAGAAATGTCCCACATTTGGGGAGTTGAAGCCTTATCTCAGATCGTGATAGGTGGAACTTATGCTGATCCAACAAGCACAAAGCGGTCGTATCAGCGTGCCTCGTTTGGACAAACTTCTGTGCTGGGGAACAATGTGGCAGAATGATGTAATGCCAAGTGAGCAGTGACCAAATCCCTTATTGATTGAATACTATAGAGGGTTGTACTAGTTGTAATCGACGAACCAGTATAGAGGTATGACAGAAAGTCTTGAACATTGCCCAATTTCATTGTTGACATCGATGATCCATCGGAAAAATACCAGGGGACAATGGAACAACGGGTTTTATTATCTCTTGCTGCCGGGTATTTGCCATGAATCTCAGTGAAGTGCACGCTGGTCATGTCACCCCGAGTCACCCCCGTACAATTCGCCGACACTGGCTTTTGTGGATGGTACCAGACATGTCACGCTTTGTGATTATACAATACATTGGACCCGACAGCCAACCATTGCAGTTGCTATTATTTATGGGTATGTCCAATAGCTTGGAAACATCGAATTTCCCAGTTGACGCTCGATGTTTGTTCTATGGAAACCACTGGGTTGGGATCTCCTATAGCATCCCATGTCTATTTCAGATGGAAGCCCCAGGATCAACATGGTGGCCGGTTCAATTCACTTAAGTCGCGTCCTCTGATTTGTGTGATATTTATATATAATTATATAATATCATATAATTACATATATATTGATATATCATGTTGGTGGGTTGAGTCCGGCTGAGTCCCCATTTTGCCATTTTGGCTGGTTGAAGTTGGTTGAAATCCCAGTTCCAGCCGGTTGAAATCCGTATTTCACTGCCGGTTGAAACCCAATTTTACCTCTGTGCTACTGGTGGGGCTATGACAGCCGAAGACTAGGAGAAGATGACGGACGCACAGCTTTCTCAGCTCATGGAGAAGATGTGGCGTCGCCCAGATGGCGCTGTCGGCTGAATTGAAAAATGGATGGGTTTCCCACCAGAAAACTGGAGGTTTGAGTAGGGAAAATGGGCTTTAAGCAGCAACAACTTGGAACACAACAAGGCCATGTACAAGGAGAGTTCCTCACTACCACATCTGTTTTGTGGTTGTTCCTACTCCTCACTTCCTCTAAAAACGTTGGGCAACACTGGTTCGATATGGTTAAATCATGTTAAATCCTCGATTGGGTATATATTTGCATTGATAGTGGTCATATGTCAACATGATTTTGCTTATTTCAAGAAGCTTGCGCATGTTCATACTGATTACGTGCTCATGTTCTCAACATGAGTCGCATAGGAAGTGTTATATAGGATATTCCAGATTCTACCTGATCATCACGGGTACATCAAGCTCGAAATGTATTTCCTCCAAGACATGATAGGTATATCATAGATGATCATAGATTATCATAGATGATCATAGATCATAGATTCATATGGTATACCATGGTATACCATGGTATACTATGGTATACTATGGTATACTACCCAATAACGTCCGGTCAGGAGTGCCAGTGTGACCACCACCAGCTCGGTGAAGATCCAGCGGAAGCGAAGAGATGAGGCCGGTTGACTGACATCTTGGGGATAGCGCTGGTGTGTGATGTCCCCTGAGACTGACATATCCCATGTATAAATAGCTTCTAAGTGGATTATAAATGGCTTATAAATGGGTTACAACATGTGAGAAAACAGAGTTGATAACCACTTAAGTGGGATGATCCTCTAAGTATAGCCATCAATTAAATTAGGGTCACCGGGCAGAATGCTACAACCATTTAACAGGAGAATAATATAACTTGCCATCAAACATGGGTTATCATGACATGTGTTCACTTGCTTGGGGATAAAGATTCGCCAGCGGATGGACGGGGGGGTTCCATGCTTTTCCCATCGTGTTCAGACAACAACCGCATATGTGCCATGGTCATGACGTGGTTCATCACAAGCGGATGGTCATCCCATGTCATCCCCCTCAAAAGAGGGGCTAACATACCCGTGAAAATTGAGGAATCTCATGACGGTGGGATGACCATACCCGGTTCCATGTAACTTGAGCATGGCACATACGGAAATGGGTCTGACCAGCAACCATCAGCAACCCGTATGGTTGTTGTCCTGCAGCGACACTGTTGATGCACATTGACATGTTGCCTGACCGGATTTTGAGAGACCCTACTTTGATGTGGGTTCCAATATGGTCTAATCATCAAAACTGCTGAAACAACCCGGGATGTTTCCAAGCTTCAGACACTCCAAGTAAATAAAACCTTGACGTCTAGTCCATACAAGGGGTGCTAGAGGCCAGGCTTGAAGCTCAGTTGGACCATGTTCCTATGGAAATCAGCAGGACGATGACGACATCGACCTCGATAACCTCTGACGCTAAGGGATTGGACAGAAGCAGCAGGACAGAGCCACAGTGACTGAAACAATGGAATACATGAATACCCTGTGCTCTTCGATTCCATCATACTCCAAAATTTTGTACTGGCAATCATAGGTCCTTTGCAAGAAATTTGGCCACAGCATCTCGGCTGTCATTTTGTTCTTGGATCATCTTGGATCTGTGTGAAAAAGATGGTACTTCTTGGGATTGTTGACAATGCAATACTGAATGTAGCAAAGACACAGAAACTCTTGAAGTGTCAAATTTGGGGAGAGACTGAGGGTTGGGTCCCAGACATGTCACATCACTCTGTCAGAATTTGCGCGCGTGGATCGAGCGGGTCCAACAGACGCGTGACGTGGTGCTTGATCCAGTCTCTTCCAAGTAGTTCGTCTGAGAGACTCTATCGTCCAGCTGTTGACTTCCGTCAGCTTGAGTTAACACGTTTCTGATTGCGGCCATTTGTTTGGTGATCAAAATCACATAGCTTTCCTGATCTCGGTGTACAGGAAATACACACAAAGATGATTATTTATATATATATATACATATGCATACATAGTTATGTATGTACGTGTGTATGCACATGCATATATATATATATATTATGTATCTACACAAACGCAGAATTTAGCTACATGGATGTTATGGAGTCGTTGAGCTCAGCAGTGGATCCATTGAAATGTGCGGTCCAGGTTTCACTTGGGCAAGGCGCTATAAGAAGCGCTAGGAGTTGGAAAAAATGGAGTGTGAGCTAAGGTGAGGAACTCTTGCACACTCCTCCCATGAGTAGGTTGCATCGAACAGAGGAGTCGAAAAGAGGAGACTGAGAAGACTCTACAATAGTTCCTGCTGTGTCATGTACAACTGAGGTAGAACATGTTTTTTGATGGGCTGTTATGATATATATATATATATGTCCATTATGTCTATAGTCTATATATATATATGTCTATATATGTCTATTATATATGTCATGTCTATATATATATATGTCTATTATATTTGTCCATTTTATCTGTCTATTATATATGTCTATATATGTCTATATATGTCTACATACATATCACATGAAATTTATAATACATATTACATATCTATAAGTAATTACATATATATATATATGCAGATGTGTGTATATATATATGTATTATATACACATGTGACCATGTGTATATATTATATATGTGTGTATATACGTATATATATATATACGTATGTGTATATTATATATATACATATATATATATATGTATATGTATATATATATGTATATATATGTATATATATATATGGTCCCGTCCTCAGTCTCTCCACCCACCCCCCCAATGGGTTGGGTCCCCAGGTAGCACCCCCCCCTTCCCTTCTATTTGCAAGCTATTGGCAGCATTTCTGAGGTCCAGCTTCGTATTTGCTAGGTCTTTGCAGCATTTCTGACTACCAGCCTCGCATTTACTAGGTACATGCCACCTTTTAGGCGACCTACGTAGCACACATACTCCCTCAAAGTACCTACGTGCTACCTATAGACATACATACATGTGCTATGTATCTACTTCCTATTTACTACCTGTGTACTCTGACAACACTACATGTTTTTAACATATACCGTGCCTACCATACATTCCAATGATGCCATGCATACCATACCTATCATCCTATCATACCTATCATACATACCACACATACCATACATATGAAACATAATTACCACGCCTACCATACATACAATACCAAACATACATGCCATACATACCATACCTACCTTACATAGGAAACATTCCATACCCATCACAGTAACCATACATACCATACCTATCATACCTATCATACATACCAAACATATGAAACATAATTACCACGACTACCATACATACAATACCAAACATACATGCCATACATACCATACCTACCTTACATAGGAAACATTCCATACTCATCATAGCAACCATACATACCATACAGACTATACATACTGTCATATCAAACATACCATACCCAACAGACTTACATACCATACCTACCATCCATACAATACCAACCATTCATGCCATACATACCATACCTACCATACATACCAAACATACCATACTTTCCAAACATGCCATACCAGACCGACCATACACATCGTACATACCCAACATATCATACCACACCCACACCACACCACAGGGGGGGGCACCACACCACAGGGGGGGGAGGGGGAAGAAACACAAACGGGGGCAGTATATGGGACCCATCCCATGGGGGGGGTGGCAGGGCCTGGTGCATATATACATATGATTACATGTGTATATATATATATATTTATTTATTTATTTATTTATTTATTTATTTATATATACGGTATACGTATATCGTCATTTGGTTCTCTGGTTCAAGGGTGCCGATAGCTGTCCGGAATGGAAGAGGTCTCCGAGGAGCGCGGGAAACGGCAAGGTTGGTCAGCCAGCAGCATCCGAAGTTGTCCTTTGGCAGTTTTCCAAATTCGTGTTCTAGTTGTTTTCTGCAATTCGAGTTCTTCAGCGATTTTGAAAATGGTTTCAGAATGTGTCAGATCTTTGGCTAACTATCCTTTCCTCACCCGCACAAACACCCGCCGGAAAACGTGTGTTCATTTTCGGGTCCCATATATGGGAAATTATTGTGGGATATTGTGGGAATCGTTTTCTTTGTTTGAGGGAGGACTGCAGTTCGACCACTTATGAACGGGTGATTTGGGTGGTTTGGAATTTCAGGATTTCCAAAAACCAATGGTAGAATCACTACCTGAGGTATCCCCAAGGACCCAAGACACCACGCCCCAAACCAACTGACCAGAAAAGTAATTCGGATTGGGCTGCAAGGAAGCCGCGAAGCCTGAAAAAGAGACCTACGAGGCCAGAGAGATTGAAACTGAGGGTACAGCCAACCAAATTCAGGGGTAATTAAGCTATGGCAAAAACATGATAACATACTCGTATGTATTTTTGTGTAAATATGATATATATATATACATGATATAAATATAATATATATATATATAATAAAATATCATAAAATATAATATAATAAAATATTTATATATATATATATATACATGATATAGATATAACATATAATATATATAATATATGATATATATAATATATAATATATAATATATAATATAATATATATATATAACTTTTAATATATATATAATATAATTTAAAATATAATATATAATTTGAAATATAATATATTATTTTTAATATGATATAATATAATATAATATAATATGTTTAATGCAATCGAATATAATATAATATATTATATTATAATATAATATAATATATTATATTATAATATAATATAATATATTATAATATAATATAATATAATACATTATAACATAATATAATATAATATAATATAATACATTATAATATAATAAAACAATATATAATTTAATTTAATATAATATAATATGATATATAATATAATATAATATAATACGATTTAATTTAATGTAATATAGTATAATATAATTTCATTTGATATAATATAATATAATATGATTTAATATAATATAATATGATATGATATGATATATAATATAATATGATTTAATATAATTTAATGTAATATAATATTATATAATATACTATAATATAATATAATGTAATATAATATAATATAATATTTATATTATATATACATTGATTTGCAAAGATTCAAACAATGATCTTCAAAAATTGTGGGCACCCCCGGGACCCCCGACCAAATACTCTAGTTCATGATTTTTTGCTGGTCTACTCTTTAGGAACTGACAGTTAGGTCAACGACTCAATAGACGATCTGGACAGGTCTCCAGGGACGTCGCTGGCACTCTCAGAAAGACAGCGCCTCGCCTAGGAGATGTGGACCTGAGAGCATGAAGCCCCCAACCAGATGGGGTTTCCATAGTCATGTAACTCAATAGCCGGATTGTGTATAATGGAAACTCCATCTATAAGAATTCTATAAGTGGATGATTTGGGGACACACCTGATTAGGACTGGGTGTCAAAACTTCGAGACGCCATGCACTGGGAAAAGGACTTAGACTTCAATTGTTTTTGTTTTGTTTTTTAAACTTGGGGGGATCTTGATGGTCATCAATCCATTTTATTATAGATTGATATTAGCCATTATTAGTAAAAAAACCATTGATTTCCGGAATCCTGGTGGGGTCATCCCAGCCACACTGAGGATCCTGAAACTGGTGATGTGGAACTGTATACCAGTATCGATGGGATCCTCCAGGCATCAACGGGAGGTTAGTGAACGCCATTTTTCTGAGGTGTGAAACACCTTGATGAAAATTGGATCCCTTCCACCTATATGGTATACCTTTGGTTTTTGAACACGCTCTATGTTGCCTTCTTATCCCCAGTTCATTGAGATCGCATGTTTGATCATGTGTGTAAGTCAATCGCACTATTCCCTGGGTTCCGTCCCAGAATTCTTCGATGAGATCCCATTGCTGATGCTGAAAACTCCCCGTTGTTGACGGTCAAAATGTTGATGTGTGTTTTTAAAGACACTTTGTTGCTCACCCCTTCTGGGGCATCTGTTTCGCAGGTGAGCGAATTATCTTCAGCCATTGATATAAGCTATATATGATGTATGATATCATATAAATACTATATCATAGACTGTACTGTAATGTACTATCATATAATATAATGTTTAAGTAATATACTATAATATATAATAACCACACTAGAAATGATCGGTTTTTTTTTCGGGACATCCAAGATCAGTCATGGCGAGTGGATCCAGGCAGTTCCCAAAATGAATTGGGACGTGGCCGCCACCTGGAGCAGATTGCCCATCATGAAGGTGGGGCGAGGAGCGTCATATTCCAATGTCTCCCTGTTGTTGTGGTGAATACATATATATATATTTATTTATATTTATTATATATATATACACTACTACTATTACTATTTTTACTATGATATACTAGTATTATTACTATTATATATTGTTGTTATTATTATTCTTATCGTTACTATTATTACATATAACAGTTTGTTGCTGCTGAAAAAAATACATGTCCAGTTCTGCTGGCTAAGCTCCTCGGATTCGGGATGCTGAATTCTGACCTTGAAGCAGTGAAAATCCTGGAATTCTCATAAGACCAATGATTGAACGTGTGGTCAATGTGCGAAAATACTTGGAAGATGGGGAGTGGTTTTTGCCAGCCTCATGTTTTGGCATGGCTGCTTGGGGCTGCTTGGGTGAGTCCCGACTTCTATCACTGCATGCAAAAATTATCGATAAACAAGATGCTGTGACATCCTCAAGAAGTGGTCAATGTGAAGTTCAAGCAACTGCATTGGGTTTTGGGAGGGCGACATCCAACTCCAAGGATCTTGAAGTATGATTTCTCATGACTTGTCCACATTCATAAACAATGGTGCGTATACACTGTGAATACATTCATTCATTCATTCATTCATTCCTTCATTCATTCATACATACATACATACATCAATACATCAATACATTACAGTACTTTACAGTACATACTACAATAATAATACATAAAATCATATACATTGAACTACACTACATTACATAATTACATACATATTTGATATTGTGTTGTGTTAATGTTTATAGATGTCTACTATTTCAATGACCAATTGGATGGTGGTCCAAGCACACCTTTTCCGGATGAAAAAGGTGCATCTCTTCATCGACCGAGCCAGCTATGAGCGCGGTGGAATGGAGAGATCCTATGCCAGCAAGGCAGCTGTGCCAGCTGGGCAGCTGGGTGGGATAACTCAACAGGATATCAATGGTGACATACCATCCCCACCACTCACATAGAGGCGAAACAAAAACAAGTGATTAGAGGAAGGTGTTCTGAAAAAGCCCAGAATTCATGGCAGGTTGACCAAATCCAACAAGCCTTTCTCATGGTTGGGAACATGATTCCCCTTAGGTTTGGTGGTGAACTCCCATCGTATAGATATGTATATATATACCTTAAAGTATTCCAACATGGCAATGAAAAATCTGCAAATTCTATATCTCATTTTCTATCTACTTATAGGTGTAATTTCCCAAGTAATAAGCATGAATATATTCAAGATTATTCGAGTAAAGCCAGTATAGATATAGTTACACAATTCAATCCATTTTCAACCCATCTTCAAATCAAAATGTGTTTCACCTTTCTAGTAGATATGTCATAGATATTTCTAGTTGATCCCAAAAAAAAAACCGTCATCGGGCGCAGGTCTTCCCCGAGGGTCTGGACCTCATCGCGGCCATCGCCTGGTGGCGCAAACGGATCCCAGTCGCAGCACCTGGAACGGCCAAAGCGGCGCAGCGGGCGGTGGCCTTTGGGGTCTTCGAGGGGAGCTTCAATGCGCAGGCGCATGGCATGGCATGGGATAGGTTGGGGTCCGAAAAGTTGGGGGAAAGCTGGGAAGAAAAGTTGGATGGTTTGAATGTTTAATGGTTCCCTGTTATTTGATGGCCAAATGCTATGATACCATGGAAAAACGAAGCATGCTGTGGGGAGAAAGTGATATATGAGTCGGATATTTGGCGCAATTTGGGTCCAAGAAATGTGAAAAGGCGGATTTGGTCAATGGATGATATATGGGTTTGGCCACGATATTGCCCTTCAAATGGAGAGAATACCATTGGACCATGGGATAAACTGGGCTACCCTACTCTCAGACATAACCAGGTGGTAAAATTAGCTAAGATTAGGTCCAGTCTTGTGTTTGCCTGTGAATTCCACCCAGTAAATGGATACATAGTAATGAGGCTGATACATAGCCAGGGTTTGTGTTGACATGGGGGATGGGCCCCCATTTATTGCAGGTTTCGTGGGGTGAGAAATCATGGGAAAGTGGGGAATATCATCCAAATGGTGAATGTGGAGGGAAGGTTTTAAGGGAGTTGATCACCTTTTGTTGTGGGTTGAAGACAAGACACCTGGGGAATCCTGTGGATCAAATCATTGGGATATGGAGAGCAAAAACGGCACGTGCACAACTGCGGTCCGGATGAGATTGAAAAAACTGAGGCGACGTAATTTTGGTTGGGTACTTTTACAGTCCCATTTCCCGCCAAAGACATGGGATGATACTTGTAATGAATATAATTAATGATAGTGATTATGGTGGGATATGTTTAAACTAGTGACTATATTGATAATGTTTGGTTGAGACCACATTGATTATGGAATTCTTGTTCAATCCCCTTTTTCTGCCAAGTAAAAATCCGTGACTTCCAAGATCATCCAAATGGCCAGATTCTAATCACCATGTATGCATATCATTGTTTTTTTTGTTGGTTCATTCCCTGCATCTTTGCCATTTCCCGATATTCCAATGGATGATACACCTCATCCCGAAGTGATCTCTCCATTTGCAGGTGTCTGCCACTGATCCACCAATCCTAATGCTGGCCGCTCGTCAAGGCATTGGACAAGGTCCCAAACTCCGAGACAAAGTACAGTTGCTGTAGAATCTACCTGGGATGATCCCAACTGTCTAATGTTTGGTTAACTGGCCGAACTGGAAGTGTCTTTTTGATTCAGCTCACTCTGTCATTTTGTTTTGTTGTTTTTCTCCTCTGACTCCAACAAGAGTTTCGTTTCTTCGATGCCCGTAGTCTGTGTGACTGTGTGCTGCAAGTGAGAGTGCCTCCCGCCTTCTATGAACAGCTGTCTAAGACTTTCTTGCTGTGGCTTTGTCCAAAACTATTTTACCCCGAAATCCAATCCAATGGTTCATCAAGATGTTCCTTATTGTTCGATAGCCATAGATATACATTTTTGGGACAAGAATCTACGGCCATGGCATGCCATGGCCATGTCTCCTTTGCAAACTCAGGATGCTTCAGGCGAAGTCCAAGCTGATGACGTCGAGGTGATCCAGAGGCGCGTTTCGCTCGTTGCCAGCAACGCGGGGCTGCAGAGGTTGCGATGGTTTTGGTGCTCCGGGAAGGTCATAGCAACCTCACAATGAGGCCAGAAATGATGTTTTCTTTTATATAATAGATGATATATATATATATATATAGATGGAACCACCCAGAAATGGATGTCATTGCGGATAGGGCGGATAGGGGTGGTTGCAGCCAAAATTTGAGCGCATTTCTGATTTTGGCATTCAGATTATTAATCACTTGCCCAGAATGGTGCTTGTAAGCCTGGATGATCCCCCTTGGAATACTATTTTTCAAGAAGGTTGAACATCCACTTCTATGTGGTTGCAATTTAAGCTATCTGGAGCCATATTTCAGTTCCAGTGTCAATTTGGATCATTTGTTCCGTTCTGAAACTGGAGGAAGCATCAAAGCTATGTGAAACGAAGAGAGCTGGAGAAGAGGCAGGAGTGTCCGTAAGAGGATGTGTTCCTCCTGGCACGTTTGTCACCCTCACGACAATAGTTGGCCGTGTGGCCAAAATGTCAGTTGACCACAGTCCATAGGAGTTTTACGCTGTTACTATCTGGTTTCAGAATGTAACCAGGAAGATATGCACTAATGATCACTAATGTATACTAATGTTTGATTCACCAATACTTGATACACCATCCATTTCTGGTGAGTCATTGGGGATGGTTGGGCATTGGAGTCCGCTCAGGTGGGCCAGCAAAGGTGCATCAGAAGAGATCTTGCGGAAGATCAAAGAGGTCATGACCGAAGATCAGCTCCAAAGCTCTCAGTGGGATGGTCTACGATGCTTGAAGATTTTATATGATGTTATAACGTTGTAAGTTTCAAGAGACAAACTTGTACAAAGTTGATGAACATTGTGGGTCCATGAGTCCATGGCTCGATTGTGAGCTATGTTGAGCTATTGAGAACATAGTGGAACTAGGCAATATTATTGAAGCCTACATCCACCATCATCCACCCTCAGCAATTCTCAAATTCACAAACATACACACATGGAATGTCAATACTGGCTCCTGACAGCATCAACTCTCACAGTGCAGGCTCAAACGCTGAACAGCTGATAGCGGCGTTTGAGTGTAGCAGCTTCACATGTCTTCCCTATTATAGTGGGTCAAAACCCTGTATTCCTGGTGACCATCAAAACAGCTATGGCTGTATGTTCATACCTCCTAAGATGGTGATTCAAGGATTTTCAAGTATTGATCCATAGCTATCCAATGTATCCGAGGCTTCTGGCTGCCATTCTCATCGGGACCAGAATCCCCAGAGAAATTCCATTCGGGATCATGGGACGAAAACACAACTTTTCGGGTACCAAAAGCCTAAATCCCCTAGGAGTTGCACTATAGGTATGGCGGACAAGCAACTCCTGCCCGGCACAAATCTAGCAGAATCCCTGCCCGGTTAGGTACAACTTCAATTCACAACCCAAGGTCTTGATAGGAGTACTCGCCCTGAAAAACGACCATGAACATCCATTGACGCCCAAAAAATTGGGCTGTAAATATGAACGGTCATGAGTCAATAACCAATGACCTCCCAAAGTGTGGTTAATCCACTGTGGGCTTGTCTGAAAACAAGCTATCCGCCAAATTTCATGGGTCAATGATTATTAATAATTATTGCCAAATATATCCAAATATAATATAGATTTGCATAATGCTTATAGAATTCATGATGTTCCGCACTTGCTCAATGGCCATGTAACATGGCTATTCCCAACTTTTTGGACAGTTCCCCTGCTTTGCACAGGCAGATCTCCGCAGCATGAGTCGTAAGGCGTGGCCAGTTGGGGACCACCTTGGTCTGGTTCAACATCCCCAGCCGGAGCTGTTCTGAATATCATCCTGTCCTCTTGAGGTGCCATTCTATGCTCAGACATTTTGAATGGAAATGGATCTGGGGCAAGACTTGTCAACATTGTGTATTTACCCTCAACATATCTCAACATGGCTTGCAGACCAGTCGCAAATGTCCGTTTTTGATCCATAGCCGATATGTTGATTCTGGGGCACTGTCCTGGACGACCTCTCACCTTTGGTGGCGTGCTGGTAGGCTAAAGGTGACGAGTACCTTTACAAGACTGGCTGGGTGCGAGCCTTGGTTGACGCTTTTCGGCAAAGTGTTCGTGCCTCACAGGGACCAAACCGTAAATGATGGATCATGAGGCTCACATGAGGATGATGAGGAGGAGTAAGGCGAATCATCCCATAACGAACAATTCAGATAACTGAAATATTGTGATTAGCATTGAAATTGTGTATAAATATGTATAAATTAGATTTTGCTAGTATTTGCTCGTACCACCTCGTACCCTAAAATAAAAAAAAATAAAAAAAAACGGAAGGCTTCATATTAGCAACGACGCAAGTCTGCTGTTGTTGGATGATGCCAGGCTGCCAGAGAGTTTTGGTTCGACTTCAGTATTTACCATCATTTACCTAGACAGCAAAAAGAATAGTATGGCTGAACATTAATTAAATTTGATTGACATGATTTACATTGATTTACCCCGAACATTCAGAGGTTCATAGAGGTTCATGGTTCTGGAAATGACCAGTGACCCTTTCGTCATTGGTACCCCAGCCGCAGGTGCCCAAGCCTGTGATGCCTGGGGCCAAATCGCCACGACGTGCGGATCCATAGATTCGAAATGATTCGAAGGTCCATGAGGAATTGAGACCATGCAGAACTCACAGATATCTATGACAACTATCAGTAGTAGTGTTATCAGACTATCTAACTTATAGTGTGTTTCTTTGCTATTTATATTTGATGATTATCAGAATCTAATAGAATCTATATCTTATTACCATATATACATATACGACATATACTATCATATACACATACACACACACACACATTTCACAAATATAAAGAAGCCTGAATATAACCGAACATCTTGATACTAGTAGTATAGGCATTATGCACAGATTCCAACACCTCAAAGCTGAGACTCCAGCAACAAGACGCGAAAGGCAGGCTGGCTCGAGCTTTACAGGCTCATGATTACATGATGGGGCCATTGAGGGAATGTCGCCAGTTCAACCTCCACAAATTAGAGGAAAACCCTTTTTTTCTGAGGGTGGGGTTGATGTGGGGCAACAGCCCAGCTGGCAAATGCTTGTAGCTCTTTGCCTGGTCAACGTAGTGGAAGGCATTGACGTACAGCTGGTTCCAGGCTGCCAATTTGCTTTCCAGAAAGGTGGCATAATGAAGTTGACAGATGTTGCCATTCTAATCATGGTCCAGGTGATCTTTCTAAACATGGCTGCGCCCCTTTGGGGCATCATTGCAGACCGGGGTTGCATCAAGAGGAAGCACATTCTGATGATTGGAGCCCTAGGAGAAGCTACAGTGGCTATACTGATGGCCTTTGTGCCTGGCTTTCCGTTGATGCTTGTCCTTCGAGGGATGAGTGGTTTCTTCATCGCCTGCCTGCGCCCCATCGCCAGTGGAATCGTTGCAGATTGCACTTCTGAGGATCGTCGTGGGAAAGTGTTCTCCTACGTGCAAAGTGCATTCTTGGTGGGCGTGTTTGTCACCACCTTGGTAGCTGGCAATTTAGCCAACCTTCAAGTGGGTCCAATCCCTGGATGGAGGGCACTCTGGGCTCTGAGCGGTGTTGTTGTAGCTCTCATTTCAGTGGTGATAGGAATCTTGATGGTAGAGCCGTCAAGGCAGGTTGACGACTCTGACGGGAAAAAGTGCTGCAGTACAGTGGTGGAAGAGATCTTCATCATGGTTCAGTTCCTGACCATTCCTACCTTTAGCATCATCGTGCTGCAAGGAATCTTTCAAGAACTCCCCTGGACTGTGATTGGGCACAGTTTGCTTTTTTTCAAGCTTTCGGGCCTTGAAGATTGGGAAGGATCGGTGCTAGCATCAGAATGCCCTGTGGTGGCTGTTTTCGGAAGCATCCTTGGTGGTAGCATCGCTGACTTCCTGGCCCAACGCTTTGGATACCAGGGCCGTCCCTTGAGTGCACAGATCAGTGTGGCACTTGCCATCCCTCTGATCTATTTGTGGTTCGCTGGCATCCCTCCAGGCTCCCAAGCGGCCGTCTTCGGTGTAGTCTACTTCATGGTCATTGCATGTTTCGGCCTGGTTGGAACTTGGGCCCATGCAGGAACCAGTCTCCCAATCTTGTCCGACATCGTGCCATCCAAGAATCGCAGCAAAGTCATGGCGGCGGAGAGCGCGCTCGAGTCGTCCATTGCCACGCTTGTTGGGCCCCTTTTTGTGGCAAACTTAGCGAATGCCTTCGGCTACGACTTCAGTCGGCTGAAGGCCGAGAGTAAAGATATTGCCTCTGCCACAGCTCTGGGCCAGGCAATGGCCGCAACGATCTGCATGTCTTGGTGCGTGACGTTCTTTGGATACATCTTCCTTCATATAAGTTACCCTTCACATATGCGAAAGCTCAACGCCCAGATGAAGGCTGAGAAAGCAGAGGCTGAAGCAGCAGAAGAAGCTATCTAAAGAAGAGGTGTAATTGTTCTTTGCTTAAAAGTGTTTGAAAGATATTTTGGCAATCCGTCCCTTCAAATTTTGAAGCCACGCTGTTCCAACTCTGGTTCACCTGGAATGTACGTGGCATTACGTGGCTACACTCTGGAACGGCTTTTTTCGCCTTTCTTTTTTTACCTGGCTTCCTATTTTGTTCCACTTTTTCCAGACAAAACGATGCGTTTTTTTGATTACTCTCTGGAAGAGACTCTCATTAGTAACAAGTACGCATTTTCTGCCAGAATCCTTGATTGATTAGATCATGGAAGGATCCCGCAGATATATTAAAATATAATATACGTGTTTATCTGTTTGGCTGAGAAGCCAGAGTCGTTTTTAGTTCGCGTTCAGAAGGTAAGGTTCAGAACGCCGCAGGCCAAGCAAGTTTCAAGCAGTCTTGGCCAACATGGCCAGGAAATGCCAGGAATATGCCTGGATTTTTAACAAATGTTCAACGGCTGCAAGATACAAAAAGGTCACTGTGAGGTGGCGATAGCCTCATTGAGATCGGATGATGAAAGCTCTTGCATCAATAATTAACTACCAGACATATTACCACTATTTACACTTGGGAATGCAGCTTTCAGTCTGAGATAGTTTCAGGATGTGTCAGGTTCTCTTTCAATCCGTTCAATCCGTTCAATCCGTTCATCCTTCCCGATTCGAAGCCGGATGGACTCCACGAAGCCTCCCGGCAGCAAGGTTTAATGCTCCCGATGTTGCGAGCAAGAACCTCTGAAGCTACTTGAGTCCATCTCCGTAGATCCACAGCAATATCCAATATTGGGGCCCCCCATGCCGATTGGGGCATTTTTTAGGGAGAAGAAACCCAAAGGTGCGGTTGACACCCGGTTCTTGCAATATTCGAAGATATGCGATAATTGGAGGAATTCTATCTCTGACAGGGGTCATTATGAACTTTACAACTGGATCCAAATGCTTCAAGAATTTGGTATGAAGATGAAGGAACAGAGACATGACAGGCAAAGAATTGAGATTGACGTATCACCGCCGAATCCATCCAAAAGGGATCGGATTGAATCTTTTCGCGACATTCCCATCACAATTTCTATAATAAATTGCGACTAAGAATTGGAATATTAATTATATGAATATATATGAATATATAATTATATATATAATATATGTATATGAAAGCCTAAGTTGTCTTACGTACTCGTAGCACTTTGGTGTCTAATGTTACGCACAGACCCCGTGGTTTGCCCGGACTGCAACATTGAGGATTCCCTGTCATCGAACATGAGAAGAGAATTGCAGAAAATACTGCGTATACGCAGTGTTTTTCTTTCGGGTTCGGAGTTTTTTTTAGGGTGTTAGGGTTTTAGGGTTTAGGGTTTAAGGTTTTGGGGTTTTGCGGTTTTAGGGTTTAGTATTCGTTGTCTGGGAAATCTCAAGACACTGGCCCTGCGCAGGTTATTGAGCATGTCGAAGGATCATATTGAACTCCATTCTAACCTTGCGGGCAAACCATAGGGTCTTGCCGTAATGTTGGTATGCGAAGCGGAAGAGATGAAATAACCTCAATGATTGAATTTTGAGTGAAGTGTCAGCTGGTATGACCTGTATAGCACGGCATTTTCAGGTACCCAGGATTTCTTGGTATTGCAAACTATTCTGGAATATTCTGGAATATTCTGGATATCTTTATCTTCTATTGTATTGTATGTGGAGATACTGTGTGGAATGGTATATTAAGGCCAATGGTTGGTAATCTAATATATATATATGGCTGCGTCTTTTTTTAACGCGTGCAGTTTTTAGTAAAGGCAGGAAGTTCGATTTGTGCGAATCATACCCCCGAATCATACCCCGAATCATACCCCCGAATCATACCCCAAAAAATCACGATTATGGATGTTTCTTTTGGGATTGTTTGGGATTGCATTGGCCTTACTAGTTATAATGAGCTAATTGACCAGTGTTGGCCAGAGTGGCGAATCTTCTCCACGCGCAGAGTCTCATCATTATCCCTAAGCTGGCTGGCTCTGGGTGGCTGGCTGGCTGGCTAGGTGGCTGGCTCAATTGCTGCTGCTGGCTATAGGGCTGGCTGGCTGCGTGGCTGGCTGCTTGCTGTGTTGCTGATATGATGAGGCTGATGAGGGGGATGACTCTGGCTGCGGCTGGCTGGCTGGCTGGCTGGCAACCAAACCAAAACTCCGTCGAAGAGGAACATAAGCCTAAGCGTAGCTGAGCTAAAGGTAAATGAGTCCAGAAGAGACGCCGGCAGGCCGGCGGATATAAATCATAGATGTGCATTGAGATTTTCGCATTCTTCATATTCAGGTCCTGTCCAAGGTCGTCTGGCAGGTCGAGCCATTGCAGCCATTGACAAAGTAGCAATCGTAGTAGGTTGACGGTGGGAAAAAGAGTCTCAAGCAACAAAGCTTCCTGAATTCAAAAAAAGATGGGTTTCCGAATTATATCCCGAATCATGCCCGAATCATACTTTAAATTTCCCAATTCTGAACCTTGGTACATTTGCAAGATTAGAACTTGTGTTTTGTGAACTCTTTTCTTTGCAACCATTCGCCACGGGCTACACTACGCCTCCTGCTGCTTCTGAGAAAAATTCGACACCAGCACCCTGCAGCGTGCAGCAGCACCCTTCACTAGCACCCTTGCAGCACGAGTTGGGTACAGTACGTACCCTCCTTGCAGCACCCTGAAACGTTCTAGCTCGACAGCACCCTCAAGCAATACCTATACCCGCATCCGCTCACCAGCATGCCCGCTC